TCTTGTTGACATGGTATCAGAGCAGGTCGACCCCCTTGGGTCGATCCTGTGGGTGGGCCCGCCACCTAACTGCTTCCGCTGCTATTCTGCTTCTCGCACGCCTCGGGCGCGCGCCGTCTTCTTCCTGCCGAAAATTTTTAGGGTTTTTCATCCCGCCGTGCGCTCAGGGCGTACGGCGGTTTTCTGCCCGCCGTGCGCCCCGAGGCGCGCGGCGGTTTCCTGCCCGTCGTGGCGCCCCCGGGGACCTGCGCGCTGCCCCCCGTCGTCCTCCTCCCGTCGCCTCGTCGCGGCGCCCTGGGGGCCCGCGCGTCCCCCCCCTCCCGTCGCCTCGTCGCGGCACCTTGGGGGCCCGCGCGCCGCCCCCTCCCGTCGCCTCGTCGCGGCGCCTAGGGGGCCCGCGCGCGGCCCCTCCCGTCGCCCGTCGAGCCGCCCTCGGGGGCCCGTGCGCGGCCCCCCTCCCGTCACCCGCCGTGGCGCCCTCGGGGGGCCCGCGCCCTGCTTCTTCGTGGCGCCCAAGAGCCACCCCGCTGCCTCCCTTTCCCTCCGTGCCCCGCCCCTGCTGTTTCCCGCGCTCCTGCCTGCGTTAGGGTTTGGGGGTGGCGGGCATGGGGGTGACCGGTGTGGGTAACCTGCGGCTCCTCCTCCTCCTCCGTCTCCCACTGCTGCAGCTGCCGCTGAGGGGGGTGGGTGTGTGGGAGCCGAGGGTTTAGGGTTTAAGGGGGGTGCCGTGGAAGTGGAGCTAGGGTGTCAGCAGGGGGTGTGTGAGAGGGGCGTGGGACGGTCGGGGGAGGTTGCGTGGAGGTAGCCGTCGTGACGCCAGCAGCGCCAGTAGTCCGGATGCCCTCGCGCGTTTCGGTAGCCCAGCGAGCCTGCTTCGCCAGTCGCCTGTGGGTCCGTTGCTCCTGTGTGTGCTCGTCGTAGCCGCGGAGCCAGATACTCCCGTAGTCCGGTGCCCTCGTGCGCTCGGTAGCCACTGTGCGCGCCGCTCCTGTTGCCCGTGTGTCTGCAGCTTCAGTCGGCGCCTTTCATCTTCTCGCCCTCACAGTTTCTCCTCCTCCTCACTTGCCCTCTATGATCACCTCTAGCTTTGCTTATAATTGTGAACTATTGCTATGCCTGCTCATTGTACTGATTACACCCCACTTTGGCTATGGGGGTGTGTCAGAATGTTATTATTGTCTAGCCTGTAGTGGGGTGCTCTATAGCGAGTACAACCCAGTTAGGGTTTGCTATATGTACCCCAACTGCTGCTAGTGAAACCTCTCTCTCCTTTCAATCATTCTTACCTAGTCTTGTTGACACACACTAGCGAGGATTTCGTATATCTCCTCTTCAGCTGAATCCGGCGGCTGGAAATGTCTTCAGCAATTTTGAAGAATGGTTGGAATGTCGGCCGTTGATGCTGTCAGGTTTCGATCTGACGGTCGAGGCAGATGCGATTTTGGAGGGAACAGACTGACGCGAAATTCAATCGCAATCAATCTGGAGCCGTTGATCGTGTCGGTGTGATCGCGATCGTCCGTCGTGCTGACGCAACCTGACAAAGTCAGAAAGGACCGAGAAACCGCCAAGGAAAGAAATAGTGCAAAGCACTTTCTCCACCCCTCCGAGAAAGTACACCAGAAAAGTTCCCGATGCTGCGCCAAGATGAAAACAAACAAAACCAGGTGTTAATCCCCACTGAAAAGCGAACGTTGATCGTAGAAGTCCAGGTGAAAACTGCGTCGGTGTGGAAATTTCGATGACGAAAACCAGGTGTGACGTGCCCAAAATTCTTCGAGGGCGAACCAGCAGTTGTAGACCAGAAACCGCGACGGAAAATCCATGTTACTCGAACTGAACAATTTTGTCTTCACGCGCCAGAATCATTCCATATCTTCAGCAGTTGCAGCTGGCAGCACCTGACGTGGTTGACATTAATGCAGTTGTCGTGGGCGGGTTGAGTGGGGCGGTTTGTCAGTAGTAGAGTTGAACGGTTGTATCCCGGAATCCTCTGGCCGTAAAATCGGGAGTGTTACGAATGTCGTCGAAGTCGGCGATCGAAGGCGATTGGCAGCGAGTTTGTTTGTCGAAGGTCTGCGATGGTTGTCGAAACAGTAACCAATCCAAGTGTCACTCCGAAAATGCTGTCGAAGGTCGATCCAGTGTCAGATGATGTCAGAACCTCCGGCGGTTTTGTCCAGACTCGCCGAGCTTTTTGTCGCAATCCGCCGATGACTCCCGGGCAGAGATGTAAAAATTACAGCTGTCTCTCCCCCCTTCCACTGTTGCTGCTGCCACCTCCAGTTCGTCGTAAGTCGTTCATACCCCTTGAAACTCCGTGTAGTTCTCGCGGTGTCGCCTCACGTAAATGACGCGCGTTGTTAACCAAAGCTCCGAAAACTTCTTCGAAATTGTCGCCGCTTCCGCCGTAAGGCCTGTAAAGTCCCGCGTAAACTCCGAAAATGTCGTTCGAAAACAACCCCGTAATTGTCGCCGTTGCAGTTGCAGTTCGCCTCCGAAATCTTCGGTCGTACTATAGCCGCCCACTCGGTCACCATCAGTTTCCGTCGGTTTACCCGACCCCAGCATGTGGGTTCAATCGAGAACCGGGGACTGCCCTGGGTCTTCCGATACCGAATTTCACGGAACCTAGTGACATCAACGCCGTTGATCTCGTCGTCGAAACTGCTCCCGCCGATGTTGCTTAACAAAAATTCCTGTTTCTCCCACCAGCGCTTTGCAGATGTTTCACCCATCGCTCGTCGCCGGCCGATAAGTTCCCGAAGCTACGACTGCTCCCACTCTTCCCTTTTCTGAAGAATTTCCCGAGGTGTGCGTTTAAACACCGGGGGTCCTAGGTCTCCTCGCCGCTAAGTTTCTTGCCAGGCAACTTCGAAAAGTGCCCTTCAGGCGAAGTCCCCCAACGACTCAACCGCACTCCAAGAAGCGAAGAAATACCCGCAGCTCCAATATATATATATATATATTGTTGTTTCACTCCCCGAAAATTTTGCTTCCCGCCGTTCACCCAGCGTCCACTTTCGTCGGATGGATATTGTCGGTGTTGCCCTGCGCGAACTCGGCTACGGTGGAGGGGCAAAAACTATCGGAGTCGGGGACCCTTATTTAAAAGGAACTATCGCCCAACCGTTTTGCAGCCCACTGTCAACCGTCACGCCACTAAACTCCACAGCTCCCGGTGCCTGCTTCGCCGCTGCGCCGTCACCTCGTGTAGACGCCTAGGTCAGGAGAAACCAGAGAACTGCACCAGTGTTGTCCTGCGGCGCCCCGATTTTTTCGCGTGCTGTTTCACCCAGCCCGCTTTTGTCGGAGTAGAACAGTGGCGCAACTCCCCTTTTTTGTATTCTTCTGTACAGCTGTCGAACGGGCACCAAACCAGGTGCTTTTAACCAGCGCAGGGTAGGCCACGTGTTCACCCCCGTTATTCGGCCAAGTAAGTTGACTGCATGAGTCAGAACTAAAACTTGGTGGGGGTGGTGAGGTTTGGGCGACGGAAGGTCACAGGTCGTTCACACCGGCTTTTAACCTGCCCTTCACGCCGTTCTTCAACCCCCGCTTAGTCGTCGGGTAGTTTCTGTCCGTGTGTCCCGGCGGCCTGTACCAACTCCTTCGTAAATGTCGGGGCAGTACGTTGAACGCCGTTTAATCGTGGGCTATTGAGGCTGTACCCGAAAATGACTTCCTTACAGGGAATCCACTCTCGAAATTGCCGGCCAGCTGTCAACAGTACCAGGCACGCAGCGTCATGCGAGTTTTCTTCGGGGTGTATGGGCCCGATTTTCCCTCGCCGCCAGCGTCCCACTCCTCTTGAGTGCGATTTAGCCACTCCGTTTTTTGTAGCAACTCGTAAGTGTTGGCGGGTCTGAAGTTCCCGTCTGTCCACGTGCACTCCTGCCGAAATCTCCGATGACGCGCCCGCCATGCAGTAAAAGCCGCTGCACTTCAGGTCGGGCGGGACGGCAGTTGACCCCGCTAAAATCGGGCACATCGCGTGTCGTCTCTCCTCGCCACCGACTTTTTCGGACGCAAAACACCATTTGCGCCTGGCGAGTTCCCCAGCCGACATTTTCTTCACAGAAGCTCCGAAATTGTCGCCCATGCTGACGCAGGCCCGTTGTCGCCAGCTGCCGAAGATTCTCCCGAGAATCTCGCGCACAAGATGACGACGAGCCATCGACGCCACTTGCCGCGTGCAGACGATTCCGAAATCGTCGCGCAGCCGTTGACTCAGGTCCGCCGACGTCAACAGCCACACACAGTGACGACGTCGATGCTGTTCATGCAGATGCCGACGCAGGTCCGCTGACGCCAGCTGTCTCACAGAAATTCGAAATCGTCGTTAAAACCGCAGCGGAAATAGTAACTCACGTTCGATGTCGCGACAGCTCCAGCTGTCCGTTGCCCGGGGGGAGGGAGGCCACGGTCGATCGCGACCGTCGAAGGCAAGGATCTGGCGGTGCCTAAGGAGTACCCGTAAAAACATAGCCGCGAGGAGCAACTAACTCGTTCTCCTGGCCGGCCTACGCTACTCCTGGACCCCAGTACATCCTTCCTCGTCCCCCCCCCCCGAGGGGTAATACACTCTAAAAAGCGGGGTAGGCTAGGAAAGTAGCTCTGATACCAGGTGTTATGAATGAACTTGTCAGAGTGCGCAGATATCGAATAACGAGAATGAACTGATTACCGAATGACAAGACAATGAAGTAGCGAGGCCTAAATAGGGGAAAACCTAGCTAGGCGGGGGGTTCAGGACGGGATGGCTCGGTGATGGCCACGATTGGAGCGGAGGCCGACTCGGGGGTGGTTCGGTGCGACGAAATAGGAAAGGCAGGTTCGTCGCGACACCCTCGGGATGTACTCGCTAAAGTGCGAGTACAGAAAGGAATTGTAATTCCTTACATGCTCTCCATTCCAAATTCTCCATAGCGGCTTTCACATTACCAGATTTCGGAGTTATACCGGTATCTCACCCGTGCTAGCTTCCATCCTCAGCGACCATGTCTTGGCAAACTTACGTTGATCGCCTTATGAGCGAACTTCCAGGTGGAGGGAACTTGAGTTCGGCTGCCGTTTTTGATCGAAATGATGGCTCTTTACATGCCAAGAGCGCCTCTTTTCCAGAAGTACGGCGGGAATGTGTGTAGGGAAGAATGGTGTAGCACAGCTTTTCATAGTGTGCCTTTTTCTGATTCTGGCTAACATGTGAACTGCTTTTTTTTTCCTTACGAGATTTTTTTCCAGCTGACGGGAAAGCAGATTCAAGGAATCGTGGGGGACCTTGGGGCAAGTGCGGCGCTGGGGTTATCTTTGGGTAACGTCAGATATATGTCGACTGCAGCTAGCGAGGATGCCTTTTCTGGCCGAACTGCGGTAAGACAAGGCACTAATTTTTTCGTATTACGACATGGACTTGCGTCTCCGTCGCTCTCCTGATTGAATGTTGGGCCCTAATGCGAATCCCGGCTCCTTGCAGGGTGGTGGTGGTTGCCATATCAAGAAGACCGAATCTCTCATTCTGATCGGCATCTACGAAGATCCTGTTGGACCAGATGCAGCAAGACAGCGTGTTGGAGGCTTAGGTAACGAGCTTAGCAGCCAGGGTCATTAGTGGCTTCTGTTGCTGATCCAAAGAGGGACTAATTTCGTAGGCCGTGAAATGCATCATCTTGTTACGTTCTGTTCAACAATCCATTTCCGTCCAACATTTGGAGGTGCCCTGAAACGCCCACGACTAAGGAGCTTACAATGCTGCGATGCGCCATGAGAGAATCAAGTATTGTCCGACAAGGATTACAGCTCTCGTCTGGAAGGGAATGTGGACGAATGTTACGAACACTGAAGGGAAACTGCATTACGAACACGATCTGGCAGAATGCTGCTCTCGCCAGGGTAATCCGAAATATTCGGTATGCTTCGTGAGCCAAATTGTGGGGAATGGAGACGAGCCGAAAGCACAAGTGCCCAGCGAGGGAAAACCGCTGTGGCAGAAAGGGCATCTGGGTGCGCAGATATTGTTGGGAGTCATTTACAAACATGCTTATCGAATCATTTTTGTCTGGCATTTGCATTCCGTTTTAGCGTGGATATGGAAGTCTAGTGCCATGTCACCTCATTTTCAGCAAATGAAACTCAAGGAATATGCCACGTGATATTGGCTGCTAGAAAGCGGACCAATCCCTTTCAAAGGCACAAGTTCGTTCCGCCAAAGCACAATGTCGTTTCTCACTCCGGAAAGAATCGACCCAAGGCCTATAATTTCTAGTGTAAACGAGCCCTCCCTCGGGACCAGTTTGTCACTCGGAATTGGCTCGTCTGCTCTGCTGTTCCGTTGGTCTTTTGATATTTCCACGAGCTCAGGATTGACACGAGTAGCTCTTTGTTGGGTCGCGGCGCTCGTTGCTCCAAGGACCTGCTCCACTCCTCAGCCTGACATCCTTCGCCCGATCGCATCTCCCGTCCCACCTCCCATCCTTTCCCACCGTTCGATCTCCTACCACCGATCAACGCGCTGTCGCACGCGCACTTTCCATTTCGCCGATCTCGCCAATTTCGCATCTCCCCCGATCCACTCACTCCTCGCCTCCCGCAATGGCATCCGTCGTCTCGCGCATCGCGTCGCGGTCCAGATCACACGCCGCGCGGGCCGCGCTTAACGCGTTCAACCTGCAGCCGACTCGAAACGTCACGTACATGCCGAAGCCGGGCGAGGGCGCGACGCGCACTGTTACGCTGCTCCCGGGAGACGGAGCCGGGCCGCTGTGCACGAACGCGGTGGAGCAGGTGTTTAAAGCCATCCACGCGCCCGTGGTGTTCGAGACGTACGACCTCAAGGGCACCATGCCCACCGTGCCCAATGAGGTCCTCGACTCGCTCCGCCGAAACAAGGTCAGACTTTTGTTTGAGAGAAAAAACAAAAAAAAAAAAAATCAAAAAAGGGGGAAAAATATCACATGTCCTCGCATTCCCAGCTTCAAATCCCAATAACCTGTGTTCCCGATCCACTTCCTATCCCTATCTCGCGACTTGTCATGAAATGGCAGTCGGTAAGCGCTTAATGTTTTTTTTTCTGTCCTTTCATGGGAACGGTTGATCGCCTTTTTCGGTGCAGGTGGGGATCAAGGGAGGCGTGCGAACGGCCGTCGCGGGCGGAGTCAGCTCGCTGACGGTGCAGCTGCGAAAGGAGTTCGATTTATTCGCGCATCTCGCGTACTGCAGCAACATCCCCGGGCTGAAGACGCGGCACGACAACGTGAACATCGTGGTGATTCGCGAGAACACGGAGGGCGAGTACAGCGGGCTGGAGCACGAAGTCACCCCCGGGGTCGTCGAGAGCCTCAAGGTATGCCGCGCGAAGCGAGGGGAATCTGAGTCGACTCAAGCGTGATTCGCGAGAAAACGGAGGGCGAGTACAGCGGGCTCGAGCACGAAGTCACCCCCGGGGTCGTCGAGAGCCTCAAGGTATGCCACGTGGCGTTGAAACTCCTCAACATGCCGCATTTTTTCAGGTAAGCCACGTGGCAAGTCTGAGTAGCGTGTGCACAAGGCCAACATCATGAAGCCCGCCGCGCAGTCCCTCCTCCCTCTCATGCTGACACTCCCCTCCTCCTTCCCCTCTCTCCTGCTCTCTCCCCCTCGCTCATTCCCCATACTCCCGCTCCCCTTCCCCCTCCTCCGCTACTTCCTGCGCAAAACCCCTCCAGTGCTGCGCCCAGGTGATCACCAAGTTTTTTTCTGAGCGGATTGCAAAGTACACATTCGAGTACGCGTACCTGATGTTATCCTCTCTCTCCTCCGCGCCCTCCCCCCCCCCGTCCCTTGCATCCGCTGCAAGGTGATCACCAAGTTCTGCTCGGAGCGCATAGCAAAGTACGCCTTCGAATATGCCTATCTGAATAACCGCAAGACGGTGACGGCGGTGCACAAGGCCAACATCATGAAGCTCGCAGACGGGCAGTTCCTTGAGTCGTGCCGCGAGGTGTCCAAGCAGTACCCGCAGATCAACTACAACGAAGTCATTATTGACAACTGCTGCATGCAGCTGGTCTCCAAGCCAGAGCAGTTCGATGTTATGGTGCGTGTGTGTGGGGAGAGGGGGGGAAGGAGGGGAGACGAATGAGGTGGGATGGGGGGACTCCGGCGGGGGGGGGGGGGGGGGGGGGGGGGGAGGCGGGGGGGATTGGAATGGGGTGGTGCAGGGGAATGGGGTGATGTTTGCAATGCAAGTGGTCATCATTGACCACTGCTGCATGCAGCCCGTGTCGAAGCCCGAACAGTTCAATGTCATGGTGCGTGTGTGGGGGGGGGGAGGGGAGCAGGACAGATGGAGTGCCGTGTATTGTGTAGTGAGGCGGATGGCAGCAGCTGCTGCATGCAGCTCGTGTGAAAACCGGAGCAGTTTGGAACAGTTTGAAGTCATGGTGGGTGTGGAGGGCAAAGAGGCAAGCTGTGGGCGCAAAGGAGTTGGGCATGAGAAGGTGCACAAGGGGGGAGGTGGGAGGTGCAGAGGAGGAAGCGGGGGAGGGTGGGGAGAAGGGGGGAGGCAGGGGGAAAAGATTTTGTGGGATTTTATCTCACTTGCTTGGCAGGATTGATTTGAAGCGCATGGGGATGTGCATGGGGTGTGTATTCCTCTCTCCTATGTATTCTCTCACCAACTTTTCTCAGCTTCCAGTGAAATCCTCATCGCACCCTCTTCTCATTCGCCTACCGTCTTGGCGTTTCTCATGTCTCTCCCTTCCACTCCCACACACACCCCTCTTCCATCGCCCCTCCCCTTCCAGGTGACGCCCAATCTCTATGGTACACTCATCTCAAACACAGCTGCAGGCATCGCTGGCGGCACCACTGTCATGCCCGGAGGTATGCGGCCTGTTCAATCCTCGTTATTGTCCCATTCATCTCTCGTTATGGCTGTGACTCCTCCACAGTAGCAGTGTGGTGTACTCAATTGTAAATGCTAAGGCTTGATGCTGGGCCTTCAGTTGTTGACAGCACCGCATGGCATGGTTACTTAAAGCCCATTCGCTTCCTTTTGCATATTTCCTTGTGCTTCTGGGACTCGTCCAACAGGGAATGTGGGTTATGAGCATGCTATCTTTGAGCAAGGGGCATCGGCAGGCAACGTAGGGAACGACATTATCAACGCGCAGAAGAAGGCAAATCCGACGGCTCTCCTTCTCTCAGCCGCCATGATGCTGCGGCATCTTCAGTTCCCGTCATTCGCCGACCGGTTGGAGCATGCAATCTACGGAGTGATTGCCGAGGGGCTCGTGCGCCCGCCTGCGATGGGAGGGGATTCGACCACGCAAGAATATGTTGATGCGATTATTGCCAAGTTAGATTGAATCTATGTAGTTGATATTACTTATGTGAAGCTACAGCCTTTTCTAATTAAGAAAGATTCTAGGCTCCAATGATTCTAGGTTCCAATGATTCTAGGCTTCAATGAATCTAGGCTTCAATGATTCTAAGTTCCAGTTATTCTACGTTCCAATGACTCTAGGTTCCAATGAATCTGGTGTTATCCTAACTTCTGTCTACTCTATTCGTATGTGTATGTGGGAAGCCAGGAATCGAGTGCTTCAATAACGACCTCCGATTCCTCGTCCTCACCGCATTGCCTCCAGCGTTGCTCCCTCTCGCCACGGAAACGCATTTCGTTCGCCGTTCACCTCCTGTATTCGAATCTCCTTAGTTTCCAAGCTCGATCGGAAATCTCTTAGAATTTGCTGCCAGCACGGCGTCGTAGTCGCCGTGTGATCGCAGGCGTGTCGCCATGAGCAGCATCGGAACTGGGGTGAGGGGCTAGCAGCAATTCTCTTGTATTAGCTCGTTTTCGCTCGCGATTGCCGGCATACAGTCGGCCTGATCTCCTTTACTTGGATTTTCTAGACTTGGTCACGCTGACTCTTCGTGGATGTCGACGTGTTAGCCTTGCTTCTGATGCCATAGATTGGATTTGTTTGTCCACTGGCGTCTAGATTCAGTCACTATGAGTCAGAGAGCTTTTAGCTAAACGTCAGTAGTAGTACGTAAAACTGTGAAGTTGGCTGACGAGTAGCTTCTTCCTTGAATTTGCCCATTCTCATTGCCTCCTATATCGTCTCTCCTGCGTTGTCGCCTTACGTGAATTCCATAACAGTACGATTTGTCGGTCACAACCTATTCGCCTGACGGCCGAATCTTTCAGATCGAATACGCTGCAAAGGCGGTTGACAATAGCGGGTACGCCTCATTCGGCCTCCTCGTCGTTTCCTCTTTCCTTCTCTCCCCCTTCCCCCACTTCCTCCTATCCCCTTCCCCTTTGAATTTTCCAGGTTTTCGTGATTCTCGAACATTTTCTTTCCTCCTTTCATTATTTTCTTCTTTCTTCATGATTTCCCTCCACCCTCCATGGTTTAGCTCCTTCCTTCATAATATTCCCTGATTTCTTTCCTCCTTACTTCCTGATTTTCTTCCTCCTTCCCCCTTCTCCCATCCGCCTCTCCCCTCGTTCGCCGCTGGCAGCACGGCCGTGGGTCTGAGGTGCAAGGATGGCGTTGTTCTGGTGAGTCTTAACACGGGGTGAGTCTTAACACGGGGTGAGTCTTAACACGGGGTGAGTCTTAACACGGGGTGAGTCTTATGACGGGGTGAGTCTTATGACGGGGTGAGTCCTGTAACAACTGCGTCTCGTAACCGGTGAGTCTTATAACGAGGTCTGTAGTGCAATAATGGGGTTCGTTCTAAAGTGGTGAGTATTGTGCAGGTAATGATTAATTTGCCGCACCACAACACCTGTCAGTTCATCTGACCACATTCCATTTTCATCCTTCCTGAATTTGGCCGGGTTCATTCCATGTTTCCCCCTTCTCAAATCACCAACGCAGGGCGTGGAGAAGCTGCTGGTATCGAAGATGCAGGACAAGCACGCTGGCAACCCACCCACACACTGCATGCCTCTCTCCCACCTCTCTGTCCCCTGCACTGCCCGGGTGTTGCATGTCCCAACACCCGCCCTTTCCAGGGTGTGGAGAAGCTACTGGTGTCCAAGATGCAGGTGCAGGGCAGCAACCGGCGCATGCACATAGTGGACAGGCATGCTGGCGACCCACACACATGCCTGTCCGCCCCCCTCGCACTGGCACCCTCTTGTCTTGCTTCCGTTCCCAGGGCGTGGAAAAACTGTTGGTGTCCAAGATGCAGGTGCAGGGCAGCACCCGGCGCATACACATAGTGGACAAGCATGCTGGCATTGCCGTGGCCCACTTCATGCCTCTCTGCCTCCCTCCCTCTGCCACGGTCTTGCCTTGCCCTTCCCTCCCACACACCAGGGCGTGGAAAAACTGTTGGTATCCAAGATGCAGGTGCAGGGCAGCAACAGGCGCATTCACATAGTGGACAAGCACGCTGGCATCGCTGTCGCTGGGCTCGTGGCGGATGGCAGGCAGGTCGTCAACCGCGCCCGCAACGAGGCTGTCAACTACAAGAGGTATGGATGCGGGCAAGGGGTGCGGGCAAGGGGTGCGTGCAAGGGGTGCGTGCGGCATGGGTGTGGCATGATTCCTCTCAAGGTGCTGGCAGGCCGCATGTCAAGCTATGCGCACTACTTCACGCGCTACTGGTGGACGCGCCGCCTCGGCTCCTCCCTGCTGCTCACCCTTGTCAACGCGTCACGTAAACTCCTCACTCTCCCTGCTCTTTCCTCCTCTGCCCTCCCCTCCCCTTTCCCGTCCCCCTTCACCCCCCCAGTTTCTTCGCGCACATGATTCCTCTCAAGGTCCTGGCAGATCGCATGGCGAGCTATGCGCACTACTTCACACTCTACTGGTGGACGCGGCCCCTCGGCTCCTCCGTGCTGCTTGGTGGATATGACCGCGATGGGCCCCAGCTCTACTGCATCGAGCCCTCAGGCGTCACTTACGTGAGTGTCTGAAAGTGTCAGAGCTGTCACTCATATGAGCGAGTATAGGGAGCTCTCAAGACGCGGCCCCTCGGCTCCTCCGTGCTGCTGGCTGGCTATGACCGCGACGGGCCTCAGCTCTACTGCATCGAACCTTCGGGAGTCACTTATGTAAGCACCATAGATTTCCTGGGCAGTCACTTGTGTAAGTGCGGGTTTGAGATGTCTCAAGTCGCGTCCCGTTGGCTGGTCCGTGCTTCTCGCCGGCTATGACCGCGACGGGCCTCAGCTTTACTGCATCGACCCCTCAGGCGTCACTTATGTAGGTGGCGCAGAGGTGGTGCATTGTATGTCCCAGAGATGTCACTTACAAAGCGTAAGATGTGTTGCTTATGTAAGCTCTAAGTGTGGTGCTTAGTTCATGGTTCTATCCAACCTGTCACCCTACCACCCTCTTTCTCGTGCTCGTTTTACTGAGCTGTTATCCAAACAGCGTTGATGTGGTCAACTGTCTCACCATCTCCTTTCCCCCCGTCACGCATGGGTCATGGTTGCAGCGTTATCACGGCACTGCAGTGGGCAAGGGAAGGCAAGCAGCAAAGACGTGAGCTACTCCTCCTCTCCCCTGTCCTTCATGTCGTTCCTCCTACCCCTCTCTTCTCATGTCACTCCTCTTCCCCGGCTCCCCTCATACGTTCGTTCTCTTCTCATCACCATTGTCTTCCCTCCTTTCTCCTCTACTTCTCCCTCTGCATGTCTTTTAGCGAATGCTCCTGCTTCTTTCACTCATGTTTCACTTCATTCTTCGTCTTCTTTGCTCCCTCTCCTGCCGTCTTCCCTTTCTCCGCACATCTGCTGCCTTGCTGTGACCACCTTGCAGCGAGATAGAGAAGCTGAAGCTATCCGAGATGACGTGTCGGGAGGGGGTGAACGCTGTAGCCAAGATGTGAGTGCTGCACATTGTGTGCACGCGCCCATGCACACACGCATGTGCGCACTCACACACACGCACACACACACGCACACACACACGCACACACACACACACACACGCACACACACGCGCACGCGTGCACACACACACACACGCACACACACACACACACACACACACACACACACACGCACGCACGCACGCACGCACACACACGCACACACACACACACACGCACACACACACACACACACACACACACACACACACTCTTGTTAAACCATTCCCATTCATCCCCCTTACAAGCAGCATCGTTGGAGTGCATGATGAGGCCAAGGACAAGGCGTTTGAGCTGGAGATGGGGTGGTGCTGTGAGGAGTCCAACTGGCAATTCCAGAGAGTACGATACGACCCATGCAACCAATCAAGCACCCAACCTATCAACCGACCAGCCTATTCGTTCATTCACCATGCATCCCTTGCGTTCACTGCGACCGGGATCATATCAAAGGCACTCAGGCACACCTGGCACATTGGTTCATCTCGTTTCTTGCTGGCTTTCCTTCCTTGTTCCTATGCCTCATGTGTCGCAACGTTGGCATTGGCACTGCAATGTGTTGGTGTTTCAGGTGCCGGATGAAATAGTGAAGGCAGCGAGGGAAGCAGCAGAGGCAGCAATGGATGAAGACATGGACGACTGAGACGGTTCTGTTCAGCCATTGGACTTGTCGCTTCTTGGGGATACCAGATTACACGGCTATCTCTGCCAATGATGAGTGTACAGATTCCGTTAGTGCGCTGACAATAGCAGCTTGTCATCTGCTGCATAAATGGAAGAAAACAAATTTACCATGCTCATGCCAGTGCAAGGGTTTCCTGGGTAGTGGGCAATCGGCATGCACTTGGGCGGGCAGGCAAGAAAGCATGTCATAGCCGCCATCGCAACAAGCAGGCAGTGGGCAGTGGGACAGGGTCGCACCACACGCCTTGTTGTGGGGAGGCACGGGAACAGCATCACAGCCAGCCGTGTTGCAGACAGTGTACTCTGGCCAGCGCTGCCATATAATCCCCCGACCTGCCACGGCAGGGGAATGAATGTTGTCAAGAAGAGAGGAGGAAAAGAGGCGAAGAGGAAAAGAAGGCCAGGAACCAGCGGACGAGGAGACTAGGGAAAAGCTTTTGCGCAGATGTGTGGGACCCTGTACATTCAACTTCACTACCGGGGCCGGTCTCACAACTGTTGTACATTCACAAAAAACGAAGAACAAAAACAAGAGCAAAAACGGGACAATAAAGAAGTATGGAAAGAAGAAAGAAGAAGAGCTGGCCGTTTTACCTGAGCCCGTAAGGGGATTGTGCAGCCTCGAGAATATAATGCCGACTCTGATCCTGGTCACCCTGCAATCCGCACACACAGCAAGTTACGAGGCGTGGCAACGCAAAGCCGTGACAATGAGTGCTGTTGCAATCCTGCGGGTGTGTGCACGCATGAAACGCCGTGAGTGCTGTTGTAGAGATCACACCCCCAGTAATTCCACATCCCCATGTCTCACACCCCTCTCCCCTCTCCCCATGTTTCACCTCACTCTCATGGAACAAACCAATATAGAGGTTAGCGTAGAACAATGCAGATGGCCGCCCAAAGTCAGCCGCATCCATCTTTCTCCCACTCCCCTACCCAGTAACGAGGGAAACTCAAGGGGGTCTCACCTCACTCTCATGGAACAGACCAACGTAGAGGTTAGCGTAAAACAGTGCAGAAGGCCGCCCAAAGTCAGCCGCCGCTGCTGCCAGGATCTGAACATGCAGACAACGGGGAGGCACACGGAGGAGGTACGGGGACCAGGCACGGGGATGAGGCTCGGAGAGGAGGTTGGGGAAGGAGGCTAAGAAAATAAACAAGGAGAGCCAGATTCGGTTTTAAAAAAGGTAAGTTTCTGAGGCCAGATGCTCTGAGAGGCGTCCTCTGGCAGATGCCAGATTAGGCCGGGGGTCTTGTATCCTCGATACAGCCTACCTTGTTAGGGTCGCCGCCCGTCTGAAAGACGTCCATGGCAGCGCGCATGACAGGGCGCGGGTCCTGCCCCACTAGCAGGAACTGCTGCCTCGCCTGCTGTGGGCCCACCACTCGCGCCTCACTCAGGAAACACCAGATGGCCTGCCACGCATGCAGCAGGAGCAGCACGCAGCAGGGGGCAGCGGGGTAACGTGAGGGAAGGAAGGAGAGCATTGGGCGCAGAACAGTGAGTGGGGATCATAGCCTGTATGCCTCGCATCATGCAACATGGTTGACACTCTGAAAGGCTTCTCCCAAGCATCAACCTTAACCTTATCTCACCTTCGCACCGCACCGCACCTCACCAAACCTCACCCAACCTCACCCAACCTCACCCAACCTCACCGCACCTCTTCCGTGTCGTTGGGGTTCACCGCTACGTCCTTGCGGAACTGATTCGCTGCTTCTTGGAATCTTCCGAGGTAGTAGAGTGAAAGGCCCCTCTGCCAAAGGTCTGATGGGGCGAGAGGACGTGCGAAGATGAGGGAGAAAGGGGAAGAGTGTAAGGAGGAGGAGAGGGAGCAAGAATGTAGGGTTGAAAGCATGGTGCAGGGGAGAAGGGAGGTGCGGAGGAGAGCGAGGAGAGGGGAGGAACGAGGAGAATGGGCTACCCGGGTACACGAGAGAGGAGAAGCAAGAATTGGTGTTCCCTTCCTGCTAGATTCACCTCTCACAGGGCTCCTGCGAAGAGTTCAGCTGAAGCGTCTCACACGGCGCTCATACACACACACGGCACTCACGGGGCTCCTGTAAGGGGTCCAGCCGAAGCGCCTCAAATGGCATCCATACACACACACGGCACTCACAGGGCTCTTGCGAGGGGTCCAGCTGTAGCGCTCGGTCAAACTCCACAGCCGAGCCCTGCACGTCGTTCTGGTGGCCATGGCATGGCGGGGTGTGGGGCATTGGGGGGATGGGGTGCATGGGGGCATGTAGGGCATGATGTGCGAGACATGGCGCATAGGCGGTGAGCATGTGATGGCACAACAGGAAATGAGCTCTACCCACCCCCGCCACTCTCCAGCCCTCCCTCCGTTAGTACCCACTCTCGCGCGCCTCCAGTCGTTACCTCCACGAATAGCTCCATGCCACGTCGGACGGCCGCCCTCGCCGCCTCTCGATTCCCGCCGAATCCGCCCGCCATCGCGATGGTCGCCGCCCCGCCGATCGCGGCGGCAGCCACAGCTGCTAGAGGCGCGGCGGGAAATTCCCCCCATTCGAGCATTACGCCCTTTGCGGAAATTGTTCGTTTACGTCGACTGCATGGGAAGCTACTTCTGCCTAGAAGCTCGGCATTGCGCGCCGATCCATTCCGCCATCTGCGGAGTGACTTATCCGGTGACAACGGGGACAATGCGCCGGAAAATGCCGTGGGGGATTTTGAATCTCGAGAAAGTGCTTGAGTTTTGGCCGTGGCGGGAAACACGGCGCCAATTGCGGCCATCGTCATAGCAAGTACGGATTGTTCTGGAAACCTGATTGGAATTTGGTTTTGTTGAGTGGGGCCACAAATTGCAGCGGCGGTTGCGTCCCGATACTCGTTAGGAGCTACTTCGCCACAAAGTGGAGATTGTCCGTAGATCTGTGTATGTAAGCACCTCATACGGTTTTACTCAGCCATACGAATGGCTCCTCGGCTTGGAAATTATTCTTGCATGTTGACCTGCTGGTTGTGTGCCGCTTTTGGGCACAAAATGTAAAATCTTAGCCGTCGAGAGAAGAATTGTAAACCGATCCGACGTTGAACAGATAGGAACTCAGCCCCTCCGCAACCCACCGCACAACCGACTTTCTGGGTAGGGCGCGCTTCGGTGAGCCCCACATCCGGCCAATCATGCATTTTTGTCGTGAGAAGGCCGCAGCGCTAATGTCTGTGCCTGCTGGGCTCGGTTACAAAGGCTGCACGGAAGCCAGCAAACCAAACGCTCGCCGAACCAGAATGATCAGTTTAGCACCAATAGCAGACGTGGTAACGACCAACAAAGCGCACAGTTAGGTTTGGTATCAGGTTTAGCCAGCTCGGCACGGTTTCGGTCGAACCGAACCGAGCCGACGAGCAGGTCAACGCAGCGCAGCCAGCAAATCCAGAGCAAGTGCAGCTTTTCGTGCGGAAGAGGCGCAATTACAGCGCGGGCGGGCACTGGGGCGCATTGCTTTCTTACAGGTGCCGCTGGGCCCCCACAGCACCACGGCTTCCGATCCGAACCACCGCGGCATGGTTGTTGTGGGAAGTGGGGCAACAGGGAGAGTGCTACTCGCTGAAATGCGGTATGTTTCGTTGCCTTCTGTCGGTTGCTCTTTTCCGAAATGCACGCGCTTGTTTCTTCAGCCTCATCCACACTTCCACCAAATCGGACGTGGCTGCTTCTTTAGGTTATACAGCAAGTTGTGAAGGTTAACTAGCTCGCCAAGTCAACGCACCGTGCACCCTGCGTTTCTTGTCGCGCGTCCTCTCTTTCGTAGTATCAAGCGAAGTTCAAACCAGCTTTTTAGCAGTGGTCCCGTCACCGTAATAGGAAATGGTTTCTCCGCGAGAACGAGCCGGTTTTTCCCGGCGCTTCGCAATCGGAGCGCTCCTGCTGGCGGCCGCAGTAGCGCTGCTCCTCTTGCCCTGCGCCGATGCTGCGCGGAAGGATTCCTGGTCTCCGCGGACCTTCACCGCCGATCCTTTCCCCGTGCCGCCGCCCGACTGGCAAAACCTCCCCTTCCTGCGCCGCCAAGAGAGCGCTCGCCGCAAGCTTCTCAGCGGTGGCCACGTGCCACGTCCTCATTGGATGCCGCCGAGCGAGTACACCATTCCCTGGATGCTGGGGGATCGGAAACCGCTCATTCCCACAGACCCCTCCGCGGGGGAAGCTGACGTGGCGGAGGCGGCGGCCACGTCATCCGGAAATGACGGGTGGCTTGGGGCTAACGGTGCACGTGTTGCTTCTACCGCTGCTGCTAACGGATGGGCAGGCGCGGGCGCGGGCGCGGGGGCGGGGGCGGGGGGGAAGAGAACCACACTGGCGCGGCGCATGGGCGTGTGCTCCCCGATTACCGCCGCGAGTCCGCGAATCGTGGTTACCTCCGAAGCCGACTTCGTGAAGCGCCTCAAGTATCCGCGAAAGACGACGGTCCTGATGACGCTCAAAGCAGACGTGACGCTAAAGAAAGGCCTCGCTTTTGGCCCCTATTACTCGTGCACGATTCTGCAAGCGGACGTCACGGGCAACCGTACGATCTCGTTACTTGGATCCGATCAGCCCATTCTCCGAATCGTCGAGACTTTCAACGTGATTGTATGGGGAATCAACTTCTGGATGGGCGTTCTTCCAACTTCCCCTGCTTGCAAGGGGCTACCAGAGCTCGGATCCGGGGTGGTTTGCCCTACAATTCACGTGTACAAATCGTTCGGCATCCAGATCGCACAGGGCTACCTGTGGGGGCGACTGGACCTGTATCGCACGATGGATTCGCTCGTCGACGGGATGGCCATCACGGGCGAGTTTCCGTTCGAAAAAAGCCCCGGCGCGGTCCGCATCGCCTTCAGCGGAGTCGGCACGAGGGCGATCAAGTCGGGGATCGTGCTTTCGAATAACGACATCTACCGTGAGTTGCCCGCCGTGCCCGCTGAGCCTGCCGCGCCCGCCGAGCCTGCCGTGCCCGCCATATGCCCTCTCACACGCGTTGCCTCCTTAGTCTGCAATTTATCTCCCCTTTTTTCTCTATCTACCTCTCCATCTCTCGCTCTTAACTCCTCTCCGCTCCCACGCGGCAGCTCTACACGCGCATGCCCTCCTCTCCTAATCTTGCTCTCCTCTCTCCGTTTCCCCTCCGTTTGTGCTTTCCCCCTTCCCTCCCAACCCCTCTCCTCCCCTCCACTGCCCTCTCCCTCCGCTCCCCTCTCCCGTTACCTCGTTTCCCCATTCCCCGCTCGTCTGCCGCAGTCGTCAACACGCCCGTCTACTTGATCAACGGCGCCGTCGGCGTGCAGGTACGTCTGACGGATAGCAGTCAAACCTTCGGAAATCGCACTGAAATACAGTCACCAGAATATCAAAGGTATTTTTCCTCTCGTGGTTACCGCACCTTGCTCCGTTTCGTCCCGCTCTCTCATCCCCCTTCATGCCCCAATCGATGCGTCCTTCACTGGAGCCTCACGATCTCTGTTCCAATCCTCTCTCCACTCCTCTCCATACATCCCCGCTCCTCGCCACCCCTCCCCACCCCTCTGCAGATCGTGAACAACTTTCTGCACCAGTTCACGGGCGACGGCGTGCAGTGCGGGACGCACGTGAACAACGCGGGGAGTTGCATGATGACGTTCATCGCGCGCAACTGGTTCTTCCCCAACACCACCGTCACCGCCAAGACCGACATCGCCAACATCCGCTTCACCACGCACTGGATCAGCCCTGGTGAGCTCTCCTCCCCTGGCCCACTCGCGTGCGGCTCACCCTGCTTCCCGTGCTCCCCATTGGTCCCCAAGGGTGTGCGGCTGCTGCTCTATACCCCACCATATTGTCTCTTTTTAATCCCATTCTCGTTTACCGGGCGCAACTGGTTCTCCCCAACACCACCATCACCGCCAAGACCGACATCGCTAATATCCGCTTCACCACGCACTGGATCAGCCCTGGTGCGCGCTTCTCTCCTGTGCTGCTTCCTTCTCCCTATATCCATGCCCCACTCTTACTCCACTGGTGTGCTGCTTCCCTGCTTTCCTTCCCCAACATCACCATCACCGCCAAGACCAACATCACCAGCATCCACTTCACCACGCACTGGATCAGCCCGGGTGTGCTCTCCTGGCCGGGGGGCAATATAACCCCTGAAACGAACTCGATGCCTCAACCCCCCATCCACACTGCAAAGAGTCCTTATGAACACGCTTGCCTCAAACACCGTTTGCTCACCCCACACCACCTGCTCCCACTCCTCAGGCAATGCGGCGTCATGCAATTACATGGTGGGCAGCAACAGCTGCACAGCGTCCCCCTGAACAACACACTGCATGCCTCACACCCACCCCACTCGCTCACTTCAGTCCCTACTCACCCCACCCCATCGCACCCCACCTCACTTCACCCCACCCCACTTACTCCCAACAGGCAATGCGGCGTCATGCAACTACATGCTGGGCGGCAACAGCTGCTTCAACCTTGAAGCGGACACCACTGGCGTTGTCGTCCTGGGAGGCGCGTGCATGGGTGCTTATAACGGAGTCAACATTGAGAACGGCAAAGAGTACGTCTGTTGCCTGGGTCTTTTCAATCTCTTGCGCCTTGGGTTCTGTTGTGCCTCGGGTTCTGTTGTGCATTTTTAACGGTTTTGGATTGGAAGGAACATTGGACTGACCTTCTTGTTTGCCTCTCCCTTTTTGGACTCCTTTTCTTTTATACACATTGAATATTTGTTTTGTACCAATACAGGAATCGGATACAGTACGTGTGGGTGAAGGACTACACTGCTGTGCCGGGGTCAGCAACGTGTCCCACAGTGACGAGCATCAACTGCAACACGGCCACGGGCAAGCTGTGGGAGAGCAAGCGGGTCAAATACTACAACTCGCCTGCCATCAACAAGGTACTTGCTTGCCATGACTGGGGCTCTACCAAGGTTAAAAAAAACGTCGTTTTTTTGACAATTTACCGTAAAAAACGGTACCGTAAATACGGACCGTAGAAAACGGTAAAAAACGGTTCCAGAAGGTGATTTTCGTTGAAAGAAAAAATTGGCAATTTTATGTGACCAATTTGATGGCGAAAATCACCAGGATGAAGAGGAGGAACCCCTCCTTGCATGTGTGCATGCGTCGGCATGATTGAACATGTATCCGATCTTGTTTTTGCCGTTTTTTCCTTGGTGAAATGAGTTCTCTAACAAAAAAACGTCGTATTTTTGAAAATTTATCGTAAAAAACGGACCGTAAAAAACGGATCGTAATTTACGGAAACCGTATTTTTGCACCTTGGGCTCTACCGACATCTTCCTAGTCAGTGGAGCATGCTCAACTACATACAGTGCAAGTATCCTTACATATGTAGCCCGAGCGCACTCTCTCCTCACTTGTGTCTTCCCCTTCCCCCCTTCTTCCCGTGTCCTCTCCTTTTTCCCTTTTCCCACACCCCTTTCCAGCGCTGGCCCTTCCTGAGCAACATCTGCAAGGACTCGAGCATCGGCACGGTGCCCTGCAATGTCCCCACGGCCGGGTCCTACAATGCAAAGCAGACCGGCAAGTGCAGCGGCCTCCCGACCAGTAACATTCTCGATCTCGCCCTGCTGGACGGCAGCAAATTCCCGATGAGCTTCCAAGGCTGTGAAAAGACTCCCTCCGTGCCTACAGTGAACAAGTTCTCGAGCATCAGGTATACTTCTGCCAATGTTCCGGGCCTGCAGTTTGTGAATTTCACAACTGGAAGCCTGGAGGTGAAGCCTACGTCTCCTATATTCAAGCAATGGCCACGGTTCATGAACTGCAAGTTGGACTCGCTTGGGTTGAAGTCTCGGCCAGCCCGGGCATACTTGGCATTTTACAACGTACCTGTTCCGCTTGGATTCCCTCAGTTGCTGACGATGACAAGCGACCACTTGTAGAAGGGCTGGGGAAGTGGTACTGGTTTCTCTACTCATTGTTGTAATAGTCACTAGATGAATGGACCTGGTAGTTACTAAACATATTCAGTAGTGATAGCTGAAGCACCTGATAGAATGGGGCTTCAGAGTACTGTAGCATATTCAGTAGTGATAGCTGAAGCACCTGATAGAATGGGTCTTCAGAGTACTGTAGATTGAAATGCAAAATGGCCAACCTAATTTCTGGTGGATCCAAGCGAACGACAGTCGTGGGGATGTTTTCGTGCGCACGTCCCGCTTCCTCCTCGGCATGACATCGCAGATGTTAGAAATTTTGAGGAACTGTCGCGAAATCCAAAACAACATCGCGGCTCGGAATTTTGGGGGCGAGTTTCACCGACATGATGAGTCGACTGCGGTTGCGAATTTCAAGCTCCAACTTGCAACGTTCACTTCTCTCACTCCAAATCAGCTTCTTCGAACTTTGCAAACCACTTTATATGCCGTCCCCTCATTGCATAGCCAAGTCCGAGGTCACATTCAGCCCAGTAACGCTTCGGCCTGCATTCAAGTACCAGCCTTCTCTTTGTCGCGTCTGACCAGTATTTTATAACTTCAGGTTCCGAGCCAAGGTCGCTACACTGTAGCTCGATATCGTTCTCGCCTCCTGAAATTTCTGCCTGAGACACCACGTGAATCGCAAGCGTCAGGATGGGCCAGTTTGGCCCGGCTGCGCTGATCGCATGCGTGTCGCTGCTCATCCTTCTCGCGGCACCAGCGGTGAAGCCTGATGATGATTCTCCACGTGAATCACTAGCTATCAGGGACGGTAAGGTCTCTGATCTAGACAACTTTGACAGCCTGAGGGCGTCTGTGATCTCCTGTTCTCTGCTGCTTTTCACTGCTTTAACCTGTGTGATGAAGCTTCGTTTTCGCATGTCGGCTCCTCGCGTTGACCCTAACCTTCCAAATTCTCCCTGCTGCGCCGCATTTTCGCAGGCGACCAGGACGCGTGGACGCAGCAATCGTCGCCTCTATCGCTCATAGAGGATTTATTCCCTACGTCGCCTGCGCTCTCCTCCCCCTATCGCCTCCTCAAGTCCACCCCCGCCCCCACGAAGTCCTCCGGCCGCGCAAACTCCCCCGCCCGCGCAAGCTCCGTGCCAGCCTCCGACAAGAAGGGCAGCGGCAAGAAACTGCGGCAGTCGGGAAAATCGGCGTCTGAGGGCGCAACTTCAGCAGGAGCCGGAACAGCCCTCTCGTCGTCCGCTTCCGGGAAGGGGAAGCGGGGGAAACAGGGGAAGCGGGGGAAGCGGGGGAAAAAGGGGGGTGCGGTGAAAGCAAGTGACACGAATAGTTCGCTGCAGAGCGGAAAGAAAAATGCGGGGAAGAAAGGAAAGAAGGCGGCCGTTTCATCGGGCAAAACGGGGTCTGCTGGAGAGAGGAAGAAAGGCGGGCATAAGTGGCCTCGCGATGCCACAACGGGGACTTCTGGTGAGAGGAAGAAGGGTGGACATAAGTGGCCTCGCAAAGGCGCGAAGCAGTCTGGTGTCAAGAAATCGACGGCACAGACGGCGAATGGGCCAGTAGCGAAGAAGGCTGCGACGACTTCGCCAGCGTCGGGTAACGCAGGAGGGTCTAAGCGTGGACGAGGCAAGTCTGGAAAGGGGAAGAAGAAGAGACGCACTGCCGCTGCGGCGCCAGCTGACTCCGCTTCAGCCGGCGCAAAGACCGGCGGGAGCAAGAGGAAGCCAGCGTCTGCCAAGCCCGGCTCGCGTGGAGGATCCGCACCTCACGCCGCAACCCCCGCACGCTCGCCCAAGAAGGGAAAGACAACAAAGCACAGCCAGGAGGTCGGTTCTGACATTGAAGGAAAAGGGTCGTCGAATTCCGGCAAGTCAACGAAGCCGCCTGCGTCTTCCTCGGGAGGAAGCGCGCCGAGCTCTGCGAAGGCGCCCAAAGGCTCTGACTCAGATGCCTCCAAGACTAGCAAAGCGCCGAAGCCGCCCAGCAACCCAACTAGCAGCCCAAAGCCCACCAAGGATAAGAACTCGGATTCGGCCAAGGCTGATCCAGGCTCGGACAAATCAGGCTCGGATGCAACGCCTTCTCCTCCCGCTTCTCCCGCCAAGCCAAGCAAGGGGAAGAAGGACAAGCCACCGCCTCCAGCAGACACGAGTGAGAGTGAACCTGCCAGCCCGCCTCCTGCCGCTACTGTGCCGAAGATGACATGCGAGATACACAAGGGGCAGCAGCTGATGGTGATGGACGGAAATCTCTTCTTCACGGGGAATGTGGAGAAGTGCGAGGGTGCTTGTATCAAGGATTCCTCGTGCCTCATGTACACCTTCTCCGGACTCAGCTGTCAACTCTTCACGGCTAATATGACTGCCAGGCCTGTCAAGGCGTGCTTTTCGCGAAAGTGCCAGTGGGGTAAGTGCAGAGATACAGAGGGAGATGGTAGTGAGGAGGACAGTAGCGGAGATGGCAGCTCTGGCGGGGATACTGGTGGTGCAGATGAGAGTGGGGGAGGTGATCATGGGGGTGATTCAAGTGGAGGTGACTCTACTGGGGATGACAGCACTGGTGACTCCGGCGATGATTCCGGCTCGGATGGAGGGACCATCGACTACGGGGAATGATGCAGGCTAGCAATCCACCAATTCTATACTTGGTTGTTTTGGGAACAACAGCCAGCTGACATTCCAAAATGCAGGAATTTTAACATTATCAATACATGATGTTTTCTACGTATATGTCACGCGCTATATCAAACCATAGGTGTTTGTTCAAGACGTTCCGCAGATAATGACCTTCCATTGGTGCGATAAGCATGATCTTGAAAGCTGGCGTGGACATAACTATTCACTCCATGCCACGTGCAAACGCCACTCCGTCCTTCTTGACCTTCGCGCCCCCGCATACTCCCCGCATCACTCGACTTCTTGACCTTCGCGCCCTTCTCTTGGTTTGAATGAAGCATTTCTCCGCTCAGCCCCTCGAGTGAGCGTTGCGCTTGTGAACCCTTCCGCCCCCGGAATGGTTGGGTTGGGAACATATGGGTGTTCATCCAAGCCCTGGTGGGCGCATTTCCACCAGGTGCCTCCCTGGTGGAAACGAGTACGCAGAGCTGGCGGAAGCGATCTGCCCGGGGCAGAAAAAAACTAAACCCCATCGCGACCCGCATGCCGTTCGGGAGCCTCAACCCTAGGGTTGAGGCTCCCGAGCCGCATGCCGGTCGCGATGGGGTTTAGTTTTTTGTTTGCCCGCGGGCAGGTCGCTTCCGCGAGCGCGCGGAAGCCTTCCCGCATTCGCCCGTGGTTTACTGTTCCTGCTCGTATGAACCTCTGAGTTCGTGCGCCAGCGTTGTCTTCGTGCCGCCGTCGTCGAACGTCGTTTGAACGTCGTGTTGGCGATACATATAATTTTTGGGCCACTCTGTTACACGGAAAAAACTTCGCAGACGATGATCATGTGGATCGGTAACAGCTCGCGAGCTCCCGAATATGGTTACAGTCGTAGATGATCGACAGCTGATGTCATCACTTGTCCATATAGGTGTAGGTGCCAAGCGCGGTCCGCAATCCTGCATCTGAGGGGCCTCGTCTGGGAGTGGCGGGGGGAGTGGATGTGGTTTGGGTGTGTTTGGTTTCAAAATACGAGTCCTTCCAGTTATCGCACAAGCCGTAGCTGGCTACGACTTCCTTTCTCAACGAACCAGCCCAATCAGGTTACAGTCAGGGCCTCCATGGAGGATAGCACATACTCGGAGAAGTTAGGGACGTACTGTCAAGATGTGATCAGGTCGACAATTGGGCAGAAACTTTCGGCCGATCCGGATCGCGCCGAACGCCGATATAATCACATAAGATGGGCAACTTATGGCCAGAATGGCTCTCTTCGGGCTCGAGACGATAACTTTCCAACGGTAAGATGGATAATGTGTCACATGCCTCCTCTCAGCAGGATATCATGTCAGTTTCATTTCACAGTGCTACGTGGTTATGGCTCCTTCTTCCCGGCATCTCTCAGGTTACCGAGCATCAGATTAGAGCAATTGTGGAGGGGTTTAACGACGTGAATGTTCTGGCGGCGAATGGGCTATGGCTCGGTAACGAAAACTTCACGGTCATTCAGGGTGTTCCTGGCGTTATCATTCGTGGAAGAAACAAGCGAGACGAGGTAGGTACTTCCATCTTGAATTACCGTTCCTTTACCGGTTCTTGCATCTATTCGAATATGTCTGTTTTGAAAAAAGAAACACTGACGTCGTTGCTATTCCCGCAGAACCGGAAAGTTGGAGGTTGCTGCATCCACAAAACCTAAGCTAATATTGCGATTGCCATCTTCGAGGAGCCTGTCATTGCGGGTGACGTAAATGTGCTCCTTGCTGAAATTGCTCAAACTCTCAAGGGCGATAATGTTTAGTCAATTGAGAATCTTCATGTCGGGTGTTGCTTAGTGGAAAACTAACGCTGCTTCCTCGCTTTTCTAGTGAAATTATTGTTCTGCCGTGAGTTCATGTGTACCTACCACCATATATACCACCCCCTGAAATAGAGAACCTCCGGATAGCTAATGGATTCCGCACATACTCACACCCACCTCCCCCCCCACCACCATCCCCTTGAGGTGGGTTGCTCCCCCCCCTTATTTGTGATGTGCATGAACCTTTGCCAGTGTGGAATCCGAGGTGTTATTAGTAATACCAGCACTGTACGGTACTAGAAGCTAACTGAGTCACGCAGGTGAATCTGGCTCTTGCTAGGTGGCCCCTAAGGGCCCCATGGGTGAATCTGACATGTTTGCTTGCCTAGGTTCCTTTGTCAAACCTATGTCACCCAGTTCTTCAGTTCAAATAGTGATGCTTGTATCAAAGGACGTGTAAATAGATTTTCAAGCGTAATGGAAGAGGAGCGATTGTGAGTTGGTGAGATTTCCTTGCCTTTGAAAATAAGTACTTGGTGTTACGAATAGTATGTCTGAACATTACTGTGCACTCCTCACCGCAGCTAAAGAAACACGCAGTAACGAGAACGAATCTGAAGAGTCAGAATTGACTCGAAGCGTCAGACAGTTGGCAGGCACATCTGGACCGTCGGAAGCAGACGGCATCGGCAGCTGCAGGCAAAAGGAAAACGGCGCTAACATGTCAAACTATACATGCTGCTTATTGTCTAGGCTGTAGTGGGGTAGCCCATATGGGGTACAACCCAATTAGGGTTTACTACTTGTACTCCTGCATCCTGCTAGCCCAATCATTCCTGCTGCTAGATTCTAACATGGTTTCAGAGCACTAAGGTCCGTAGGACCGTTTTTTTTCGGGCCCACCTACCGCTGCGGTTACCGCGCTACCCCACGTACCTGCCTGCCTTGCCTTGCCTTGAGACGTGCTGCGCTACGCGCGCCGTCCAGCAGCCCTAGCGCTGCCTCCTGCTGCCCTAGGCTCGCGCGCCGCCCCTACAGGCCCTTCAGGCTCGCGAACCGCCCCTACAGGCCCGTCAGACCCCCTGCTGCCGCGCGCTGCCCGCACCGAGCCCGCGCAGCCCGCGCCGAGCCGCGCGCAGCCCGCTGCTGCCGCGCGCTGCCCGCACCGAGCCCGCGCAGCCCGCGCCGAGCCGCGCGCAGCCCGCTGCTGCCGCGCACAGCCCGCGCCGAGCCCGTGCAGCTCGCGCCGAGCCGCGCGCAGCCCGCTGCTGCCTCGCGCGGCCCGCGCGCGGCCCGCAGCAGCCCGCGCCGAGCCGCGCGCGGCCCGCTAATGCCTCACGCGACCCGCGCGCGGCCTGCAGCAGCCCAGCGCGCTGTCCGCGCAGCCTGCGCCGAGCCGCGCGCGGCCCCGACCTGCCGCTGCAGCGGTTCCGCCCCGACCTGCCGCTGAAGCGGTTCCGCCCTGCAGCTGCAGCGGCCCTACTCTACAGCCACTGTTGCGGCCCCGCCGTCGCCGGCGTCGTCCGCCTACCCGGCCGCCGCCCGCCAAGCGCCAGCCCTGCTCGCCTGCCGAGCGCCTGCCCTTTCCAGCCTTTGGTGAGCACCTGCCTGCCTGCCTGCCTGCCTGCCTGCCTGCCTGCCTGCCTGCCGGTCTGCCTGCCTGTCTGCCAGCCGGCCTGCCTGTCTGCCTGCCTGCCTGCCGGCCTGCCTGCCTGCCGGCCTGCCTGTCTGCCTGCCTGCCTGCCTGCCTGCCTGCCTGTCTGCCTGCCGGCCTGTCTGCCTGCCGGCCTGCCTGTCGGCCTGCCTGTCTGCCTGCCTTCCTGCCTACCTACCTGCCGGCCTACCTGTCTGCCAGCCTGCCTGTCTGCCTGTCTGCCTGCCTGCCTGCCGGCCTGTCTGCCTGCCTGCCGCACCTGCCTGAGCTGCCCGAGCTGCTGCTACTACTCCTGCTATTAGCAGGTGGCCAGATGCAGCTCCAGCGTCGTTCCCGCGAGTCTCTCACGCCCCAGCAGCTTGATGAGTGGTATACTAGTTGGGGCTGTCGAGGTAGCCGTCGTAGCAGTCGCCCTGGAGCTGGTCAGTTGGGGGCGTCTGGCAGTGGCCAGCTGCAGTTGCAAGGGGCGTCCACGCGAGACACTTACGCCCCGGCAGCTCCAGGAGTGGTACGCTCAGTGTAGCAGGTCTTCGCGTACCGTTCGCTGCCCGTACGTCATTCGCACAGGTGTTAGGACTGGTCAGCCTTGCGGGACGCTTGGTCACACACCGTCCCGCTGCTTCGCCCGTCTGAGCGACTCCTGGCATACCGTGTTTGGCGACGAGGCTGAGCTCCCTACTTGGGTGGAGCTGATTGGACAGAGGGTTGATATCTTTGCTCTTGACTATGATGCTATTCTCACTGCCATGTATGCATTGCCTACTAGTGTTGACCGTGCCTGTTACCTGTGCGTACCGCCTGACCCTGGTATAGCGCCTGCTGCTCTCGGTGCTCGTGCGTCTCCTGCTCTCGGTGCTGGTGAGGCTGCTGCTCTAGGTGCTAGTGTGTCTCCTGCTCTAGGTGCTGGTGAGGCTGCTGCTCCAGGTACTGGTGAGTCTGCTCTCTCTGGTACTGCGCCTGCTGCGGTCTTGCACACCTTCACCCTTGACTCAGGAGCTTCCTGCTCCTTCTTTCGCGATTGCACCACACTCACGCCGCTTAGTCGGCCAGTTCCAGTCTCCCTGGCGGACCCCTCTGGGGGTCTAGTCCTTGCCCACTACTCCACGGTTTTGCCGTGTCCGGCCGCCCCGTCTGGCTCGCTGTCAGGTCTTTACCTCCCCTCGTTCTCTACAAACTTGGTGAGTGGAGCTGACCTCCAGGATAGGGGGGTTCACCAGTTCACTCCTGCGAGTCAGCGAGTGACTCACTGTACGTGTGCTCGGACGGGCCGGCACCTGGCCACGTTTACCCGTGCGCCTGGCTCGAGTCTGTACACACTGACCACTGCGTCCCCTCAGGTGGCTGCGTCTGCGTCTGCGTCAGGTCAGCTGGCGGCCCCCTGCGAGTGTCGCGCTTTGTCGCACGACACTCTCCTGTGGCACCACCGCCTTGGTCACCCCTCCCTGCCTCGTCTTCGTAGCATGCACTCTCGCTCCCTGGTCTCTGGTCTTCCCAGGTCTTTGCCTGCCCTCCCTCCCTCGCCTGCGCCGCCCTACATTCCTTGCGTCGAGGGGCGGCAGCGCGCCGCTCCTCACTCCTCCTCGTTCCCTCCCACAGAGGCTCCCCTGCAGACTCTCCACCTGGACGTGTGGGGCCCAGCCCGCGTCCGTGGACAGGGCCACGAGCGGTACTTCCTGCTGGTCGTCAACGACTACACGCGTTACACCACGGTCTTCCCCTTGCGCACCAAGGGTGAGGTCCCTGATGTTTTGATCCCTTGGATCCGCGCTGTTCGTCTCCAGCTCCACGAGCGGTTCGAGCGGGACTTTCCTGTCCTGCGTCTGCACTCTGACAGAGGTGGTGAGTTCACCTCAGACCTCTTGGCAGCCTACTGTGCGGAGCACGGCATCCGCCAGTCGTTCACGCTTCCGGCCTCTCCGCAGCAGAATGGGGTTGCTGAGCGCCGCATTGGCTTAGTCATGGAGGTCGCTCGTACCTCCATGATCCATGCGGCCGCCCCCCATTTTCTGTGGCCGTTTGCGGTCCGGTACGCCGCGCATCAGCTCAACCTCTGGCCCCGTGTCTCCTTGCCGGAGACCTCGCCCACACTGCTGTGGACGGGGGAGGTTGGCGATGCGTCGCGTTTCCGGGTCTGGGGTGCTCGTGCCTTTGTCCGTGATACCACCGCGGACAAGCTCTCCGCCCGCGCTGTTCCCTGTGTCTTCCTTGGCTTTGTCCCTGACGCGTCTGGTTGGCAGTTTTACCACCCCACCTCGCGCCGTGTCTTTGCGTCTCAGGACGTCACGTTCGACGAGTCGGTTCCCTTTTACCGTCTCTTCCCCTACCGCACTGCCCCTCCCCCCCCCCCCCCCCCGCCCCGCCGCTCTTCCTCGCTCCAGGTGCTCCCCAGGTAGACCCCCTCCCCGCGTCAGGTCCTGCTCCTTCAGGTGTGTCTCAGGTAGACCCTCCTCCCTTGACTGCGCCGGTTGAGGTCACTGGTGACTCAGGTCCTGCTGAGGGTGGTCCTGCTCGGGGTGTTCCTTCTGGGGGTGCTGAGCCTGGGGGTGCGGAGCCTGGGGGTGCTGAGCCTGGGGGTGCTGAGCCTGGGGGTGCGGAGCTTGAGGGTGTGGAGCCTGGAGGTGTTGAGCCTGAGTGTGAGGAGTCTGAGGGTGCAGGCGCTTGAGTTTCTGGAGCTGCTGGAGGTCCTGGTGCTGGTGGCGCTGGAGCTGGTGGTTCTGGGGCTGCTGAGGGTGCGGGCGCTGGAGGTTCTGGAGCTGCTGGAGGTCCTGGTGCTGGTGGCGCTGGAGCTGGGGGTTCTGGACCTGCTGATGGTACTGGCACTGGAGGTTCTAGAGCTGATGAGGGTGCTGGCGCTGAGGGTTCTGAGTCTGCTGTTGCGCGGTCTCCTTGGAGTGGCCGCCTTCGTCCGCGTGTGCCTCTCACCTCCCAGCAGCTGCACGACTGGTACGGTCGCCGTCAGGGTCGCGCTTCTGGAGCTCGGGGCTCTCCTACTGGAGGTCCTTCTGGTGACGTCACTGGAGCTGGGAGTGGTGCTGGTCTCGGAGGTGCTCGTACTGGGGGTACTGGAGCTACTGGGGCTGGAGGTGCTGAGCCTGCGGGTGCTGCTGCTGGGGACACTGCGGCTGGAGACCCTGGGACTGGGGGTGCCGGTTCTGGGGGTGCTGCTGCTGGTGGAGCTGGCCCTGGAGGAGCTGGCGCTGAGGGTTCTGGTGCTGCTGGAGGTGCTGGAGCTACTGGAGGTGCTGGAGCTGCTGGTGCTGGTGGCACTGCACCGACTCGACTTTTCTTCGCTCCGCCGTCTCCGTCGTCTCAGCCACCGTCTGGCTCTGCCCTTCGCCAGGTTCTTGACCTCCCGTCTTCTACTGGTCTACAGTTACTGCCTGGCTCACCGCTGCCTGCTCCTTCCCCTTAAACTGAGCACACAGACTGGGGGTCTTGCTGAGCGTCGTGAGCCTGCGTCGCGTCCTGTCTCGCCTGTTCGTCCTTGTCGTACCGTTCGTCGTGTTCCTCGTCAGCGTCAGCCGGCTGTCCCCGGCACACGCCTTGTAGCCCTGCGTCGGTCCTCTCCTCCGGAGCGTACTCCTCTTCCGTCTCCTCCTGCGTCCTCTTTGCCTGACGTCGTGGATCCTGAGTCTGACTGGTTTCGTGCTGAGCACCCTACTGTCACGCGTCTGCTAGCCACTGTTGTCACTGACCCATCGTTTGAGTCTACTGCTGCGTCTGCCCTGGTCGCTGAGCTTGTTGACTTTGCTGCTGCCTGTCGTCTAGACTTCGCTGCCAGTCTTGTTGCTGAGTCTGAGTCTGTCTGTCCTCCGTCCGTCGGGGGTGAGTGTGCTCTTAGCACGGACGTCCTTGAGGACAGGCACGAGGACCTTGAGTGTCTTGCGGCTGCTGCGCCTCATCTCGTGGCCATGCTGCTTGCCCCTGAGGGAGACCCGGATGCACCAGACGTCACGACCCCGCGCTCTTACGTATACTCTCAGTGGCAGACAGCCATGGACGCAGAGATGGCATCCTGGAAGTCCACAGGCACTTACGTCGATGAGGTTCCCCCTCCTGGGGCGAACATTGTCGATGGCATGTGGATTTTCAGGGTGAAGCGGCCGCCGGGTTCTCCGCCTGTCTTCAAGGCTCGTTACGTTGCTAGAGGCTTCAGTCAGCGAAAGGGAGTTGACTTCTTCCAGACCTTCTCCCCCACCCCGAAGATGACCACTCTTCGGGTGCTGCTGCACGTTGCCGCTCAGCGTGACTACGAGCTTCACTCTCTTGACTTCAACACAGCCTTCTTACAGGGCAGCCTGCACGAGGAGATCTGGCTGCGCCGCCCACCTGGCTTCACTGGGTCGTTCCTTCCTGGTACCCAGTGGAGCCTCCGGCGGCCAGTCTACGGTCTCCGCTAGGCGCCTCGTGAGTGGCACGACACACTGAGGATGACACTTGCGGCTCTTGGGTTTGCTCCTTCGACTGCTGACCCATCGCTGTTTCTGCGCACCGACACTTCGCTGCCGCCGTTCTACATCCTCGTGTACGTCGACGACTTGGTCTTTGCCACTGCTGACAATGAGGCTCTCGCTCAGGTGAAGTCGGAGCTGCAGAAGAGACACACGTGCACAGACCTGGGTGAGTTGCGCAGCTACCTTGGCTTGCAGATCACCCGGGACAGAGCACGCCGCACCATCACCCTGACTCAGTCACACATGGTGCAGCAGGTCCTTCAGCGCTTCGGCTTCTCCTGGTCCTCCCCACAGCCCACTCCTCTGGCTACAGGTCACTCGCTCTCAGCTCCACCTTCGGACGAGTCCGTAGAGCCGAGTGGTCCTTACCCAGAGCTAGTTGGTTGCCTCATGTACCTGATGACCTGCACTCGACCTGACCTCGCATACCCACTTGGACTTTTGGCTCGTTACGTGGCTCCTGGCAGGCACCGAAAGGTGTGTCAGAACTAGCAGTAGAAAGTAAGAATGAAGAAAGGAGGGTTTGCACTAGCAGCAGTTGGCATACATATAGGAAACCCTAATTGGGTTGTACTCGCTATAGAGTACCCCACTGCAGGCTAGACAATTATAACATTCTGACACACCCCCATAGCCAAAGTGGGGTGTAATCAGCACAATGAGCAAGCAAAGCAGTACAAGCTCAGGGTGGATCACAATGTCACCACACATTCTGAGCACAAGTTCAAGAAGTAATAGTTTAAAGTTCACAACTATGAGCAAAGCTAGTGGTAGTCACAACGGGCAAGTGAGGAGGAGGAAAGAGACTATGAGAGGAGAGGAGGTAGTGGGCGGCAGCTGAAGCTGCTGGCACACGGCGCAACTGGAGCAACTGGCACACGGGCAACTGGAGCAACTGGCACACTGGCAACTGGAGCAACTGGCACACGGGCTACTGGAGTAACTGGCTCCGCGGCTGAAAGTAGCGGCAGACGAGCAACGGACTCACGGGCGACTGGAGCAACGGGCTCACGGGCGACTGGCGCAACGGGCTCACGGGCGACTGGCGCAACGGTCTCACGGGCGACTGGAGCTGCTGGCTTCACGGCGGCCACCCCCTTCAACCTCCCCAAACTATCCCACTCCCCCTGACACACACCCCCTGCTTCACCCCTAACTCCACTTGCACGCCACCCCCTCGTACCACTCCGACGGCTCCAACACATCCACCCCCCTCAGCGGCAGCTGCAGCAGTGGGAGACGGAGGAGGAGGAGGAGCAGGGGACGGCTGACAGAGACGGCACCCCCATACGCTCCACCCCCAAACCCTAATTCAGGAGCACGGGCAGCAGCAGGGGTGGGGCGCCGTCAGAAGCGCGGGGGACAGCGTGCAGCTCAAGGGAAGAGGAAACGGGGCGCCCACGGGCGTGGCGCAGCCCGTACGAACCGCACGCGGGCGGCTCGAGGCGCGCCCTGGCCTGGCGCAGCCCGTACGGGCCGCGCGCGGGCCTGGCGCAGCCCGTACGGGCCGCGCGCGGGCCCTACGCAGGTCGCGCGGGCCGCGACGGGCGACGGGGGGCGACGCGCGGGTCCCCGTCGCCCGTCGCAGCGCCTCCCGGGGGCGACGCGCGGAGTGACGGGGCAGAAAGCCGCCGCGCGCCTCGGGGCGCACGGCGGGCAGAAAACCGCCGCACGCTCCGAGCGCGCGGCGGGATGAAAAATCCGTCGCACGCCACGGGGCGTGCAACACACAGAGTAGCAGTAGCAGCGGAAGCAGTGAGGTGGTGGGCCCACCCACAGGATCGACCCAGGAGGGTCGACCTGCTCTGATAGCATGTCAGAACTAGCAGTAGAAAGTAAGAATGAAGAAAGGAGGGTTTGCACTAGCAGCAGTTGGCATACATATAGGAAACCCTAATTGGGTTGTACTCGCTATAGAGTACCCCACTGCAGGCTAGACAATTATAACATTCTGACAAGGTGCACATGGATGCTGCCAAGAGGGTGTTGCGCTACCTGTGCAGTACATCAGGCATGGGGCTCGTGCTTGGAGGACGGAGTGAGGTGGTCCTCACTGGGCACTCAGACGCGTCTTGGGTTTCGTAACTGTACGCGCCGCACGGTTGGGAATGTATTTGAATAAGGGAATGTACCCCTTAGAATACATGGCTAGCTAGGTCGTTTCGTCTTCCCTGTACTCATATTTATATTTGCTGTATTTGCATGTTTTAATCATCTCAAGCATTTTACATTCACTTTGCTACCGTCATCGCCCGGATATAAGACATATATGTCTTATCTCGTACACGGGCAAAAATGCTTGAGTTATCTTGTAAACGGGATGGTTTAGGGTGTCTTATAAGTCTTATAAATGGAAAAAAAAAAAATAAGATGAATGTAACACTTGCAAAGTGTGTAGAAACCACCCAGCGACCAGATTCATTGAAACAGGCCGACCTCGGTGGTGATGCATGCAGCGCCCACACTTGACACGTGAGGGCTGCAGCAATGCTGCCACCGCTGGCAACATTCCTCTGTGCTGGCAGCATCTAATGATGCTGCCAGCGTCGTTTTGCTGCCAGCAGCGCATGGCAGCTTCCAGAACGCTGCTGGCAGCACGTTGGCGGCGCGAGGGCTGTCCTCTACGAGGAGATGCCTCGTAGAGGAGCGGCTCGGCATCTGTGGATGGGGCACTCTGGCTGGGGGGGGGGTAGTCGGGCTCGTGCTTCATTTGGTGCTCAAGGAGTATGAATGCTCGACTCAACCTTGCTCTCGGCAGGCTCTCTAACCATGCGCAGCAAGGTACCCCTAGGCAAGTCATCACCTCGTCCTCACATGCATGTGAATAACTATAGGCAAATTAACTCGCCCGACAACGACATCCGTGTAGCCACGGCAAAGAACGCGAGCATGGCGGGAGGTCCTACCGCCGCCTCCGGTGCGAGCTGTGACGGCGACGACGGAGACGAAGCACACGGCGACGACGCGGAGGAGGATTGGCCGGAGAACGGCCACGACGACAGCGCTTCGGGCGACGAATTAGGTCCTGCCGACATTGAGGAGGACGAATGGTGGAATCAGCCGGTCGGGAGCAACGACGAAGTGGAAGAGTGGCGGGCTGGTGATTTTGACAACGACGGAGGTGACGAAGCTGACGGTGACAACGCGGAGGCACAGGAAGCGGCGGTGGATGCAAATGAGCGTGCCGACGAGGCGGAGGCGGAACTCGAGACAGTTGCGCCTGCGGATGCGGACGCGGTGGCGGAGGCGGACAAGGTGGCTGCGGATGCCGTCTTATTTGACAGTGAAGGCTCCGACGACGACCCGTGGAGCCTTGGGACAGACGACGACGTTCCGCTACTGAAGCGGAGGCTGCGCCATCGCCTACAGTCCACGACGAAACGCGCCCACATGGTGCTCTCTGACGACGACAGTCCGGGGGAGGAGCGTCGCCCGATACTCACCGTTGCGGAGAAGGGGAAGGCCAAGGTCGTGGAAACCCCTGCTAAGTCCCTTGCTAAGGCCCCTGATAAGGCCCCTGCTCGTCGCCGCACAAGCAACAAGAAGCGCAAGTCCGACGGAGACCCGGGATCCAGCAAGGGTGCGGCTATGAAGAAGGCGAAGAAGGCGCCGAATCCTGACGACATTATCGTGAACAAACCGTTGGGCAGCGACGATGAGTACGCGGCGGCGGCGGGCCCGATTCCCACGTTCCCGAAGAAGGTCACGCCAAAGGACCCCACCCTCCATAATCCCAACACCCGTCCACCTTCCCCTCGCAGCAAAGACACTACGAAGAAGCGCAGCGGATGGACCGTGCGTGAGAAGCTTAAGTGGGCGCGCCGCTATCAGGAGCTCGGCTCCTTGAAGAAGACGAGCGTGGAGTCAACCGCGAGCATCGCCTGCATCAGATGCTGGAGCGCGGAGGCGGCTGCAGGCTTCTACAAGGGCGCGGCTAACTGCCGCAAGCGGATGCACGGGGGGGGGGTCGCCACGCACACTATCCCGACATGGAGGCAGCGTTGTACCGCTACATCTGCCTTCAGCGCACTAACGGGGTGGCCATCTCGGTGAAGGACACCCAGAAGTGGAGCCGCGACTGGATGAAGAAGCATTACCCCGGCAAGAACTGGAACGCGAGCTCTCACTGGAGCCAGCGTTTCCGTGACCGCTGGAACCTGGCGATGCGGGTGAAGACGAAGGTCGGACAACGTCTGTCGGCAGGTGTGTGAAAAAGGAATTCGTGTCGCGCTCGGCCTATTGTATGCATGTCTTACCTCGCCCAGTGTCTTACCATTCCGTGCTTGCAGAGTGCGCGAAGGACTGCGAGTCCTTCTGGAAGTTTGTGCGCATCAACAGGGCGTGGCACAACATCGACCTGGCCCGCATCATCAACGCGGACGCCACTGTTCGTGGAGATGCCGGCCGAGAGGACGATCGAGCGCCGTGGCGCGCGCGTGGTCCCAATCCGCACTGCAGGCTACCAGAAGACGCGCTTGACGGTGATGCTCGCGTGCACTGCATCCGGGGAGAAGCGACGGCCGTGGGTGTGGTTCAAGATGAAGAACGTCCCCAACTGTGAGATTCCGGATGGTAAGCGCCATGAATTCAACCGTGCACCTGCCTCATGAGCGTGCCCCACTGTGCTGATGCCCGTCTGTCCCTTGTGTGCCTGGCAGGAATCGTGGTCCAAGCACAGGACAACGGGTGGATGGACGAGAGCGTTGTGCAGACTCGGCTGTCCAAGGAGGTGCTGCCCCATCTGAACCCCCAGCGCGGCCAGAGCGCGAGGCGTGCGATGCTGGTGTTGGACTCCTACCGCGGCCACATCACCCAGACCATGCTTCAGTCGTACCGCACGCACAGCATCACCCATGCAGTCATTCGAGCGGGTTGTACGAGCCAGATTCAACCCCTGGACGTCTCCATCAACCGGTGCTTCAAGGCTGCCGTGCGAGCTGCTACGCCAGGTGGTTCATGCGTGAAGGGATTCACCTGAAGACGAAGAAGGGAGAGTTGGCTGTTCATTTTCAATTCCTGCTCTGTTTCGTGTCCTTATCGTTAACATGTCCCTTCATGTCCCTGTCTCTAACAGCTCGCTGCCGTGTCATCTATCCCACCCGCAGGGAACCTGCGGAGGCCTCCGCACCCCGTGGTGCTGCAGTGGATCGCGGAGGCTTGGGATCAAGTCCCCAAGCAGATCATCATCGACGCGTTCCGCCACTGTGGGATCTCCAGCAAGCTGGACGGAACGGAGAACCACCTGGTGATGTCTCACCTGCGCGCCAGGAGCACCACCGATGTCTCCGAGGACATGTCCCTTGGGGAGACCACAGGCGACAACACGCGCCTCCTCGGGAAGGCTCCAGAGGAGGAGGAGGAGGAGGAGGAGGAGGAGGAGGAGGAGGAGGAGGAGGAGGAGGAGGAGGAGGAGGCGATGCAGGCGGAGGGCGTGCAGGAGGTGGCCGTGGCAACTGGCCTGAGGTGCTGTACCAGGAGACCCCCAACTACCGCGGAGCGGCGGCCGAGGCTGACCGCATGATCGAGCCTAGGGAGACGGCTAGGCATGCTTGGCGAGTGCCAGACCTGCGTGCAGAGCCTGCTGTTAGTGCAGACGAGGAGGCGCTGACTGAGGGGGGTTAGGTAGAAGTAGAGATTCAAGAATGTATGCATGTACCCCCCTAAAGGAAGGAAGGTTCGTTTAGAAGACACCCCCTGTGTATAAGAAAACCCCTAAACCCCGGTTTTGATTATAAGACATATATGTCTTATCTCGTACACACAAATAGGTGTCGTATAAAAAGGCTAGCCTGTTTATAAGAGACACCCGTATAGTAGACAACCCCTGTCTACTATTCAACACTATCCGGGCGATGACGGTATTGAGATCAAGGGCCCACCAATACTACCGTATTCCCCCGGATAGAAGACCCCCCCCAAAATACAACACCCCCGGGCACCTAATACGGGGGGGGTCTTTTATTAAACCTCAAAAACGTTATACCCCCCCTTTGGGGGGTAATCAATATAAGACCCCCCCCCTTCCCCTATAGGGGGGTTTTCCATGTACTTTTCCTCTGATTCATTTGAAACTGAAACACTTTATAGTGCGAATTCGGTTGTTGCGCGGTGAATTCAAGTGTCACGGGGTTGATTTGTTGCGTCAGGTGGCGAGTTTGCTGCGTCGTGGGGCGAGTTTGCTGCGTCGTGGGGCGAGTTTGCTGCATTAGGGGGTGTATTTGCTGCGTCAGGTGGCGAGGGGCGAAATTGCTGCGTCGGGGGGCGAATTTTACACTGACAGGCTAATTCGATGTGACTGGTCAAGCGATCAACTTTCGCATGGTTGTTGCTCACCAGGGCCCTAGATTCGTTTTAGGCCACACTGATGGGTCAGAGTGCACCCTCATTTGAACTCTGTGAGTCAGTGTTGCATGCGAATTTGAGTCTGAAAGTTCAGACATCACTAATTTTTTAAGGCTGAAAGTTCAGTGTTACAATAAGTTTAAAATGCGACAGCCCCACTGGCACAACGCGAGTGTGCGGTGCGGTGCTGCGCTCGGGATAATTTTCGTTTCCCGCCCGTGATTGATGGTGTTAGTGCAAACATGCCGCCAGGCTGGCGGACCCCTGCAGTACCCGTTTCATGGTGCTCCCCCGAAACAAGGCTGAAGATCAGCCTACACCCCTACAATGTGTCTGAAATTTCAGCCTGTACGTTAAAAAAAACTCTGAAAAATCAGACAAGGTACATAAAAAAACTCTTACAGTTCAGACCTGGTATAAAAAAAAAGGCTTTCTGGACGTTGAATCAGCGTAAAAATTCTGATATCTAGGGCACTGTTGCTCACCAAAAGCACACCCAGCGCTTCAGTATTAGCTGTGGTGTTGAAAACACTAAAAAAAAAATTTGCCGTATGAAAAGACCCGGGTATTATATATTTTTTTCCTTTGTGAAGACCCCCCAACTTTTTCTAGGGATTTAGGATAAGACCCTAGGGTCTTAGGGTACATTCCTGAAGCGCGTCACAAAGGCCTCGCGTCTCAAACGAAGAGATGCAGTGCGGTGGAAATCTTTGATTCTTAGGTGTAATGCGGTGCAGACCGGTACATTGGTTTTATGACGGGATTGAGACATTTGTGTCGATACAGGAATGTACCCTTATATCCGGGGGAATACGGTATCTACCTGCGTGCGAACCTTCCCGAGTAGATCCTGGTAGCGATCACCTCTGATCATAGCATTTGGTACTGTAAGAGTTCCAAAGGAATATTTACAATTTTTGTTTCCAAAATGCACTATACAATGCATGCAATCATCTTTGTAACTGATTTTTGCAAGTTCTTTTATTTTATAAATGGTGTAGTGGGTGCCATCACGAAGCCCAATGCCAAGCTCAATGGTGGTGTGCTCAGCAAAATCTTGGATGCTGGCGTGGAAAATACCATTCCTCGTCCGCCGCGTGGCAACATTGCCCAAATTAGCGTACCATGGCCAGCCCCGTGCTGCTGCCTTTGGGTGCCTGCCCGCTCCAACGAGACCCCCGATTTTCGCTGCTTCTGGAATGAAATTCCTTGGCTTTCGGGGTGAAGCTCTCCGCCCCCCAGGTGAATCTTTCCGCTCACGGGGTGGGGTTGCGGGGATGGCTCCGCAAAGCACCAGCACGGGGCAGGTGGGGCTCCGTGGGGTTTCTCGGGCGTTGGGGGGTGAGGTAGCTTTTCCATCATCACACAACATTCTCAAACCCCACATCCTAACATCAAAAGTTCTCCAGCGGATTCCTGCATCTTGCATTCCTGCGAACAACCACACCACCCCTACCCTCTATTCTCATCCAACCATGTCTTGGCAAGAGTACGTGGATGGGCACCTGATGTGTGCCCTTCCTCACGGAGGGCAGTTGGTTGCGGCTGCAATTTATGGTCAGGAAGATGGTAACTGTTGGGCGCAGAGCCCTTTAATGCCAGCGGTAAGATTAGAACCTCCCTCGTATGGTTATAGTTTTTATCTCTGCTGACGCGTGAACTGACTTACTCCCCCTTCCCCCCCCCCTCTCCCCCCCCCTCTTGATTGTCAGATCACTAAACAGCAGATCGACGCTATGATTGACGCGTTCGACAATCCACAGACGCCGCTTGCGACAAACGGGCTGTTTCTGGGTCCAGAGAAGTTCATGATGGTGACGGGTGACCCTGGCGCTGTCCTTCGTGGCAGACAGAAAGAAAACAAGGAATTGGTAATATCTCGTTCTTTTCGGGTCCCTATCACCGTCGCAGCTTTCGTTGTTGAATGTTTTTCTGAATCGGAGGCTTTTACCTCGTCGGTATGATTGCAGGGCCGGAAGGGCCGTGGTTGCTGCATCAAGAAGACTGGAAGTACGTTAGTCTTCGGCATTTTCGAAGAGCCTGTAGCGCCAGCTGACTGCAATATGGTTGTTGAGAACCTGGGCGATTACCTTATCAGCGTGAATTTCTAGCCGGCTGTCGGAGTCCAAGAGTAGGTTCGTGTGGATTCTACGATCTTAGTGAAGCCAACACGAGTTATTCTCATTGTTCTGGTGGTGGAAGCATTGTTGCTGTCTTTTTACTCTGCACTGGGCATTGGAACTTGTAAGTTAGGCATTCATCATCACATCCTTCATTTAAAAGTTGGATTCATGCATACTGCCCTCCGTTTAGTTCCCTTGATTCATCTACCCGGCGATTTGAGTTGGGATGAATGCCTGCATGGTGGGGAGGCTGTAAGCGGTGGTGTGGTCTTTCAACCTGAGGCATTTATGCAAGACGTAGGCAATCCAGCTAGCTACCTCTACAACAGCACTTCAAATTTGGACTTATGTAGTAGAGAGGAACGAACAGTAGGGTTAGATGGGAGAAGAGGTAACAAATGAAACTTGTGCAATACCCTATTTCCTTCCCTGAAAGCCCCACTCTCCCCCAACTCTCCCTCCCTCTCCCTCTCACACGCCCCTCCCCCTTCTTCAGTAACAGGCTAGGGTGTTCCATTACAGAGTAGACTAGCAGAAAACCTGGCATGGCCATATGCTTCAGCCCCACGCCGAGCTAGATTCCCAAATCCCAGCACTTGTTACATTTTCCATATTTTACTTCATTATATGTTTTATCATGCATTCACAGAGTTGTAACGCGTGACGACTCAAACCGAAAAGTGGGTGTATATTTGCCTGCATTCATCCCAAGTCGCAGCTGTTTTTCCAGCACGCTCTGCAGGTCCCGGCGTGTATTGTATATCAGGTGTCTCAACCACAGACTGGCATGTAAACTTGTAAGTGCTTGTACTACTGTATCCATGAATCTTGTCAAAACTTGTGGCCAAGGGAAGGTTGTAGTGTGGGGCAGAGCCGAAGCTGGCTGCCAGTTCGGGCTGTGATTTTGGAAGGAAGGCCACAACATTGGGGAGGGGACAATGGATGCACTAGCATACATGTACTGGGTGCATAGGTCGGCCTGGTCTGCCCCGTATTGTGCGGGGCTCGCCTTCCCTGGTTCGCATTCATGCCGATAGGTCGCCTCGCCTCGCCAAGGGACCGTGAGGAGTTTTTCGCCAACCACATCTCACCCACCCAGCCGACCGAGACACCTCCCCCAGGAGGAGCTGAAGGGGGAACGACCACTCGCGACTCGTAATGTGAGACGCCGTGCGGGGGGTACTCCCAATTTCCCCAAGTTTGAGTTGCGTGAGTCACCAAGCCCGTGTGTACTTCCGACGCTTGTGCACGTCCGCTCTGCAGCCACATTCACATTCAGCTGCACCAGTTCTGTCGTGCGACAGGCGTGTCGAAACGATACAGGTCGTTCAGGTCGGTTCGACAGCCGCTATTCGCCAAGTCGAATTTGGCCGATCGACATTACACGGCAGCGTCAGCCTGACAGCCCACATCTACAACTGGTAATGAACAATCGAAGTCCGTAGCGCCCCTCCACACATCAAACATCAAGCATCTAACATCCTCGTCGACCTCAGATACCTGGCCCGACAGACAATCGGCAGTTGATCTTCGAGTCCAATCGAGTGCAGCGACCCTCGCTCCGCCGTGCACTGCTGTCGAGTCGAGTGTAGGCGAGTCCCCGGTGATGGAGCGACTGCCAGCCCCTGCCAGACCAGCTATGGCTGCTAACACTACCAGGATGGGCATTCTTACGCTTGTCATTCTCATCCTCCTCCACCTCCACGCCGCGTCGTCGGTATCACCGGCGTCGTCGGTATCACCGGTGTCGTCGGTATCACCGGCGTCGTCGGTATCACCGGTGTCGTCGGTATCACCGGTGTCGTCGGTATCACCAGCGTCGTCTCTGAGTCAAGAACCACCTCCGCTCGACACGCCTCGGACGAATTTCTTCTGGCGCTTCCTGCGAAGCTGGCAAGCAGCGCATCGTCCGCCGCAATCGGCGTCTGGCGCGGCGAAGCGGCCGTCGCTATGGCTTCAGTACCGTCGCCACCTAAGCGGGAATCCCGCGGACGCGAATGTTGACCTGGCGTCATTCACGCAATACCACGGAGACGGCGGGCCGTACTCGCTCACTCCTGGGATCGATCCCACCGACCACTCGCTTGATGATGTGGCAACGCCTCTCGGACGGCGTCGGCGACTGCGTACGTGGCATGGAAACCTTCCCCCATCCATTATCTTTCTCTTCCGTTGCCGCCTCCTTCCAGGCGTTTCGTTTTGGATTTTCCTTCCGCGTTACCCGGTCCATGCATCTTCTCCACCTCCTTCTCCTCTAACTTCGCCGTCCCTTCTCGCTTCTGTCGGCCCTTTTCCGTTTCACTCACTCCGTCATGATGACAGAAATGAAGAAGCAGAAGGGACCTTGCACCCCCCTCTCGGAAGCCAAGATCATCCCCGTTTCAAGCCCCTCCGACATCGACAAACGGCTACAGTACCCCAATTCTGTCACCGTCATTCTCGAGGTCACCCGCGACCTCATGCTTCCCAAGGGCCTCGTTTTCTCTGGCGCCTTCCGCTGCACAATTTTCCGGTCAGCCCAGGGAAAGCGAAACTTCAAAGTGTCTCTAATGGGAGACAAGGAGCCAGTGATTCGCGTGTGGAATACTAGCAACGTGGTTATCTTGAAGCTGGATTTTTGGCTGGGCGTGACGGCGCGGTCGGGTGAATGCGAGTTGCTATTGGATACCGACATAGGCAGAGGCAACACGTGCCCTACGATCCACATCTGGCGGTCCCATAGCATTCAGGTCGCGAAGGGGAGCTTCTGGGGTCGGATCGACGTGTTTCGTGCCATGGCTACGCGTGTAGACAGTATGAAGGGTACCGGGTTAACGCTTTTCGCCAAGTCGCCAGGAGTTATTCGCGTAGCGTTCTCTGGTTATGGCCCCGCGCTGCTTAGGTCCTGGGTGGCTCTGACTAATAACGAGGTGTATGGTGTAGATCAGCCGATTGTGCTTCAAAACGGCGCGGTGGGGGTTATAGCGAGGAACAATTACATCCACGACTTTCTATTCGCGGGGATTCGATGCGGAGCTGACGTGTACAACCAAGGGGACTGCATGCTGACGACGCTCAGCAACAACCTGATCGTCGCGTCCGGCCGGAACATGTCGGGCGACCACGACGCGGCTGGGATTTACTACTGCACGCACTTTTTCAATCCAGGTGAGAAAGATGGACTTCCATGTGGTGTGGGCGGAATTGGGTTGGTTTACTTTAGTACGGGGTAGCATAGCTTTCCGAGGCAGCTGGGCTCGGCCGTGGATGCAAATGTTACGACCACTTCCGTCTCTCGCTCCTCGGTATTCTCCTCTCACGCTCGTCTCATCGTGGCTTGTCGTCACAGGGAACATCGCGGAGTGCAATTACATCTTCAATGGCGACCACTGCTATTATCTGGACTATGCCACTTCGGGGGTGATCATCCGCGGTGGTGCATGCATCAACACATACGACGGCATGAAAGTCAACAACGGCCACTGGTAAGTGGCGTTCTCGCAACCCGAATTTCCTCTCATTCCTGTGCACCATGCTTCCTCTTATCGTGCGACTGCCAGCCGCCCCATGAAGCACTCTCAGGGCACACGCTCTTGGTCTCACTACCTGTTTCCCGGCTCTGTGCGTTTCCCATTCCAGGAATGTGATAGAGGATGTGATTTTGAAGGGCACGCTAGGCATGCCGGGGTGGTGCCAGTGCTACACGCCCACCATCAACAACTGTGCCAAGAAGCCGGGCACCTACTGGGAGGAGATGCGGATTAACTACTACAACTCGCCCGTCATCAACCAGGTGCGTGCGCAGCCCTGCTCGGACATGCCTTTTGCTGCTTCGTACACGCTTGCCTCGTCGCTTGCAAGTTTTCAACCCATGTTCCCTGCCATCTGCTCGCGGAAGCAGTCGCCGTTCTGTGTTTCTTGTGGTGTGTTGTTCCGGTATGGTGAAAAACACATGAAACAACCATCTTAGCTGAATGTATTCCACTCACCCTGTTTCATCCTCTCCCCTTTTTCTCCATCCCGTGCTTCTCCCCATCCATTCTATTCGTCGACAAGCAGAAGTGGCCATGGTTCAAGTCAATCTGTCAGGCTAAGACAGTGAATGGAATGAAGTGCAACACCGACGAAAGGGGTACACTGACCGGCGCTCAAACCGGGCATTGCAGCGGCCTTCCTACGCACAACACTGTCAATCTAGTCGCTATCAACACCACCGACTATGAAATGGGCTATAGATACTGCGAGAAGCTCCCAACAGTGCTGAGCGGGAAGTTCAACGACCACAGCGTACTGAGAATTCAGTGGCCAAGACGAGCAGCCTTCATCGACTACAAGAAGAATGATTTGGGCATCGCTTCTAAGGACTCCATAATATACAAGAAGTACCCGAAGTTCAAAAGCTGCCCACGGTCTGAAGTAGGGCCAAAGCGTGTCCCTGATTCGTTTTACTACAATTCGTACAATCGGCCCATGCCATGGGGTTTCATGGCGATCATTAGAATGGGGAAGCTGCACATACATGACCTTCCTGGCTGGCCTTGATTGGGTATTCGGCATTGTATTATATGGATTGCACGATGGCATTATATTGTAGGGATTCCTGCGCTCAACACTTGTAGGCATTGTATTTGCTGCAGATATGCTTCAGCAGCAAATTGAAATTGTGAAATGGATGAATGAAAGGGCGAGGAGAATTTTCTCGCCAAAAACAGATTTTCCAGGTTGAATACGGTGGGCTATCTGCGATTCGAGCGAAGTACCTGCTCCCAGTCCCCCTGCGTCGGTGTAATTTCCGGGCAGCGCGCTGAAGTCGGATTTGAAACTCCAAAATCACCTGCGAAGCGTTCGTCGGCACACTTGGAATGGAACAGAGGGGGTTTTGCTTGCCGCGAAGATTGAGCCGCGACATGTGGGAGTCCTTCTCACCCGCCATCAACCCCTCGCATAGTTTCGCCTGTCCCGTCGTAGCACAACCCATGCGATCGTGAATTTCGCTCAGCTAATCAAATTCGTCGTGGGTCTCCCTCCACCTTTCAAACTTCTCGCATTTGCATCCCCACCTCCAAATTCCCCTCCCCTCCTGACTGCGCGCCTGCGGCATCAGCGGGACGCGTGTCTGACCTACCCAGCAGATTCTCCCACCTCACTTCGTTTCACATTTGCATTCCTCCCTGACCGTCCACCTTTGCAGGTACGGTAGGCATAATTCGCAATTCCAAGATCACACGAGCATAATCCCATGCCATCGAGTTACAGCCTATCCCTTGACAAGAGGTGTCTGGCTAGACTTGACCACCAAGTCTTTCTCACAAGATTCGAATTCAAGCTTTACGTCCAGTTGCATGGGACACAGTACCCACGTTACTTTATTAGCCATAAGTACCTTACGCATAGCAGGCCGTTCGATTCTTTAGGCTACGCCGACGTGCAACACCCCACCTTGCGGAACGCTCATTGAGATAGTAGCAAGCCCTTCACTCTCGTCGTTGGCTCGGAGACAGCTCCGTGCCTCTCTTTAGACACCATTCTGACATGGTAACTTCATAATTCCGTAGCGTCTCGCTCCGCCACTGTGAGCAGCTGAATCAGCGCTTTCGGGAAAAGTGTTATACGGAGCGGCGAATTGGTTTGAAGGTAGCGATAGGGTTACAATGGGGCGAAAGCACTGCTTCCTCGTCGCAGCGTTCCTTCTCCTCGTCCTCGCCACCCTCCCAGATTCAGCTTCAGGAGCGGGTGCGGTCCTGGTGCAATTTCCCTTCCCCTCCCTTCCTCTCGCTCTTTCACCGTTTTCTAGCCGCCGCAACTTGCCGTGCGTCGTCCCGTCCGCGTTTCCATTATCCGTACCCCGGTCTTTGTTCCCCAATCTTCCCTTCTCTCCCCTTCGTCCCCACTGCCATCCTCGCGTTCCCCTTTCTTCCCGCTCTCCCCTGATCCTGGTGTATCAGTCTTAGAATCTCCCCGTTTCCGCTCACCACCCCTCCCCTCTCCGCGACTCCCGTTTCCGCCACTCCTCCTCCCCCTCTCCCTCTTTCCCCCTCGCTCTTCCCCTTTTTCCACCTCCCCTCTCATCAGGTAACCTACAGCAACCCAACTTACTAAAGCGCTTCGTGACAACGTGGCGGCAATGGCACCGCGCGGTAACTTCCCTCTCGTCCACGTCAACATTGCTGCAGCACCGGCGCTACCTCAGCGCCGACCCGGCGGAGGCTGCTGACGTGCCGCGCGTGCTGCGCCGACGTGGCGGGTGGTGGCACGACGCGGACGGCCAGGCATACGTTTCGACTTCTGGAGAGGAGGCGATACAGGAGGTGACTGATGACGTGGCGGAAGGTGTCGTGTCGCGGAGGCGGAGAAAGCGTGAGAGCCACTCTGTCTGCGTGCTTCATTCGCTCCTACTTTGTTCCCCTGCTCATTCCTTCCCTTTTCCCCTTCCCTGTCCCTTCTTTCTCGTCCCGTTTCCTTCCCTCCCCTTCCCGCGCGTCCACTTCACTTCTTGTTCCCGCACTCTAAGCCTCCTTGTTTCCTTCACATACTAAATCCCCCCCTCCCATTCTGTCTCTCTTTTCCCCCCTGCTTCCCTCCCCCCCTCCTCCCTCCCTCCCATCCCATCCCATCCCCTCCCCTCCCCTCCCCTCCCCTCCCCTCCCCTCCCCTCCCCTCCCCTCCCCTCCCCTCCCCTCCCCTCCCCTCCCCTCCCCTCCCCTCCCCTCCCCTCCCTCCCCCCCCCCCCCCCCCCCCCCCCCCCCTCCCCCCCCCCCCCTCCCCCTCTCCCTTCTCCTCGTTCACCTCTTCCCCCACTGCAGTGGCGGCACAGAACGTGACGGGCCCATGCACTCCACTCGCCGACGCTGTACTCATTACAGTCACAACCGAGGACGATATAGCCAAGCGGACACAGTACCCCAACAAACAAACCGTTATCTTGGAATTGGCCAATGACATCACGCTTTCCAAGGGACTTGTTTTCGACGCCGCATATCGCTGCACCATCTTCCGGTCGAGCGCAGCTAGAGCAAACTACAAGATTGCTTATATGGGGGACAGGGAGCCGCTGCTGCTTATAGCGAACACCAGCAACGTGATCATCCTGCGCATTAATTTCTGGATGGGTGTAACGATGCAGTCCCCGGAGTGTACTGATTTCCTGTACACGGATCTTGGGTCGGGCAACACGTGCCCCACAATAATGCTGTGGCGCGTGCACAACACGCAGGTCGCCAAGGGCTTTTTCTATGGGCGCATTGATGTTATCCGAGCCATGTCGTCGCGTGTAGACAGCATGAAGGGTACCGGGCTACCACTCTTTGTCAAGTCCCCCGGGGTCATACGAGTGTCCTTTTCGGGGTACGGGCCGGCTCTCCTCAGGTCATGGGTCGCCATCACAAACAACGAAGTGTATGGTAAGTGGTTACCACTCGCACAGTTACCAGGTTACGGAGTCATGTCTTGCTGCACAGAGTGAGCGACCCATCTTATTCATCCCACGGAGATCACTCACCTTGTAGCTGATGGAGTATGTTCAGCCCTTTGAATCAATGACCCAACTTTTCTCTCCCACTATGTTATCCTCACATCACACGCCCCTTCTCCCCCTGCACTTCCTACTTCCCCCAGGCGTGGATCAGCCAATCACTCTTCTAAACGGTGCCATCGGGGTGCTGGTCAGGAACAACTACATCCACGACTTTTTATTCGCGGGGATTCGGTGCGGAGCAGACGTGCATAACCAAGGGGATTGCATGCTGACAACGATCAGCAACAATCTAGTTGTCGCGTCCGGTCGGAACATGTCGGGCGACCAAGACGCTGCTGGGATTTATTACTGTACACATTACTTCAATCCTGGAAATGTTGCGGAGTGCAACTACATTTTCAATGGTGACCATTGTTACTATCTGGATTACGTTTCGTCGGGAATCAAGATTCGCGGGGGAGCGTGTGTGAACACGTTCGATGGAATGAAAGTCAACAATGGGAAATGGTGAGTGACGGACATTCTGTGCTTTTGCATTTGTGTGTGTTGATGCTAGACCACCTTGTTATTCCAACTTGGATGTTCTCTTAACTTGGAACTGTGATTGTGATTGCAGGAACGTTATAACAGACGTGATTATGAAGGGGACGCAGAATACACCTGGTTGGGTCGCGTGCTTCACGCCCACGAGCAACAACTGCCTCACACACTCTGGACAGTACTGGGAGCAAATGCGGCTAAAGTACTACAATTCACCCGCAATATTGCAGGTGTGTTGCCTCACTACTCCCTTCCTTGGTAACCTTCCTGCGCCCTTCCCATTGTCACTTCGCCCCCCCTGTTTCATCGGTCTCACTCCTACCTACTAGCAGCTACCATACCTCCTCCATCTTCTCCCCTGTTTCCTGACCACTCCCCTCCTTTCCCATTCTTCACTCTCCCAATTCCCATGTCACCCTCGCTACAGGCCTACCCATGGTTCCCTACCGTGTGCAAGGAAAGGGCAATTAACGGATATCTATGCAACATTGGGAGAAAAGGGACTCTGACAGGACGACAGACCGGCTACTGTAGCGGTCTGCCCACAAATAATACCATTCAGCTGATCACAGTACAGACTTCAGACCATGACCTTGACTTCAGATACTGCGAGCGGCTGCCTACAGTGGAAAGCGGGAAACTCAACACTTACTTAAAAGTCAACATCTCCAGGCCTGCCAGGGCTAAATTTGCCCACTACTGGCGGAACGACTTCGGGATAACTTCCAAGAAGTCGGTCATCTACAAGAAGTTCCCCAACTTCAAGAGCTGCCCGAGAACCTTAATTGGCCCAAAGAGAGTTCCGGATACGTTCTACTATGGCTGGTACAACCGGCCAATGCCATTTGGATTCATGAGTATCATACGGATGGGGAAGCTCCACATTCATGACTCGCCAGGCTGGCCGTAGTTGATATTCTACACCTATACCTGCATAGATCTAGCCTGACGTCCAGCAAAGTGTGGTAGGGAGCAAAACCGCCATGGAGGATGAATGAAGTAGAAACGTGTTTATAATATGCGTACATGCGAAAACACACGCGAATATGAAGGACACTCCTTATAAACAAGCGCAAACAACAGAACCACAAGCTACTATTTCAAGCCCTAATCGTCACAGGCTGAGGGAGAGATCGAGATCCCTCTTCACATTCTTCGAGCTTTTCATGTCGCTAACATCGCTGAGCTTCCGCTGTTTCCCCGCTCGAGCGGCAACAACGAGCTCCGACGTCTCGCTAACGCTCGTGCCGTTAGTATGCGCCAAGAGCTGCTTCGTTTTTACGTTCAGAGGGCCGTCCCAGTGCTTCCGCATGTGCCCGCCGAGCGCCTGCCCCGTAGAAAACTGCTTCCCGCATTTGGGGCAAGTCTTGATCGGTTGTTGCCCGCCGCGCTTCCGCTTTTGCGGCTTTTCCGCCTCCGCGGATCCGGCGGTACACGTGGCGCTTCCGCCGCTTTTCTGGTCCACCTCGTGTCGCGCGTCGGGGGAGGCGTTTAGGTCTAAATCCACGAAATTGCGCTTGGGCGACGCGGACGGCGCGGCGGCGCAGTTTTGCGAGCGGGGTGAGAGGAAGCGGAAGCTCGGGGGTTGCGCGTCGGCGGACACGGCGTTGTTGTCAGTGCTCTCTTCCGCAGCGCACGAAGCGCCGGCGGCGACGCGGAGCGTGAGCAGAGCGTTGGCGCCACAAGCCACCTCGGGATCGCTGTTCGCGCGTTTCCGAGATCCCGCAGCAAAAGACAGCATTTCGCTACTAATACCCTCCGGGACGGCTGGGTTGGTCTTGCTGTGAGAGCTGGTGCCGTGGCTGACGCTGGAGAGAAGAGGGCTGCACGCGTTATTATCGCGCGACGCGGAATCAATCGCGGATGACTGCTGCTGCTTGAGTCGAGAGAGGGCGTGGAACAACGGGAGGTACGCCGCGAGCGACGCGTCCGCCGCGATGTCGAGTCGCGGGCGAAGAGCGTGCGACGTGAGGCTGTTTGGGGCGTAAGTTTCGATATTCGCGTAGTCGAGCGGCCTGTTAAAGCTGGTGGTACTAGACAAGCCCGCGAAATTCATTGCGCAGTAGAAGAAAGGATAATGAAGGATAGTCAGAGCTGAGTGATGCTCGAAAGTGTTGCCTTGACTCCAAGCCAATGGGAAGCTGAGGAGGCTGTTAGTGAGGGAGTGAAACTGTGGCGGAGTGAAGAATGGGTTGCGGAATGACTTGCACTTTCCACGCCTCAGTCTTTATACACAGTCGAGCTTTGTGGATGGGCTGCCTGGTGGGATGAGGGAGCGCTGTGCTTTCTGCTTGGGCACACTGCTTTCCAGGCGTAACATAGGTGACGGCTAAGTTGCGTGGGGTTTGGCGCTGGCAAAATCTCCCCGTTCCGCGTCGAGAGACATTCCCCACCACCCCACCCCCCGATTTTGCCGCTGTTCCTGCGCACTGCGCTGAAACTGACGATGGGTTTGGTGGAAGCGCCGGATCCACCAGGTTGTGAGGTGTGTGATCTGATCCGCGTGACATGACAGCCAACCACATCACACCTGGCGGACAATCATGTGCAGCACAGCGGCATCACAGTGGGGTGGTGGTGGGGCGGAGCGGGGCTCCGGGGGAGTTGTGGTGGGGATGGGGCAAAAGCGGATTGGATGGCTGACGAGTGAGATGGATGGGATCATCCGATGACCCAAGAGTCCCACCCACTTCTACACCTTTGGCATTTCAGCAGCTCTGTTCATCTTTGGCCTTTGGTGAACCAAAGGGACACTTGCGTTTGTCACACAAACCCAAACCAAACCAGCCCAGCTGCCAGGTCTAGTCTAGTCTAGCAAGGAGGCACACGGTGATGCAGCTCTCGGGGTCCAGCCTAGGAGTTCCCGTCCCGTTGTCCAACGTTCCGTACAGCGGAGGGTCATTGGGAAACCTGGAGGTAAGGACGTGTATGATTTTTTTCTAGGTTCGGAAAACAGGTCGAACTTTGTCTGGTTACCTGCTTCGTTAATTTCGCGAAAGCTTTGTGACGAAAGACATTCCTCATGAAGACGTGGCAAATTCAACCTAGGTATTCCGAACTCGACTCGAGTATATGCATTAATGTGGGCGCGTACAGTGAACCGAACGTGTGTGGTTTTGCGCACGTACGACAATTAACGAGTTCAGCGAAACTTTTGCGACACAATGTAACCCTCGAGAAAAATCGCAGTCAATATATTGAAGTGGCGCGATGTCTAAAAAATTATACCTGGTAACCTACATCCCCTACGAGCGGCTCGGCTCACCCCTATAAGGTCGAACATTCAAATTCGACCTTGGGTGTGTGATAGACCTACTTGAAACTCTCATGCGCGGTTCAAAATTCACGTTCAATGGAAGTCGAACACTGTTCGGCTCAAGTTCAAATGCTACATTCGACAAAAAAAAATGCAAACTTTGCCGATTTCAAAAATCATACACGTCCTCATATACAGGACTACCCATTCTGACAAATTCTTCTGTAAACCCGTCAAATTAGTGTTCAGTATCGTCGGCACTCGCTTAGGAATTTGCGGAACGATATGCAGAGCTTCGTTGGTGCGGAACAGGGCTGTCGATTGGTTCCAGGCCAACACTTGAGAGTCTGAGGTGCCCGTATTTCAGCCCTGAAATCTCCGGGAAGTGCCCCTTTCCGAGCCTTTAAGCGTCGGAGAAAGCACCCAACCAAAAACTTAAATTCAGGGCTACACTACAACAATCAGGGCAAACTCTAGATAACGAAAACAAATAAAGGCAGAGTAATTTTAGAACTGCTCTACCTATCTACTTTCTCAACACTAATAACTAAGTGGCAGGCTTGCGGCGCTTCTCCCCGTCGAAGATCTGGTACACAACTGCCCAGTCCACGTCGTAAACAAGCATTTTCACGGCCATAAGATCAGACAGGGAAAACGGGAAGGGAGAGGGTTGGGTGGGAGGAGGGGCGAGAGGGGGGGGGTAGGAGGGCTGTGGAAGTTTCCGGGTAAGGCCGAGAACTTCCGTGGGGTTCAGGGAAACCCTCCAAGAGGCCCCTGTAAGAATCAGGGGAAGGCCCAGCCCACGCCCGTTATCATTCCGGGCTGTACAAAAAATCAACCCTGAGAATCTGGACTTTGGGGCAAAGTCAGACCTTAATGTTCAGGGCATTAAGGCCATATGCCCTTGAATCGACAGCCCTGGTGCGGAACCAATGATGAAGTGGTAGAACTTCGAAAGTGCTCTCTTTTGGGGCGGGGTTAGAACTAGATTTTCACGAATCAAATTGCAGGTGAGGATCACCGCATCGACCATGATTCCAGGAGGTGGGGTGGAGGTGGGGGTGATTGATCGACAACCCGTGTGGTGATGAACACGTGAGAAATTCCGCACGTAACTTCGAGCAAACGTGATTCGCGTGCTGACGGGAGCACTGTGGCACCATCCAGTGGCAAGGCAACACGACTGCGGCACATCATGTCCGACACTACGTTCACAACATTTTCGAATTGTGACGGGAGAGATTCACGCAGGGGTGTTTTTGTAGCTTCCAACCGAACAACTAAGCACCGAACTGCAACGCGCTCCACGTCTCGCAAACTTCAAATCAGAGTGATTACTTAGTTCTAGGGATGTCGGTGAATGTCAACCCTCGGATCTACGGTTCCAACAGTCAGGATTCACCGACATATTTTGATGTCGAGCTGGTGCGGCACTCTGCACCCCTTTAAAACTCTGGACCCTCCCCCCCCCTATCCAAAAAAGTAATTGGGAAACGTTCATCTTCAACCAAGCAAACAGACCGCTCTGGGGAATTTTCATCATAGCATTGAGAGATACGATCCAGTTCGTCACCGCAATGCAGTGGCCGATCAACACAACAGGCCAGCCCAATGGAGGCTGGGACGAAACGCGTCAACTTGCAGACGACTGACAGGATGAACAGTGACTCGCTTGGTAGGCAGGTGGGCGGGATTTTGCTGGACGTGGAGTGTGAACGGCAGATCCTCATTTCTGAAAGAGAATTGCGGAAATTTCGCCCGTCTGCGAGGAAGTACCGCACCAAGCAACGTCAGCACAATGGCCTGGTGGAGCTGCGATGGTTTTACCTCGACAAAGCCAGGCTCTTTACTGATCGAGCACGTGCACTGGTGCGTTGGTTGTCACTTCAACAGACACAGACATGTCATGCACGAAATTTAAATATGTTTTCCAAGTTTATTATCATGGTGACTATACAGCGAAATTTGTAATTTATTCCATCAAGGTATATGGCTATGTATGTAAGCTTCATGTTCCGTTTTTTAAGGCACACCTATTTGTGCTTCTCACCTACTTTGCTAAAAAGAATGTATAAACAGTTTATTACGAGTTTACTGAATGCTGCTGTTTGTGAGCGAGCAAGGGCGTGCGAAATATGTGTAACTTCACGAAAGTAACCCCTGCGTGTCGTGGTCCCACAAACCAACCCCACATCCAACAGCTTTGTGCGTTGTTGTGGGTGAGTGATGGCCGATCTTGTTGACCTCACATGCCCCCTGCCACCCGCCCAGGCGACCGCAATTTCAGGTAAATTTGCCATCCATACAGAGAAGAACCAATCCAATCAGTTTGTCGGCATGTTCGCCAGCACATCACTGTGTGCTTCGTGGCACGCGTCAGCATTTCTTGGAGCGTGGAGATTGAATTTTTATCCGCGCTGGCAGTAGTGACTCGGGAATCAATGGTTCAGATGCGTTTTAGCCACTAAAACCGCGTCAGAAGGGGCACACACAAACAATCTGTAAATTTCGCGGAACTGAAAAGCAACGGCAGGATTAGCCGCGATGGTCGGCGATTGCAGACCTGTCCAGCATCGAACCCACAAGCGAAACACTTCACCTCGTCACGCGACTGTAACATCCCTTCACGAGCATGATTTGAACAGTACCCTGAACCTGCTGCAGGATGGTCATTCGTCCAGTCCCTCTGGGCTCACGTCAGCTCAAGTTGGCACTTTCCGCCACACGCCACGGTATCTTCGCGCGCCTGGCCCAAGCGAGAGTATCACTCCCCCCTCACTCTCGCCGCTCAAACCCAACCCATCCAACCAAACTGGTCTATTTCAGCGAGGCTTGCTCATTCTCATCATCTGTCAGTTTTATTTCCCCCTTTTTTCTCATCTACTGTGTTTTGTTGTATCTTGGTCCGCAAGAAACGGTAGAGCACACTTGTCACGATGGCGCTGCACTTTATTAATCGCAACAGAGTTAGCAACCTGGTGGAGTTTTTTCTTCGCGAGCAGCAGGAGAGCCACGCGGCACGGGATCCGTCACTCAAGGCGTTTTCTTGTAGCTTCCAAAGCGCATCTGCATCGAAAAAGAGACGGCTTGTCGACTCAGATGACCGATTTGCGTCAGCATGCGGGAGAAGGCAGGTCGAAGAGGAGGAGCAGCTTCAGTCAGAATCCAACATCACGCACACGTCGCAGCAGAGCTTTCCCAGCGATGGCCACGGCGCGACCTCCGTCACTCACTCGGACGAAGCTGAGCTTGCTAACTTGGAAGAAGAGCTTTTGTGCCGCGGAGCGTCCGACTTGCTGCTGTTACGCATGGCGAGTGCACCGCCGGAAATGGAAGGCCTTCGCGAAATCGACGAGAAGCAACTCGACCTGAACGCGGCGCCGACGAGTCCTTCCAACAGCCCGCCAGCCGCTCTCGCTCAGTCTTCGGAGGACGGTTCGGTCCAACTTCCGGGATTGACGAACCGCGCTACGGATTTCGATCAGTTCCTTGCAGGCAGCGGCGCCACGGAGACGAGTCACAAGCGGAAACGACCCGCGCAGCAGCAGACGAAGACGTGTCTGAAATGTGGGAAGAAATTTGCGACCGGTCAGGCTCTGGGGGGACACATGCGGAAGCACTGGAATGGATCCATCCGCGTGCAGACGAAACAGCTGCTTGCAGAAGTTGGGCCTTCAAGGACCAGTAGTGCGGCGCACAGCGGGAGCCATAGCCACGAGTCAGATCTCTCCTCGCCGGAGCACGATGGCAAGCAGAGGCGGGCCAACGAAGCAGAGTCAACCGCCAGGCCTCTTGAGGTCGGCGATATTGATCTGAACTTGAAAATATGATCAGAGAAGAAGTTGGCATGTATCCTGAAAGGACTGGGAGTCCTTGTTAGTGTAGTAGATGTTCATAAAATTAGGTACTGCTGGCTTAGTTGGTGGTCAAACAATTATGTCTTCATGTTGTAAGATAGGGTACGGTACCACTCCCAAACAAGTGCAAGTCAGATAGTGTAGAAGCAGAGCTGAAATTGGAAAAGGGGACTCCACAAGACAAAACTTTCTCATGGAGTAAACCGACCCACTAAATTTTGCAGCGTAGTAGCTTGCTTATTTGATGTTGGAAGGAACATTAGTCCAGAACAAATGCCAGGCATGCGGCCCTGAGGTACACTTTCTAAGTAGTAGCTCATAATCCGAGGCCAGTTGTGAACTGCATGGAGCCATCTTAGAATCATACAAGCCCAATTGCTAGTTAAGGCTATATATTGATCGTAATCAAAGTACAAGGGGCAATACTATAGAGCTATCTAGAAACATGGCCGAGATGACCAGCATCCTCAAAGGAGCACGTGGAACACACGTTATTTCTTTGTCCTACGGACAACCGCCAGCAGCCGCAAGCCCAATTGCTAGTGTGAAGAACCTGTCTTTGGCATCACAACCTCAGGTCCAAATCGATTTCCTGAGCATCCACTTCTTTCTCCAGCTCCATTGATTCTTCCGAGAACCGCCTATTGAGTTCCAGCTGACACGGCGAAGGCGACTTACGGCTGTGTTTGCTGTCCTGGGCAGCAGCGCTCTTGCTCACACCAAGCGAGTCTTTCGCATGCCGTGAAGAATGCTCCGGCCTTTTTGGGCCCTTCCAGTGCTTCCGCATGTGACCACCAAGTGCCTGCCCGGACAAGAAAATTCTTCCACATTGGGGACATCTCTTGCTGCGGGATGATCTTCCCTGCTGCTCAAAGTCAAGACTATCCAGAAGATCACTGCCCATGTCCCCCACTCCACCAATGTTGATCCTGGCTACCTCATTGGCTGCTCGAAGCGCCATGGCAAGCGATTCACTGTAGGAACTCCTCTCTGTTGCTGCCGTGATCCTTGGTTCGTTGAGGAATGCCGACAGCGACAAGGTTGCCACGTCAGCCGACGACGAGAGACGCGCCAAAGTCGCGACGCCGGATGAAGCGGACGAAAGTCGTCCGCCAGTGGTGACAGCGCCAGGAATCACGGAAGGGATTGATTCCCAGGAATTGCCGCGCTGCGCGTGCAAGAGCAGCTGCTTCCGGAGGGACGCATTGCATCCAGCCTCCGGCGCCTCAGGAACCCGCGATTCCGGAGCCTCCGGCTGTTTCTGGAGAAATTTGCGATTCGGGATCTCGTTCTGCCCGCAGTTCGCACGACCTGCGGCGTTGGATGATGAAATCGGGGCCCTCCCGCGTCTCCCTGCAGCCGCACTCGCCGCTTGAAGCACGACGCCCGCTATCAGCGCAGCAGCTGCTACCGCGGCGGTCTGCTGCTGTTGGTTCAGCGATCCCGCGTGGGACGACTGGTTCGCTTCGCGCGCGGAGACCGGCGGCTGTAGCGGCACCGCCATTGGTATCCACTGTCTTGACGGAGCTTCCGCGACTCGCGGACGGATTGCCGGTGGAGACTCGTCACTCGTCGCAGCGCGGGGCAGTAGCGCACCCGATTGGTCGGTAAGCAGCGGCGCGGTGGCGTCGATGCCGCTGGATGCCGCCTCGCAGGTTTCGGTCTCTCCTGAGGACGCTGATGCGGCGGCGGCGGTGGCGGAGGAAGACCTTTCAGCGGAGCTGGCGCAATCGTGAGAGCGCGACAGCAGCGGGTGGAGAAGAGCCTTCGTATGAATCACCGCGACACCCGGCGTGGACGTGGTAGCGGCTGTAGCAGCTGTGGCGGCTGTGGCGGCAACTGACGCGTTCTTGAGGCCGAGAAGGAGCTCGAGGAGCGGTGAGTCTGTGGTGCTGTCAACGCGAGCCATGGTTCACGCACGAAGCGCGATTCTAGGTCAGGCGTGGAACAACTGCGAGTCTGCGGTAGACAGTGTATTGCGCGCGACGGAGAATGTTTGAGAGCCGTCGCTGACTCGGAGAGAGAGGTGCGATCAGGGGACGAATGCGAAATTGAACTTCTGTGCGCTGGAGGCGTAGCGCTGTCCAGCCTCTTATCAAAGCGACGGTGGGTATTTCCAATAAGGAGCTCAAGTGGAGCGAGAAACGGGAGTAAGGGCTGAAGGGACGCCATGCTGAGGCGTCTGGCGTGGCGATCATGGGAGCTAGAGGCCAGTGGCATTGGCGGAGGAGGCAGCGAATGTCGGATTGCGCAGTGCGTGGGTATAGCAGCCACATGTGAGGGGAGTAGAGAGTGGAGTGAAGCAAGCACCACGCGCGCACACACACACACACACCACCGTGAAGCCTCGGCAGATCCTCCTGATGCTGAATCTGGGTTACGTTGTCCTCTCCCTTCCCAACCAGCATCAATTCCACACGACAGTTTGTCAGTATTTACTGTATTGCATAAACCTTTCATCATTACCTACATTAGCAGGCATATTTGGTAGACGTCTGATTGTGACTAAATCGAAACTTGACCTGATGAAGTCCCAGAAACTGGCTTCACGTTTTTTGAAAGAGGAAAAGGGAAAGAGGGAGAAGGAAAAGGGAAAGAAAGACACCAGAAACAACTCAAACGCAACACCCATAAAAAGCCCCATAAAAATACTCCATAAATAAAAAAACCCAACCAGGATCCCCTACCAGACGTCCCATCTCGCACCCTATTCCCCCTCGCCCCCCCCCCTCTCCCCCCCCAAGTCACATCTGCACATCCACCATGTAGGGGGCCTCCACCCAAAGAGGCCCGCCCTCCACCTCGACATCGTCCCTCTCCCGATCCACCAAGTCCACATTCAACCCCCCCATGGAAGACGCCGCCCGAAGCAGGATGACACGAGCTTGCGCCCGTTGTAACGCCACTCCGATGAGCGCCTTCAGAGACCCCAAAAGGTAAGCCGATAATGAAGTGTCACGACAGTTTGTCCTGTTAATCTGTGCATTTTGGGGATTGCAGACCGGCGCAATTCTTGTAGTGGAATTTATCGGTAAAACATACTTCCGTTGTGGTTACATTCGTTACGAGCCGAATTCCGCCGTTAATTTTCACTACAGTCAAATCAATAATCGGTCGAATGGGCGTTGTACATTTTTGTACAGAACAACATTTACTACACCCGAGGCCTCCCACACCATCGATCTCAGCCCAACACATCCCATCCTGGCTCATGCCACAGTCAGCCAGGCTGTCAAGGATTCTGCCCAACGTGTGTGACTTGGCGGAGAGGTCTGGAAGGGAGGTGGGACAATAATGAACAGTTGTTGACGACTTGGTTCCATTCGGTTCGGACTGAGCTGGCGCGGCGAGTGCTGCAGGTGACAAAACAAGCTCGAATTTTGATTGTTCACAGCCCCACAGTGCATTCTGGAAAATCGATCAAAGGACGGGCAACCCCAAGTGACACAAAAAAGGAGAAATACCGAGGAACCATAGCGTCATTTATACTTCTGTAGTATTTTCTAGGGTGTCTTCAATCGTAGCTGACCAAAAGCTACGTGCCCATGGAATCCGATGACGATATGAGCTGGGAACGTGCCATGAACAGAACACAATTCCTACAGAGAGGACAAGTCGAGTGTCTAGTCTTGTCCCAACAGACTCGGTCGTGGACTTCCGTGTCCATGTTCGAATGCGCTGTACCCCGTAGAGGGAGCTTCGCAGTTGCCATCAAAGGTCCGATACCTATGCACAGCAGGCCTTTAATCTAAACTGACTTATTCCCAACCAAAACAGCAACTCACCACGGAAAAAAATAGTTTAAAATGCTTCATGCATGGCACTTCTCGGAGGCAATTCAGAACTCGAACCAAAAAGAAATCCGTAACTGATGTTCACCATCATGCACTTTCCATTGTTTTGTGGTGCTTGGCGCCCCTGGAGCTGCCACCAACACCATCCTCCTCGCTCGGAGTGCCATTCTCCTCTCGCAACCGACGCCGTGAAGGCCCCTGCGCAGCAAGAGTTGCACCAGAAGAGCTGGCTGGGGGATCTCCGCCGCCCCGTGCAATCTGCTCGCCAGCCTTCCCCAACTGCTCCTGGCAAGCAGCAGCAGCGCCATGCGTTCCGGATGCTTCCTTGTTTGTGGTGTGCGGTGGCGCCGAGTGCAAGCGTTGCTGGTGCTGATTGGCGTACAAAGAGGTGAATGAAGGGCAGCAGAGACATGCATGAGCACAGTCACAAGTGCACGAAACAAAAGAATGAAACGATAGCATTGAACGATAGGACCAAGCAACCCAGGATACCCATCAACCAACATACCTCGACACTTGGCAACCACACATCCAAAAACCAACATAAACAATCCACACTGCGCCGCTGTTCACCCCCCCCTCCCCCCCCCCCCCCCCCCCCCCCCCCCTCCCCCAACCACACACACCCATTCCCAAACTTTCCCATCCCCTCTGATACATATCCACACACAATCACACCCGCACCCGAACCCACCCACTTCCACACAATCCCACTTAACCCCATCCCTCTACCCGCACCCATACCCAGACCCACCTACACACCTACCCACCCATATGTCAACAACCAAGTGCCACAGCCGCCAGCAGCACACTGAATCACAAGCGCACAGGCCCCTAAACCCTGGGAACACCAATGCACGGGCCCCTTCATTTTTCAAACCCCTCCTACCTCTCTGCTTGTTCTCCTTGACCTTCCACTCAGATATGCTTCTGACAGCCTCTCTTGCGGCGCCATGTGGCGCTGTGCCACGTCATCCGCCTCCATCACCCTCTCCCACTCCTTTGCTTCCTCCTGCCAGTAGATCAACACATGCGCCATCAATGCCGCGCCATCCCATGCCATGCCGCGCCATCCAATGCCATGCCGCGCCATCCAATGCCACGCCATGCCACTCCCACGCCATGCCGCGCCATCCCACATGAAGGAACGTGGAGAGAGGGATCAGACCACACAGACGAGCCAGCATCACGAAGACACGCAAGTGTTGAACGCACAACCAACACAGACACACCAGCGATGCCGCAGCTGCCATAGAAGCCGCAATCATGCAACCCTAGACACACCCGAACAATGCCCAAACTTCGCAGGTGCCATACAAGCCGCAATCATGCAACCCTAGACACTCAACTTCTCTCTTGTGCCATGCTCCATATCACCTCTACACCCCTCCCAACACCTGCACCATGCACTTTCCCTGCACAGACTCACCAAACTCAGCTTTCCAGCAGCAACAGCATCTGAAAGCACCTTGCCTCTCTCCTTCACAGACGTGCCTCCCCCTTGACTAGACCTCCTTGCTCCACCCGCCCCACACCCCTCCGCCCCACCTGCACTCCTGCTTGCTGCCCCACCCCCTCCCACCTCCCGCCCTGCTCCCTCTCGAGCTGCCCCTCCCAGCACTCGCCTCAGGGCGCCAAGGCCCTGCCCCAGCACACTCCTTAGCGCATGCTGCTGCTGCTGTGACTGCTGCTGCTGCTGCTGCTGCTGCTGCTGCTGCTGCTGCTGCTGCTGCTGCTGTGACTGCTGCTGCAATTGTTGCTGCTGTGACTGCTGCTGCAATTGCTGCTGCTGCGTTTGTGATTGCTCCAGCTGCTGCTGCTGAGCCTGAGACTGCTGTTGCTCCTGCTGTGACTGCTGCTGGTGGGTCGATGGCTGCCGCTGCTGCTCTTGTTGCTGCTGCTGCACTTCTCTCTCCTCTCCATTTCCCCCCACCACCCCTCCCTGGCCCCTAATGTCCACTGACCTTCCGCCGCCCTCCTCGCCTGCTATTCGCCCTAAACCTGCCAGCACACCACTCAATCCTCCCAGCCCCCCCAGCAGCGCCTCAAGCCCCCCTGCTTGCATTCCCTCCCCTCCTGTCTGTGCACCCACCCCCCCTGCTTGTGTCCCCATCCCCCTCCCTACGCTTCCCCCCTGCGCCTGCACCTCCCCCACTGCGCCCACTGCTGGCAGCAGCTGGGGGCGCATAACTATGGTAGGGAAGGGGCCAGACCCGCCCACCAGCGCTACAGTTGCGGGGAACTGTAGCAGTGGCTGATGACCAGAAAACCATGCCAGCTGCTGCTGCTGCTGCTGCTGCTGCTGCTGCTGCTGCTGCTGCTGCTGCTGCTGCTGCTGCTGCTGCTGCTGCTGCTGTTGTAACGATTGTTCTTGCTGCCCCTCCTGTTGCTGTCGCTCCTGCGGCTGTGCTTCCTGCTGCCCTCTCTCCTCCCGCCCCGCACCCTGCCCTGCCTGCTGCTCTCGTCTCTCCTGCATCTCAGAATCACATTCTGCCTGCCCCTGCTGCACCTCCTGCCCCTGCTGCCCCTGCAGCTGCTCCTGCGCCTGCGCTCTCTGTCCCCGGCCCTGCATGTGGGAGTTGTATTCAGCCAGCACCTGCTGCATGTGGAACAGCCGCGCTGCTGCCCTCACCTGCTCTACCAGTGACCCCGGCTGCCCCTGCTGCTGCCCCTGCTGCTGCTGCCCCTGCTGCCCCTGCTGCTGCTGCCCCTGCCCCTGCCCCTGCTGCTGCCCCTGGCCCTGCTGCTGCTGCCCCTGCTGCTGCTGCCCCTGCTGCTGCTGCCCCTGCTGCTGCTGCCCCTGCTGTTGCTCGGTAGCAGCAGCAGCAGCAGCGCCAGGGGGATTGGCAGCATTGATGCTGTTGTCCGTTGGAGGGCGGGCATGGGCAACAGGGCGAGAGGGGGCGGGGCGAGGGTGGTGGGGAGCGAAGGCAGGGATGCCAAAGAGCCCCACATGCACCCCGCCTGGGAGAGAGAAGCTCGCAACAGGCGTGGCGGCGGATGCTGATGGCACTGTTGCTGGTGCTCCTGTGCCTGCCGTTGCTGCTGCTGCACCTGTTGCTGCAGCTTCTGAGCCTCCTGCTGCTGCTGCTCCGGTGCGTGCTGCTGCTGCTGATTGCTGCTGGCCTCCAAACAGTGGGATTCTGATGCTCCCCCCCACACCTCCCCTCCCTCCGCGCCCTTGATCCGCCCCCCCGCCTCTCGCCCCCTCCCTGCCAGCCACACTCGGTAGCTGTGCCTGCAGGTGCATCTGCTGCAGCAATGGCAATTGCTGGGGGAGGAGAGGCACGACAGTGAATAGAGGCAGTCACAGAGAAAGGAAGCAAGGTGAGAGCAAGTATTAGGGGATTGAAAAGATAAGACAGATTGCAATTGAGGAGCGAGTCGAGGCGGAGTGAAATGGACACAGAGTCAAGAGAAACAATCCAGAACCTATCGACACCAAGACATAACAACAACCCTCCCCATCCTCCCCTTCCCCCCCCTCCACTTTCAACCTTTCCCCCCTCGACCCAGAATCCAGAACCAGAGCGCACATGGGTGAAGAGAGCACTGGGCCCTCTGGCAGTGATGAAGACTGGTGGCACAGGGGACAGGCGCGGGCCGTGCTGCTGCTGCCCACTGCTCGCACCACCACCAGCAGTAGTTGCAGTAGCAGCAGCACCAGCAGCAGCAGCGGCAGCAAGTGCAGCAGCAGCAGCAGCACCAGCAGCACCAGCAGTGGCAGCAGGTGCAGCAGCAGCACCAAGTGTAGTGCCAGCAGCAGCAGTAACGCCAGAGGCAGGGGGGCGAGCAGGGGCGGGCCAGTGCAGGGCGCGGCAGAGGTGGGAGAGTTCGAGCAGCAAGGGCGCCATGAGGGTCGCACACCGCACCGTGCCCTCCACCGCCTCTCTCATCGCCGCCTCCGCTGCCACTGCTGCTGCTGCCACTGCTGCTGCTGCCACTGCTGCTGCTGCTGCTGCTGCTGCTGCTGCTGCTGCTGGCTCTCCCGCTCCTGCCCCTGCAGCTCCTTCCCCCGACCCTGCTGCTCCTCCTGCTCCTCCTCCTGCTGCCCCTCCAGCTGCTGCTGCGCCAGTTTCTCCTGAGTCAGTCGCAGCAGCAGCGCCCACAGAGGGCAAGCGCTCCAGCTGGTCTGCAAGATTCTGCTCACTCACAGAACAGCGTAGTGCGCGGGAGAGGTGGGGTGAGGGTGGGGGAAGAGGGGAGGTGGAGAACCGAAACTAAATGACTGGCAGGTTGTGATTGACGCAGCAGAGAGCTGGCACGTGAGAAGCTTCCCTGGCACGTGAGAGGCCTGCCTGGCACGTGAGAGGCCTGCCTGGCACGTGAGAGGCCTACCTGGCACGTGAGAGGCCTGCCTGTCACGTGAGAGGCCTGCCTGGCACGTGAGAGGCCTGCCTGGCACGTGAGAGGCCTGCCTGGCACGTGAGAGGCCTGCCTGGCACGTGAGAGGCCTGCCTGGAACGTGAGAGGCCTGCCTGGCACGTGAGAGGCCTGCCTGGCACGTGAGAGGCCTGCCTGGCACGTGAGAGGCCTGCCTGGCACGTGAGAGGCCTGCCTGGAACGTGAGAGGCCTGCCTGGCACGTGAGAGGCCGAGAGGCCTGCCTGGCACGTGAGAGGCCGAGAGGCCTGCCTGGCACGTGAGAGGCCTGCCTGGCACGTGAGAGGCCTGCCTGGCACGTGAGAGGCCTGCCTGGCACGTGAGAGGCCTGCCTGGCACGTGAGAGGCCTGCCTGGCACGTGAGAGGCCTGCCTGGCACGTGAGAGGCCTGCCTGGTCAGACGCACTGCTTGCTACTCAACTAATAACCACCGTTACAGAGGGCAGAAGCAGTAAAACCCGAACGCAACAGAGTGCGAGGGAAGGGCAGGAACCGGAACTGACGAGAAGGGAGGAAGAGAGTGGGCCGGTGAGAAGGCTGTTGGAGCGCCTGAGGGCGGCCGCCAGGCGCTGCAGCTGCGGAAGCTCCCTCCTTGCTGTCACTGCTGCTGCCGCTGCTGCTGAGTCCACTGGGATGGGGCACACGGAGGCAGGGGAGGAGAAGAGGCATGGTTGGTTGCAAGAATCAGAGAAAAGGGCGGATTGAAACCCTTGAACCACTCGTTTCCCAGGCCTTGACATGACAATTAACCCTGAACCTCAACCGCAGAGCATTGCCAAAGCATAAACCCCCACATTACCCACGAACTGTATGAACGAGCAATGCCCTGGATCTACCTGGCAGGCAGCCCTGTGCTGTTCTCACCTGACGGCCTCAGCTGACCCTCCACACGCGATATGTACTCGTCCACAGTGGAAAGAGCGTCCCTTCGCCCTGCATGCCTCGCCCCTGCTGCTGCTGCTGCTGCTGCTGCGGGTGCCTTACACCCCCTTCCTCCTGCTCCTCCCCATGCTGCACCAGCCTCCCAATCCCCCCTGGCCCCATGCCACCAAGAGCCATCATGAGAGGCAGGCCGGCAACACCCATGGTGCCGGCCATGGGGATGGGGAATCCGCCCAGGGGAAAGCCCACCGGCACAGCCATCCCTGCTGGTGCTGCCATGCCCATTACCGATGGCATGCCCGTGCCTGCTCCCATGCCTGCTCCCATGCCTGCTCCCATGCCTGCTCCCATGCCTGCTCCCATGCCTGCTCCCATGCCTGCTCCCATGCCTGCTCCCATGCCGCCTCCCATGCCTGTTCGCACACCTCCCATGCCTCCCATGCCCGTTCCTCCCATACCCGTGCCTGGCCCTGCCATGCCCACAGGCATGGCAAAGCCACTCACAGGCAGCCACGTGTCCATGTGAATCTGCACCTCTGGCACCCCGCCCCCTCTACCCTCTGCCTCTTCCACTCCCTCCCTCCGTTCCCCAGCTTCACCCTCCCTTCGCTCCGTTCCTGCTCTCTGCTCCCCTGCTTGCTCTTGTTCCGCCCGTTCTCCCCCATCCCTGCCTGCACCTCCATCCGCAGCAGCAGCAGCAGCAGCAGCAGCATCGGTGGTGTGAGCGTTGCGGGCAGCATTACTGTTTGCGGCAGGGGAGGAGCGTCTGAGAGCCTGAGTGGCTCTCATCTGTGGGGGCACATGGCACATGGCACATGGCAGCACAACACAACGCAAGGTGAATGAGCGACAGACAGCAGTGGAGAAGAGAGCACAAAGGAGAGGCAGACTTGAGCTGAGCTCAGCTGTCGGTTAGTCACGTTTCAAATGAAAAGGCACTTGGAAAATGCGTGTTGAAATGGAGACTTAAAATGACACACGGCGTACCGAGATGGGGGCAATGTCAATCGTGACATTCGCAGTAGGACCTGCTGCCTCGCTTGCACCCCCCACCACTCGCCCACTCCCTGCTACCGCTCCCTCCATACCTCCCCCTATGCCTCCCCCTATGCCCCCAAGTCCCACAGCTCCAAGGCCTATGGATGAAAGCACACCCGACACGATCTGATGGGCACACGGGCGAAACGGGAAGGAGGAGAGGGAAGGTCGAGTGGAGAGCGAGGGGCGAGGGGCCGGGTTTTATACGAAGAGGATCAGACACTGGAATGAGAGCGGATGAATAGAGAGGGGAGGAGCATGGAAAATAGAATGATACAAAAGCGAATGATACAAGAATGATGGGAGGGAAGTGGAGCGAATGATACAAGAGGGAAGGGAACGAGAAGGGGGGTGGAACAAGAACGGAAGGAAGATGCGGAGAAAGGATGCAGGAGATGATCAAGACGTCGTCATGGGAGTGTGACTCGTGGCTGCACCCACCACATCCATCCACCCACCCATCCACCTGCCCACCCAGCCACTCACCCTCCCGCCCACCCGCCCACCCACACACCCATACCTGGTTCAGGTCCGGAAGGCCCTGAGAGCCGTCCGATGGGAGGTTAAACGTGCCCAGATGAACGGTTCCAGAGGCAGGCAGGCCGCCAATCTGCACATGACCCAAGCCTCCCCCAAACCCTCCCCCCGGAACAATCCGTATCCCTCCCATACCGCCGCCGCTGCCCCTCTCCCCCCCTGCGCCGCCCCTCCCCTGTCCTCCGCGCAACAGCCTCGCCCTTACGCGGTTCCCCTCCCCCTCCGTGCCCGTGCGTGCGCCATGCGCGGAAGAAGGGGAGGAGTCCCCCGTGAGGCGCGAGACTAGGTGCACCACTTGGCCCGCAGTGATGCCTGGGAAAGGAAAAGCGGGGGAAGGGTACGGGAAAGGAGAACACGCGGAACGAGAGGAACGGGGCACAGGAGGCGGGTGGCAATCTAGAAAACAATCTTTCCAGCCAGCAGCAAGCATGACAGGAGCAAAGTAACGAAGAAAGATCACGGGAAAGGTATGCTACACGACGATAGAATCCAGGGAGAAAGGGGGTAGGACGAGAGATCCAGGGTTGAAGGGGGGTAAAACATAAGAATCAGGGGTGATATGGGATAAGACGAGAGAATTCCGAGGTGAAGGGGGGTAAGACGAGAGAATCAGGGGTGAAGGGGGGTAAGACGAGAGAATCAGGGGTGAAGGGGGGTAAGACGAGAGAATCCGCGGTGAAGGAGGGTAAGTCGAGAAAATTCGAGGTGAACAGGGATAAATCGAGAGAATTCGGGGTGAAGGGGGGTAAGACGAGAGAATCCGGGGTGGGTAAGACGAACCGTAGGATGCGAGGGTCTGATCGTCCTTGAGAACCTTCCCCCGGAAGACCAATCGCTGGCTGCCAGCTGGAACCTGCACCTGCGAGGAGATCTTCTCCTTCAACGCGCTCACGAGCAGCTGCAGGCCAAGCGGAGAGCGAGACACGAGGCGGGGGGGGAGGTGGGGAGAGACGGGGAGAGGAGAGAGAACGGAGGGGACAAGAGAGAGAGAAGCTTCGACTTCAGGACGGAACCATGCACAGAAACATCAAAGAAACCTCTGAGGGGCTGTCGAGCAGCGTAGGGAAGCTCGAGGAGTGAGAAACGCGAAGTGGCGAAGCGTGCATGAGCAGCGGTGACAAGAAATGAAGCAAACATGTCTGCAGCGCTACCAGCTGGTAAGGAGTCGATTAAGGGACTTTGGTGCAACCGAGAGATGCTTGGAAAGTATAACGTTGACTAGAATTAAACTTCCTCAGACTTGTCTCATGTCTCACAAATGAAAAAATCAGCGACGACCTATCAAAGGTCTTGGGATTCGGTCTAAAGGTTTGCCACCATTCAACGCCCTAGATCGTGACTCGAGTGGATCGCAGACAGAAACAAGTGCGGATCGGAGGCTAAAAAAACCATTCCCTTAACCTGCTCCTTGAATTCAGATAGAGCGGTGAATCACCCTACACTAGCACGCAACGCACCGCGAGGTCCACGCGGACGTCGTAAGCGCGGTTATCGAGAGTCTTGATGGTTATTCCGACTTCGCTCTGACTTGCGCCGTCAAGGGGAGGCAAATCCATGGCGAGCGGGACCCCACAAAGAAACGCTAATCGCGAAAAATAACAACAAAAGAAGTCAATACGGGAAATGTCAACTCAGGAGGATACTAACTGAAGTTTCAGGCAGTTGCTGAATTCAGGGCTCAAGGCTTTAGTTTGACGACGATGAATAGCAAACCGCACAGAACCGATCAACGCAACGCGCGGACCACCAATCAACGCACTCAACGCGCGTGACCGTTGGCATGACGAGCAAACACGACCGCCACGTGTATGAGCGGGCAGCACCCTCGCCAAAGGTTCGATTGAGCGTTTCAGTGTATACATGTTAGCATTACCGTAAGGCCTCTAGAACAAAACTTCTGACAAAGAAAGCATTTTTCCTTCCACAAGGCATGTGAGCCTGGATGAAAGAGGGGGAACTAAGCAGCTACAGAATCTTGTTTCTTATGTCCTCTAGCTTCTTGAGAATCTCCCCTGGTGTGCGATCAAGCTCTTCCGCAATCTTCTTTTGCAGCTCCAGCGAAAGCGACGGGAATTGTTCGCACAAGTCTCCATCAATCACATCCTGGGATGACGTCAAACGGGCAGAACACACAAAGCATCGTGGAGAAAAATGAGCCTCTTTTTCTTCCCTTTCTTGGGGGATGGGGGGAAAAAATTCAGGTCACATGGTAGAAGGAAGGTTAAGTCAACAAAACGAGACGGTAAGTGCAGCAGAAAAGCAGGGCTGACCTTGACAGGGAAGTAGGCGGATCGGTAGGCAACGTGCTCGCGGCCGGCGAGGGGAGGGTGCTCCTGGCGCAGGTGCATCTCGAGGTGCGAGAAGAAATCCACGTCCTCCCGCGAGACAAAGGGCAGCAGCGCCCCCACGGCCCCCAGCATGGTGCTGTAGATTATGCACTCACTGCCGCCTGTGGGATGAGAGACGGGGAGAGAGGAAGACAGGCAGGGAAAGCACGATGGGAAGGACACAAGAGGGTGTTGCGGGGAAAGCGGGCAGTAAGAAACAAGTCAGGTCGGGACAACCAACGGAATGATGAACACCCGAGAGCAAGCAGTACAGGAAAGAAGAGGTAGTTTGAAGGCCAGGCCGTGCAGTGCTCACCTGGAATGAGCGAGGTCTTTTGCATGGCAGTGACGATGTCCCCCACGTGGAACTGAATCACCTGGTGGGTGTTGGGGCGCCAGGCGAGAGTTGGAGGGAGGGAATGCGCACGTGAGGGTGAGGGTAGAGATGCGTCACGACAGGCAGGGAACGCACAGCACAAGACAGCTCAGCGCACCACAGGACAGCAGTGCATGGAGACATGCAGCAAGGGGGGTAGTCAGGGATGAACACAACGGCGGCACAAAACGGTGGACCGACACCCCACCTGCTCAAGCTTGTTTGGTGCTCCGTTCAGTCGTCCCCCTCCCACGGCGTCCCACTTGACCCGCCCGCCAGTCTGATCCTCCTCAATCTCCTCGGAGATCTCCCCTGGAAGCCTCACGAGACACACGTTGCCAAACTTGTCCCCGCCCGCCATGGTGTCAAAGTCGACGCGCAGCGCCGAGGTCAGCCAGCGCGGCGTGACGTCGTCTGCGAACACGTAGAGCTGGTTCTCCTGCCGGCTGTGCTGCACGTAGTGGAATGACTGGGGACCACAGTGGCAGAGAGAGGATAAAGAGAGGGTCAGGATGGGAGTGGCACTCCCACTCACTTATCACACGTCTACTAATAGCACAACTCTCAGACCGGCCCAACTCCTGCATCGCCTCTCCTTCGCCCCACAATGACTCACCTCCTGCACGTCGCCCACGTAGATGCGATCACCGCACGCATGAATGCTCACGATGGCATGCGGGAACTGCTTGTTCTCGCACTTCCTCAGCAGCTTCTTCTTCCCCAGGTCATATATCCGCAGCACATTCCCCACGCCCACCAGCAGCCTCCCATGAAACGCACACAGGGCCGTCGGCACCCCCCCTTCCACCGCAGTCTTATGAACCAACTCCAGCTCCCTCCCATCCTCGCCCTTAAACTTATACACATGGAGGAACCCTCCCAGAAGGTTCCTCTTGGGCCAGAACTGCAGGGATTTCGCCGTGCCGACCACCAGGTACTGTCCTGCTGCCGCCCCGCCCTCGGTCTTATCCGCGTGGAAATTGACCGTGCAGAGGGAGAAGGCTGCCTCGCTGTCTGTGAGCTCCAAGAGGCACGTCGTCTCGCCTGCCTTGGGGTTGATTACTCGGATGCATGATGCCCATTTTGACGGGACTGTTTTCGGGTACCCGAATTGCTCGTCTGGCAGCGGGTCTTTGGCTTTCTCGTCCTCCTCCTCTTCCTCCTCTTCCTCGTCTTCCTCCATCCCCTCCTCCCCGTCCTCCCCTCGGGCCCCTCTCGCTGCTCTCGCCGCTTCCTTCCTCTCCCTTCTCTCCTCCTCCATCCGTTCCGCAGCCCCGGTCACTTCAATCGCTTCCTTCCTCAGCTCCTCCCTTTCTTCCGCCGAGAACGCGCCCTGGTCGCTCTCTATAGTCACAATGTTCTTATAACGCGGATGCAGCACAGCCTTGCGCGGGGTGTACCGCAGCGGAATAACCGTCTGATTAAAAACCTCTCCAAGCCTCTCCACCGTGAAAACTCGCAACGTTTCTCCTGCCACCGCCACAATACCCTCTGGGCACTGATCCGACGCAAACGGTGCCGCATACTCTAGAGCCTCGTAGGACAGAGGCGTTAGATGGAAGCTTCCCAGAAGGGAGTAACCGAGCCAGGGGCGGCTGGAGAGGCAGAGCATGGCGCGCCGCTCCCTCAGCTGGGCACCGAAAAGTTTCGGCGCGCGCAGCCCGAGGAAGCGCGTGCGCGAATCAGAGAGCTGCCCGGAGTTCTTGTCCACTTCAGTGCGGAGCAGCACTCCGTTCTGCAGGCCGGCGTTGAGGAAGAGACTGGACGGCACGTGGGCGGCAGCAGCGGAGGAGGAGGAGGCGGCAGCGGTGGAGGAGGGACCGTCTGTGCCGGGCCCCGTGGGGACGTCCAGGAAGAGCAGGGACTCCGGTGGGGCTGACACCGCCTGCACACTCAGCACCTGGTGGGCGACGAAGGAAGAGAGGGAGATGCATGAAGGGCAGTGCACGGGGGGAGAGCAGGACAAGAAACTTCTAGATTATGACGGTGGTGGAGGGACCCGTCTGTACCAGGCCCGGTGGAAAAGGATGGGGTGAGGCCGATGGGTCTGGGGGAGCGATGGGGGGAGGGAGGGTGGGATACACGGAGAGAGAAGAAAGGACCTGAAACCGCCAGACCCCCAAAACTCCAAACCTCAAAACCCTGAACCCAGAGCGCTCCTTCCCCTTACTCACCTGCATGTTCTCATCAGGGTCCAGCGAGAGGATCCGAACCGTCGAGTCGTACGATCCGACGGCCAGGAAGCGTGCTCGCTGGCGGCCCTCAGGGATGGGGGCGACGTCGAGGCAGGCAACGTCCCCCGGCATGTCCTTCTTGCCCATCTCCACCATCTGCCCCCTCACGTCCATCTCGAAATGCACCAGCTCTCCGCCTGAGAGAGCGATTACGACCTGAGGAGGGGGATGGGTAAGGGGAAGAGAGGGGAAGAGGGTTAAAATGCATGTGGTGTGGATGGTAGGAGGAGTGGAGGCATGTCCTTCTTACCCATCTCCCCCATCTGCCCCCTCACGTCCATCTCGAAATGCACCAGCTCGCCTCCTGACAGGGCAATCACGACCTGGAGGGTGGAATGAGAAGATGGAGAGTATGGGAACGAGCAAAGGTCAGAACAAACAGAAATTGACACCTCTTGTCACCTCCAAGCACTCACAACAAACTGCAATTCACCAGAAGGCGGTTCAATCTGAGATGGACTGACCTGGAAGCGGTTGCAGCCGACTTTGACGATGCTCTTCTTGCCGGGCGTCTTCCACTCGTTGATTCGCCCGTCCGCCCTGATGTGCCGAATGCCGCTTGGGTGCACCTGAGGATGAGATGGTGCACGCAGCAGAGAGGGACATGGACGCATGCACATACGTATGCATGCACAAAATACTCTTCCACACCAACACATACATCCTCCTTCCCTTCCTTTCCCCCCACCCACCCAGCTTGTCTGCATCAAAACAGCCCACCCTGCCCTGCCCCCCAGCCTCCCGGCTGACCTGCATGAGCGAGTCCTCGCCCAGGAGAGACACAGCAAGAGACGGAGTCGTGTCCAGGAACCCACTATCACTGACTTCCTCCACGGTGTCGCCAATGCTGAGCACAAGGGTCGCATTAACGAAGGACACCACGATGTACGCGTGAAACTCGCCCTGCACGCTCTCACCACCAACCCACCCTGCCTGCCTCCCCTCCCCCTCCCTCCAGCTTACCTCCAAAAATACCCCACCCTGCCCTGCCCCCGAGCCTCCCACCTCACCTGCATAAGCGAGTCCTCCCCCAGCAGCGACACAGCAAGTGACGGAGTCGTGTCCAGGAATCCACTATCACTGACTTCCTCCACGGTGTCGCCAATGCTCAGCACGAGGGTCGCATTCACAAACGACACCACGATGTAGGCGTCAAACTCGTCCTGCGCGCTCTTGCGCACCGTCCACACGGCGCTCGGCACGCCTGGTAACTGCGTTACCGCCATCTCCGTGACTGCCAGCCCCGGGCGCAGGATGCGCAGGGAGGAGCGCGGGCCGCGGCCGCACAGCGCAAAGACCTGCGGGGTCTCCTCGTCGAATAGGTTGGATACCTTGAGGTCGAGGAGCGGCATCAGCGACTCGACCTCGTCGATCTGCGGTGAAAGAGGGGAAGAGGGACAATGCAGGGGGTTAGTGAGGGGCGAAGACATGCGGGGTCTCCTTGTCGAAGAGATTTGAGACCTTGAAATCGAGGAGTGGCATCAGCGACTCGACCTCGCCGATCTGCAGTGCGAGAGAGGGAGATGGTGAGGGGGGAAAGCGATTTAGCTCGACTCGCACCCCGCACCTGAAACACAATGCACCTCTTCCCCTCCTCCTCGATTCTATACCCAACACCCTGCCCCTCAACTTGCTCAAGAAAGGCGTGAGCCAGCTGACTCGCTGACCTGAACCAGATTCTTGAGGCGGCGCGGGTGGAAGAAAACCGGCTGAAACCCTTCATCGGTTTCCATGAGCGTGGCGGAGCTCGACTCCACCTCCTCGTCGTCGCCGATGCCCTGGAAGCGGTACAGCGCGTGGTTGCTTCAAACACTGACTGACCTGAACAAGATTCTTGAGGCGGCGGGGGTGGAAGAAGACGGGCTGGAATCCCTCGTCCGTCTCCATGAGAGTCGCAGAGCTCGACTCCACCTCATCGTCGTCGCCGATGCCCTGAAACCGGTACAGCGCATGGTTGCCGAACTCCGACGCCGCGAATAGGAACCCCGCGCGCAGCACGCACAGCCCCGCGCCCACCGGAATCGTGTCGAAGTACTTAATTTTAAGTTCCGCCACGCGGTCCGTGTCCTTCGGGTCGTGCTCTAGGGTAACCCTAAAGACGTCGCCGTATTCCGTCTGCAGGAGGAAGAAGTACATTGATTTCTGCTTGTGCGTCGCGGCGGCGACGATCAGCACGCCGCGCTCGGCCGGCAGGTCGGCGCGGCGCGGAATGACGGCGCGCACGTCCGGGTGGCCCTGGTTCTTGTAAATCACGAAATTCTCCGCGCACACCAGCACGCCCGACGGCCCGTCCGCGCCGCCCGGGACGGCGACGAGGAGATTCGCGCCGTTGTCGACGGGCTCGGCCCATTTCCGCACGACGTGATTCAGACCCAGATCAAGCTCGTAAAAGGTTAGCTGCTTCTGCGCGTCTGCCGCTGCTTGGCCCGACGGGTCCTGATCCGCGTCGGCGTAATCGAGCTCTATGGCGGCGAAAATGGGGTTGTCGAATCCGCAGTCCACGCCGACCACGGAAAAGACTAGGGTTTGCGACTTGTGCGCTTCTAACGGGGATGAGATCGTGAGGCGCGCCGAGCTGTCGCGGTTCAGAACGTACACGAACTTCTGCTTCTCGCAGGCGGCGATCATGACCGCTCGTCCTTTCGGATCCACGGCCAGGAATTGGCCAGGGACGATCCGGCGACATCCCGACTTGCCATACGTCTCCTGGTGAATCTTATCGAAGAGATTCTTCTCCCGGTTATACTCCAGAATAACGATTCGGCCAGAATCGGATCCCACGACAATAAGGTCCTTAGAGGATCCCGTGAGGCGGAATTGGACGAGCGAGCGAATCTCGCCGAAGACTTCTACCGCGTACAGGCTCTGCAGCTTTCCCGCGGCATCTGGCCGTAATAGCTCGAGAATCTTCCCTCTCGCGACCACTATTTCCTGCTCCTTCGTCCCTGAGAAGTTGCCGAATATGACGTGGCTAATGCCCGTCGCCCGCTGAAGCGTAAGATTATAGAGATACATGGCTTCCACGGACTAAGAACACGAGACGAAAGACGGTAAATGCGGTCCCGAAATGTGGAAGAGCTGGCTTTCAGGGAGCGCAGGGGTTGCGCTACACTACCGTATTTTGTTAGTTTCCAACTTTTTGTAACCGCGTAGCGCAGTGGATTAGCGCGTTGGACTTCGGATCCAAAGGTCGCGGGTTCGATCCCCGTCGTGGTTGGAGGTTTTCTTCCCAGTCATTTCGCTCGGTGTGAACTTCCCTCGAGATTGCGAAGTTATGCGCCTGTTCCATCCAATCACACCACGCTTTCTTGAATTCCACCCAAAGTTCGAGAATCACTTCCATCCCAACACTCAAGAATCTGTTGTCTTCGTTCGTTGTTTCTTGGGATCACATCCCATTGCCTTGGGAACATCTTCAGTTGCTCGTAGTTAGTCCGCCTCGACGTGGTTGCCAGCGGTGCCGGTCTGCCTTGCAAGGCTGGCCGTGCTTGACGCGCGGCATGAGTCTCGTCAGGATGCCACCTACTCGAGGTACGTAGGTTTCTTGCAGAAAATCTTACGTAGGTTTCTTGCGGAAAAACTGTACTACGCGTTGGATAAGGCACGCTGTAGCGTTGCACAGTAGTGATCAAGACCATCGTGGCAGTTGGTCTCACGTTCATGGATTTCATGAGTCATCTCATCCGTGTAGCGATCTGCCTTACTCTCGGCTCTTTCACACCTGGTGACCCATGTCCGATCGAGTTCAATCCAGCCATTCATTCCCGTCCTGATGAATTCTTTCTCAGATGATCTCGATGGGGAGGACGAGACGCTAGGGCTGCGATCTGGTCAGGTGAGTCGCGCATTCGCACAGGTGAGTCGCGCATTCGCACAGGTGAGTCGCGCATTCGCATAGGTGAGTCGCGCATGCGCTCAAGTGAGTCGCCCATCCGCTCCCGTCAGTCTGCGCTCTATTACGTAGCTTCCTTCTTTGCGTTGCATGTACTCGACCCTCCTAGCATTCTTCAATCGCTCGTACGCAAGTATCAACGAACCTTCTCTTTCGTCGCGCTCTCTTTCCCAGCCGACCGATCAGCGTGGGCCGCTGTGCTCGTACGTGGCGGCGACGGCGCTGCTGCTGCTGGGGTGCGGGGTGGGGCTGGGCATCAGCGCGCTGCTCTCGCTGCTCTTCCCCGCCACCTCGCTCCGCTTCATCTCCACCAACGCGCCCCCTGACGCGCTGGCGGAAGCTCAGTCGCAAGTGACGTTCCTGGTGCTGGGCGACTGGGGTCGCAACGGCGACTACAACCAGTCCATCGTCGCGGAATCGGTATGTTCGTGCACCCAGCAACTCCCTAGTCACGCAATCGTTCTGTGAGTTGAGGCGGCGGATAACTAGAACGTTGTTCCAAGGGCGAGCGACCACAAGCAGCCCATACTTGCAAGTGGGGTGCTGTAAGACCGCAGCTTCGGTAGCAGAGGCCACAAGGGAAGACCAATACGGCGACTGGCTGCAGGACGTTGATGATTGTACCTCGCGCCTTCCTGTTTTCTCCCTTCGTGCATCAGATGGGCGAGGTGGCTGCTGCAATAGACAGCAGCTTCGTGGTGTCGACGGGGGACAACTTCTATGACGATGGCCTGCAGGACATCAACGACCCCACCTTCGCCTCCTCCTTCTCCGAGATCTACCAGGCTCCCAGCCTGCAGACGCAGTGGTATGCAGGTACGCCCTCCCGTATTAGCTCCTGCTTTCCTGCTGCTGGCAGTGTTGGGCAACTGACCTCCTCCGCACCCTAGATCGGATGCAGGACAGCAACCACTCCACCTTCGCCTCCTCCTTCTCCGAGATCTACCAGGCGCCCAGCCTGCAGACGCAGTGGTACGCAGGTACCCCCCCCTCCCCTTGTGGCTCCTGCTCTCCTGCTGCTGGCAGTGCTGGGACACTACGAAAACCACCGCACCCTAGATGCTGGTAGACACGCACTCACATCTCACTCTTCCCCGCCTTCTTCCCTTCGCCCCATCTGTCCCGTCTCCTGCTACCGCAGTACCGGGCAATCACGACTGCCACCGCAACCCCGACGTCAACAGCCAAGAGCTCACATCCAACCCTCCCCCTTTTGCCCGGGACCCCCCCCCACCGCCCCCCTTTCTCCTCCCACCTCCCTGCCACGGCAGTGCTGGGCAACCACGATTACCATCGCAACCCCGATGCGCAGACGGACCCGGCGCTGAGGCAGAGGGATCCGCGCTGGCGCTGTGAGAAGACCTACACCGTCGTGCATGACACCTGCCCCAAGTTCCGCTACTGTGAGTCCGCCCTGCCTGCCCTGCATGTCCAAAGTTCTGGCATTGCGAGCTGTGGAAGGGTTGTGGTGCCCTGCATGCCTTGAGTTGCTGCTCTGTGAGTGAGCGTGCATGCCCTGCACTGTGGGCTGCTGAGGCAGAGGGATCCGCGCTGGCGCTGTGAGAAGACCTACACCGTCGTGCGCGACACCTGCCCCAAGTTCCGCTACTGTGAGTCCGCCCTGCCTGCCCAAAGTTCCGCTACTGTGAGATGCTCAAGGGTTGTGGTGCTGCACAGCACCGATGCTGTGCAATGGGCCAGGCTCAATAGATTTGAAACTTGGCATTTGCAACTTGTCCATCCTCGTTTCTTCGTTCTTTAGTCACCTGCATCTCCTTCTCTCCACCTATCTGCCCCCCATCCTCCCAACCCCTCCCCAACGGACCTTCCAGCCGTGTGCAACCCGCTCCTGCAGCGACACGTCCCCCCTGCTGGCGGGCTACTGGCACGGCAAGCCACAGGACTCTTGAGTCGACTCAAAAATCATCACAGATCTCCCCTCCGCTCCTGTCTCCCCGGCCCCCTCGTGACCCTCCCAGCTGTGTGCAACCCGCTGGTGCAGCTGTTCTTTATCGACACGTCCCCCCTGGTGGCGGGGTACTGGCACGGCAAGCCACACGAGTTTGAGAAGCTCAACTTCACAGGCCTCCCAGACTCCTCCCTCACCCTGCACTACCAGCTCACGGTGACTATATTTGAGACGTCTCAAAAGATGCCTCCCTGCATTACCAGCTCATGGTGACTCTGCCTCCTCCTCTCCCTGCTTGCCCCCGCCCACCTTTAATTGTCTCATTTCCTACCCTCTCCTTGGTCATTCTGCGTGGTCTGTGTGTATGTGTAACGGCATCGTTGTTCCCTCGCTCATCGATCCTGCCTGCTCCTGCTTACCCGTCTCCACGGCCTTACTCATGCCTGTGTCTCCCCTCCACCATTCCCCTCGCTCCTCCGTCCATCCTCAGATGCTGCGTGCAGCGCTGGTATCATCCTCTGCCACGTGGAAGGTGGTGATTGGCCATCACCCCATCCACAGCACAGGCAGCCATGGCGACACGCCTGAGCTGATCAAGTTCCTCTACCCGCTTCTCAAGGTGCATCCCTTTCCCTTCGTCAGCCTCCTCTAACCCCTGCTAAATGCGCCTCCTGTTTGTCTCTCTCTCTCTGCCGTTCTCGATGGTAGGAGGCTACTGGCAATGCTCTTGCTCCGTTGTGCCCACCTCCTAAAGGAATGCACCTCATTCTCTATCGCTCGTCATTTTTTTCCTCGTGCACCTCATTCTCCATGTCTCTCTGCTCGCTCACGTGCACTGCCTGTGTGTTTGTCAATTTTCCGAAGCCATCTGAACTTACCTACGCGCCTTTTGCAATTCTCTCTGTGCCCCCCTGCATTCCTGCGATGTGCTCACTGTGTGTTTGCTGTGTGTTCTTTGATATCTCACTCTGTGCTCGCTGTGTGTTCTCTGTGTCCTCTCTGTGTCTGCTGTGCCTGCACTGTATGCAGCGCTACAATGTGGACTTCTACATGAACGGCCATGACCACAACCTAGAGCTATACAAGGATGCAAACAGGTACGTTTCATCACATTACTAAAGTGGAGAGGAGCTGAGGGAAAGGGGGTACTGCACTTGGGACACTCCTTCAGCATTTTGGCTTTTACTCTCTGCTGACTGTTTGCTCTGATGTTCTGTGCTTCGTTTGCTGGCCGTGTGTGCAGTTGTATGTTCTTTGTCACAAGCGGGGGCGGCTCGAAGGTGGATCGGAATCGCACGGTAACTGGCGACAACAATTCCATGTTTTATCATTCTCGACAGGGCTTTGTCTCTGCAAGTGTAACGCAGCAATCCTTCACTGTCAAATTCCATGACATGTTTGGGGCTAGCCTCTATACATTGACCACCTCCAAGGACCCTCAGTGATAAAGCCTTATGTTGGCTGATAGTTTTATATAAGGTGGTGCATTGTACTGGCACTCTTGTAACATTGCATCTCCACCACAAGTCCTCCCTGTTCCTTATCCCTTTCATGAGCTTGAAACACGAATCATACGCGCTACAAGCTGCTTGTGAGGGTGTCAAACCTACACTTTCGGCCACGTTGCACCACATTCCCTATCACCTCTTGTCCTTCTCACCTTTCCTTCTCCCCAGCCAAGCCACGGCTGCTCTGCCTTTCCTCTAGCGTGTCATGGCAGGAGCTGGAGAGTGTGGTCTGGCGGTCGTCTATTCGTGCCGTTTCGCGTCATCACAGCTTCAATGCATAGAATCGGGCTGTTGTTGGGCTCTCCTCTCCGCGTCGTCGCACGTCTTCATCAACGACTGTTCCATTCTTTCATATATTGAGATGGATATCAATTTCGTGAATGTTGCGTCGGCGTTCTAGCAGTCATAGCCTGTTCATCCATGATTAGGTTTAGGTTTCGCGTGCACTGGCGTTTTCCGCCGGACTTCCGTGGTAACCCTATTTCTACGACAGGCTAGCCACCTTCGCGGAAGCGCCATGGCGTATGACGCGGATCACGAGGCGCTACGCGGCGTGGCGTACGTGCCGTTGGAAATCGAGGATCCGCCAGAGCCGTTGAACAGCAGACGTGCGTCTGCCAGGGAACCACGCCAACGTTCTTCTACACGATTAGGGTTTCGTAGCAAGCGTGACTATAACGAGTTTCACGATTTTCAATACACTCTGGAGCAGGAACGTCAGGCCGATGCGTCTTCAACGTCAGAAAGCCGTCTTCAACCCCACAGGCTCGGAGCTGCTGAGATTGACGTACATCCGAACCTGAACAGCAGGTTCGGTGCGGCCGAGCTTGACGTGCAGCTTGGCCCTCCGGACCTGACAGAGGAGGGAGCGAGAGAAGAAGTGGGCGAAGATTGGCGAAGAGTTGGCGACGTGGACGGGTTTATGCGAGGCGTGTACGAGTACTACTGCGGGCGAGGCTTCGTGTGCATCGCCACCAGCGTGAGTCACGGCGTCCGTGGCTACCGTTGCTCGCCAACTTTCTGCTCCCATCCTCCATTTCCCTCTCCCAAGCTCGTAAACTCTTCCCGTTACCCATTCTCTCCCCCTCGACCCTTTACCCTCCCGCTTCGCCCTCCCTCCCTCCATCCCCTCCCCCTCCCCCTTTCCCCATCGGTGGCAGTGGGTGGTGCACCTGTGCAGTCTGGCCTTCACCATCCTCTTCTCCGCGCTGCTGTTGCTCCTCATCGACTGGCGCGCGCTCCTCGCGCTCAACTGCTCCGCCGCCTCCGCCGCCGCCGCAGCTGCCGCCATCTCCGCAACTCCCCTTCCTCCTGCTGCTGCCGCCAGCGGTGGATTCGTGGCAGTGGGGGCGGGTGAGCGGCCCGTTGCACGGACGCTGGCGGAGACACAGGGCGAGAGGGAGTGGCGGGGGGTAGGTTCGTACGAGCGAGGCGGGGCGAGAGGCACGCGGGGCAGGGGTGCAGGGGCGATGAGAGGTGTTGGCCCAGACACGATTGTAAATAGTCCTATATATAGAGGCTCATACGGAGGTGTACATAGCGGTGAGGATGGGTTAAGAGTGGGATTAGGCCCGCTACAGGATACGCTGATTCATGAGAAGCGGAGGGGGCTTGTAGAAGGGAGGGCAGCAGAGGAGAGTGTAGGAGAGGGGAGAATAGGAGGGGGCGCAGCAGAGGGCGCAGCAGAGGTGGCGATACATGAAGCAGAGGGGGCGGCGGAGGGGGCGTGCGACGTGCTGAGGCACGCCATCAGGAGGGACGTGTTCCGGCGTGTGACTGTGTGGGAAGTGACAGTAACGGCGTACCTGGCGCTGCTGTGCCTGTACTGGCTGCTCTGCTTCGCGCACTTCTTCCTCCGCTTCCCCGCACTGCTGGAAACGCGCGCCCTCTTCCGCCACAGGTGCGTGCTGTGTGCTGCGCGTGTCCCGCCACATGGGAGCTGTGTGCTGCGCGTGTCCCGCCACATGGGAGCTGTGTGCTGCGCGTGTCCCGCCACATGGGAGCTGTGTGCTGCCGTGTTGGATGCTCAAACACATTCCCTCCTTCTCTCCCCCCCCCCTCTCTCCCTTCCTCCCTCCGTGTCCCCCTGCTCCCCATGTCCCCCTGTTCTTCTGCTTCCCTGCCCCCCTGGCCCCCCACCCGGCCCCCCACCCCCGCAGGTTACGGTTATCCGACCATCAGCTGCTCATGACGCCCTGGCCCGCCGTGGTGGCGCGCCTGGTGCGCGCGTGGAATGCTCAAGGGCGGGGGGAGAGGGAGGAGGGAACGGGGCACAGGGGGCAGCGGGCAGGTGGCGGAGAGGAGGGGCACGCGGCTGGGGAGGAAGATTCTAGCGAGGACGAGGAGGAGGGGGAGCCTCTGCAGCAGGGGGGAGAAGGGGGGTTGGGAACAGAATGGCTGGAGGCAGACGGAGCAGGGAGGGTAAGCCCAGAAGACGGGATTTCAGGAGTGGGAGTGGTGGGAGAGACAGGAGGGGGAGGGGCAGGCGCGGTGGTGTGCGGAGGCAGGGCGCGGGTGGGGGGCCTGTCAGCGTATGAAGTAGCGGCGCGCATCACTCGCCGAGACAACTACCTGGTGGCGCTCGTGGACTCGCGCCTGCTCACTGTGCGCGTGCCTGCTGGGGGATCATCTGGGGGACACGGTGACATCAGGGGCACGGGTGCTGCGCTCGCTGCTGCGCTGCTCAGTGCTGTGGGGCCGCTGCTGTCCTTCCACGTGGTGCATGAACGGAGGCGGCGCAAGGGAGGGAGGGGGCGAGGGGAGGAGCGAGAAGAGGGCCGGGAGGGGCAGGAGGAGGGGCGTGTGCGGGTGACGGTGCTGAGCAAGACGTTGGAGTGGGTGGTGCACTGGTGTGTGCTGCACCCCCTGCTGGACCGCCATGGCCGCCTGAACAAGCACTTCCTCGACGACCCTGCTGCGCTGCGCCAGAGATTTATTATCTCCGGGTGGCTGCTGGCGCTGCTGTCGCCGTTCGTGCTGCTCTTCGTGCTCTCCTTCTTCCTGCTGCGCAAGGCCCACCACCTCTATCATGAGCCGGCGGCTGCGGGCGTTCGCTCCTGGTCTAATTTGGCGCGCTGGATGTTCAAGGAGTACAATGAGGTGAGGCGGGGTGTTTAAGGGGTGCAATGAGGTGAGGCAAGTGTTCAAGGAGTAGAATGAAGTAGACGCCGCGTATCTGCTGTGTATTTCTCGGAATATCCAACCCGCTACGTACTAACCTGTTCAAATGCCCTGGTTTTAAACCATAGTCTCGCCTTGAAACCGTCTGCACATCCCCCCCTCCCCCTCCCACCCCCACACCCCCCGTCGTCTCTCATCAGGTGGATCATCTGACTTCCCAGCGCCTGGACGCGGCATGCCCACGCGCGGACGAGTATTTGGCGCAGTTCCCCTCGCCGCTGCTCTCACTGGCTGCCAAGCTCCTCTCCTTCGTTGCCGGCTCCTTGGCTGCTCTGCTGCTCGCGCTGGCTCTTGCAGACGAGAAGCTGCTGGAGGCGCAGGTGAGACCAGCGACCAGCAAGCCTTTCGAAGAAACTCCTAAGAGCGAATCCCCCGTTCTTGCTCACTTGTGTTCTCTTGGATTCAATCAAGGCACCTTCAACTGTGTTGTGTCCTCTGCCCTGCCACCCACCCATCAGCTCTTTGGGCGCGGCCTCGTGTGGTACGCGGCAATACTGGGCGCAGTGCTGGCAGCAGCACGGCCGGTGGCGCAGGCGGACAGGGCGGCGGGCAGTGTGGATCCCAGGGGCGCGCTGCTGCGGGTGGCGCAGCACACGCACTTCCTGCCCAGCAGGTGGCGCAGCAATGCGCACACGCAGCAAGTCAGAGACGAGTTCCAGACGCTGTACCAGGTAAATGTGTGTGTTGGGGGGGGCGTGTTATGTGGGACCTGGTTGGGATCGCTGCTGAGGACAGCACAGCACACGCACTTCCCGCCTGCGAGGTGGAGCAAGGCGCACACGCAGCGAGTCAGAGACGAGTTTCAGACGCTCTATCAGGTGCGTGTGTGTTGTGAGGGGCGTGTTGTGATGGTTCTGCTCGTGGTGTCACCCTTACCTCCCCTATCGCACCCCCCCTTGTTTCATGCTCACCCGCTCATACTAACTCTCGTGCCTCGCCCTCCGCTTCTCCCTTTCCGCACCTGTCCTCCCCTCTCCTCTTATCAACTCTTCTCCTCTCCTCTCCTCCTCTCCCCTCCCCGCGTGTACACACCTGCCTGCAGCTGAAGCCACTGCTCTTTCTCGCGGACGTGCTCGCCATCTTCATCACGCCCTTCATTCTCTGGTTCATCCTACCCCAGGTACCGCCTCCCTCTGTCCCTTTCTCTCCCTTCTTCTCCCCTCTCCATCTTCATCACGCCCTTCATCCTCTGGTTCATCCTTCCCCAGGTACCACCTCCCTCTGCCGCTCTCCCTTCCTCTTCCTCGCGCCTTCCCATTCCTCTTATCCATCTGAACTCGTTTTCTCTGTCACCTCCTTCTGATGTTTTGCTCCCAACTGCCCCATCCGCCCGCCGCCCCATGCGCCCACCTCGCTGCCCTGCCATCCCACAGAGGGCGGACGCCATTCTCGCCTTCCTGCGCACCACCTCCACGTACCACGAGGGGCTGGGCCACGTGTGCTCCCACAGCGTGCTTGACTGTTGTCCGCCCTCCCTTGCCCCATCCGCCCATCTCCCTGCCCCACCATGATTCAGAGGGCGGACGCCATTCTCGCCTTCCTGCGGAGCAACTCTTCTTACCACGAGGGGCTGGGCCATGTGTGCTCCCACAGCGCGTTCCCCTCGCAAGGAAAGCAGCAGCAGCAGCAGCAGCAGCGGTGCTGGGAGTGCGACCAAGGGTGATAGTGGCAGGAGTGGCAGTGGCGAAGGGGGAGGAGGCGGGAACAGTGGGGGTACGCGAGGAGGGGAGTGTGTGGATCGGCATGGGGTGGGAGCGTGTGGAGGGACGGTGGGGGATATAGCTGTTGGAGTGGAGGGTGGGCAAGGAGGGTGGGAGGGGAGGCGCAGGGGGGGGGGTGATGGCGCATTGGTGGCAGTGGGCAGCAGTGAGAGCAAGGCGGAGGCTTCGTTTGCCAGGTGGGTGTGATGTGGTGCCTGCTTATGGGGGTGGGAAGTTGAGGGTGCGCACTGGCTGGTGGTGTGGTTGTCTTGGTTGTCTCCTCATTCCTAGCACACCCGTTTCATTGGCAGCATTCTGCTGCTTCGATCTGGTGCTCTCGTGCTCTCTGTTATCCGTCCTCTGTCCTCATCCTGCAGTATCCCTCTTCTCCCCCCCTCTCCCCCGCCCCCCTCTCTCGTACTCCACCGCTCTCCCCTTCCTTCACCCCCCCCCCCCCCCCCTTCCCTCCCTCTTCTTGTGCTGCCATGCATACAACAGCTTCTGCGCCAGCTACCCATCGTGGCAGCCCCATGCTTCAGCCCTGCGATTTCCAACGCCCTTTGCACTGCTGCCGCAGCAGCAGGAGAAGGAGCAGCAGCAGCAGCAGCAGCAGCAAGAGGAGGAGGAGAAGCTGTTCCAGCAGCAACAACATAGAACGAGCATGCATGGTTTGCTTCCCTTACAGTCACATTCTGTACAGCCACACTTACCAACTTCCAAACTTCACTCCCCATCAGGAGTCGCAACCTCCTCACCACCAGCACCAGCAGCGGCAGAAACAGCACCCCCTGCTGCCTCCGTTCCCCTGCCTCATCACTCCCTGTTCTCCCTTTCACCTGCGTCCAGCCCCACTCGCCTCTCCTCATCCCGCCAACCACCCATGGACACCCCTCTCGCACCCACCACCCTTACCTTCCCCGCCCCCCACACTCACCACAACACACATCACCGTGCTGCCTCTACCCCCCCATCCCCTCTCCGAGCTCTCGCTTCCCCACCACCGCATTCACCGCATGCTCTTCCTGCCCCAGTGACCACTGCAGATGCTGCCGATATGCAATCACCCCCTCATTGTCACCACCCTGTACAGTCACCATTAACCGTACCAATTCACTTTGCAGCAATGCCTCGAGTGGCGAGCGGTGCAGAGGGGTCGCAGTGGGTGGTGCAGCGGGGCATGCAGCCCACTCGGAGCCTTAGCTGCAGTGACGGTGTGTGGGAGGGGATGGGGGAGGGGGATGGTGTGAGGCAGGGGAGTGGCATGGGGAAGGGGGATGGCATGGGTGATGGAATGGGTGATGGTGGCGGCATGGGTAGCAGCATGCTGCTAGAGCAAATGGATGCTGCCATGCATGGTAGCATGCATACGAGCATGCATGGAGGCATGCATGGGCGTTTGTATGGCGGTATGCATGGGATCACTCATGAAGGGATGCAAGCAAGAGGTGGCATCACATGGGGGGATGCGCAAGGAAGGCAGGAGCCCCAGCCAGAAGCACACAGGCAACAGCAGCAGCAGCAGAAATTGCCACTGCAGCTGCCGATGCGCCACGCGGTGGCGGCTGGCTCTCCAAGTGTGACTCGAGTAACCCGCAGCCCGAGTGCCGATGCGGTGCATGCAACCCACGTGGGAGGGATGGTTGCGTGGAGAGCAAGGGCAACAGGAGCAGGCGCAGCAGGTGCTGCTGGTGCAGCAAGCGGGGAAGCAAGAGCAGGAGGAGCATCAGGTGCAAGGAGAGACGATCCCGAAGTCACGTTGCAGAAAGGGGACTCCCCGCCCCTGCCTTTCGGAGACATCTTTGCTGTTGACTCCGACTGATTGTATGAGGGACAGTGTACAGTTGTTCACTTGTATGTAGAACTACTCTACATGTAATATTTTCCCTACATACATGGCTCTTGCATATACACTCCTGGCTGCGTCGAGCCAAGTCCATGTCATGTGGCATCATTTGTCAAATGGCATCTTTCATTCTTAAGGCGGCTTGCTTGCATACACTGCATGACACACAACTCAACACCCCACCGTTTGCCCAAAGGTGGGTGCTTGCAGCTTGCTTGACACTTACAAAGGTGGGTGTGTGCAGTGCACCTCTTCCATTTGCCCTCACTCTCTCACCACCACCACTCGCCCGCTTTCCCCTGCACCCCCCTCCACCCGCCTGCACTCCTGTCTGTCAATCCTGAACCCACGGATTCGCACCCACTCAGGGATCTCAGTATCCTCCAGGTCCACTTGCACGATCGGCCAACCACGGTTCGACACCTGGAGCCCTTCCAGCACCACCGTCACGCCCCTCCCTGCCTTCACCCACAGCGCTCCATCCAGCTGCAAGCTCTGCACCTCCACCCGCCCCTCCTGCTGCCCCTCCCCCTCCCTCTCCCCTCTCCCCGCCTCCCCTGCTGCCCCATCCCCTTCCTGACCCTCTCTCCCCACCTCCGTTCCCTCTCCTCCCCCTCCATCCGCACCCCCCTCCACCTCAACGACAAAAGTCGAGTCCTCAGAGATCCGCACTTGATCGGGGTGGGGGAAGTGTGAGCGCAGGGCAGCGAGGGTGGGAGCCCAGAGGGGAGACCACACCACACGAGGCCATACCTCCACCTCCTGCCCGGCAATTACGGTGGTCTTTGGGCCCGCCACGTGGACGCCCAAGTGCTTGAGGATGAGACAGTTGGCGCGGTACAGGTGGAGCTCTGCTGACGTGGCGCTGTGAGGTGGCGTGCCGGCTGCCAGCTTGGCGACGGCGTCGCGGAGATTGTTCTTCACGGGCGAATAGGCAAGCCACACGTCAGCTTCCTGGGAGGGGGGCAGAGAGGAGAGCACATGGGTGCCTCAAGCAAGGTGCTCGTTCCACAATTCCGTGACAGAAAGCAAACAGGCTATCGTGGCGACAATAAGAAAGCCGGAAGCCAGGGCGGGGGGAGGAGGAGGAAAAGGGTAACGTTCTTTGTGTTTCTTTGTTGTCTGTAGGAAGGTGGCATGAGAGAGAGTGACTGACCGTGAATCCAACAGAGCGGGAGGGAGAGATGGCCTGGGGAAAGTCCTGCATCATGCACTCCAGACGCGTCGATGCTTTGAATGCCGTGCGCGTGGCGTCTGTGTACCTGATGGGGGAGGGGGGAGAGGAGAGAGAGAAAGTGCCAAGTGAAGTGGATAGAGCGGGGTGAGGGACGAGAATGGCAGATGTGAGGGGAGAGAAAGTGGGGTGAATGCACGGTGTCATGTGACGGGTGAATGTGCAGTGATTTGTGATGGGTGAGACGAAATGGAAGACTTGTAATGTAGTGGCGCAACTCCTCCGTCCACTAGCCTTTTCCTCGCTTGCTGTTTGACTCACTTGGGGTTGACAAACTCCCCAATGACTCCATGCGTCTTAGCGAGTTCCTCTATATAGGGGCCCAGCCGCAGCACCAGCTGCAGGGGGAAGGCAGTGGAGAGACGCGGGGAATGAGAGTCTGGTGGCATGCTATGGGGTGCAAGGCTAAAGTGGAGACTTGGAGAACATGGCATGACATGGCATGGCTTGGTATGGGGTGGAATGGCACGGCAGGGCATGGGTTGGCATAGCAGGATATGGAATGAGCAGGAAAGGGATGGCGTGGCGAGGGAGACCTGGTTGATGTTCCCTGGGAAAGGCGAGAAGCCGGTGGAGGGGTCGTTGGCATCCCCGTCCTCATGCCCGCACGCCCGCAGCAATGGGTCGAGCTGATTGTACTCCACACTCACCACCATGCTGCGACCTGCGTGGTGTGATGCATGGTGTGATGCATGGTGTAATGCATGGTGTGATGCATGGTGTGATGCATGGTGTAATGCATGGTGTAATGCATGGTGTGATGCATGGTGTGATGCATGGTGCAATGCATGGTGTAATGCATGGTGTGGCACATGCATGCATGCATCGATGGATGGATGTATGAAGTTAAGACCCATCAAAGCCTCCAGTGAGCCCATGCTCGTACCCAACAGCCCATCCCTTACTCCACCCCCCTCACCCCACCCCCTCCCCACCCCCTCTAACCCTCTCTCCATGCATACCATCGGAGTGTGTGAGTCTGGCGATCCCCCCAATGGCTTCCTTGGCCTTGCGCGGCACAGCCAGCGAGTTTACATCCAGCTGCCTCAGCGCACTCACGCCCAGCGAGCTGGGCACCACCTGGTGGCATGGCACACGCAGGGGGAGGCGGACAGACGGCAGGCACACAGGCGACTTTTGAGTCGTCTCAAAAGTCAGCGCGCTCACGCCCAGCGAGCTGGGCACCACCTGGTGGCACGGCACACGCAGGGGGAGGCGGACAGACGGGAGGCGCACAGGGGACCCGGGGAGGGAGCTAGAGAGGTGTTGGAGTGCGCCAGCGAGTTCACATCCAGCTGCCTCAAGGCGCTCACCCCAAGCGATCTCGGCACCACCTGGTGGCATGGCACACGCAGGGGGAGACGGGCAGACGGCAGGCACACAGGCGAGGGGGACCGGGGGAGGCAGCTAGAGAGGTGTTGGAGTGTGACGGGGTGCAGAAACTATGTTGAGAGATGTGGCCTATGGTGCGAGATTACTGCCTGCAGCATGACCAGTGCACGGGTGGTATGGTGCTTGCATGTGAAGTGGTCTCTGACTGAACTCAACAGCAGCTGTGTATTTGATCCGCATTGCTCTCCTGGCATGGCTCTCCTGGCATGGCTCAATGCTCACTAGCAGCTGCAAATGTGCATCTCAACACGTCCCTTTATGCATGCTGACGTGATCATCTTGATGCAGTGTGGTGCGGTGTGACGCGGTGCGCATGGCAGTACCTTGAAGAGCAGCCCGTTGGTGTCCTGAAAGAAGAGCACCCACTCCACCCCTGCTGCTCTCCTGCACGTGCATGTGCATGTGCATGGGCATGGGCATTTACATTTGCATGTGCATGTGCATGTGCATGGGCATGGGCATGGGCATGTGCATGTGCATGTGCATGTGCATGTGCATGGGCATGGGCATGGGCATGGGCATGGGCATGTGCATGTGCATGTGCATGTGCATGTGCATGTGCGACACTCATGTGGGAGCCAGATGTGGTTATTGAAGACCGCATTGAACACATCTGGACCACAGCACAATCCCACATCCTGGGCCGATGATACAGCAGGAAAAGATCACGGCATCACAAACATTGCAAATTCCATGGCATGGCATGAGAGCACACACACCATGAGGGCAGGAGACCGCTCTGATACAGCAGCATGTGCACATCCCCATGCCCATGCGGCTTCGTCTGCCAGATTCACCCAGCAGGGGATGGAAGCATGCAGGGAGGCAGAGAGGCAGGTTTGAGGTGCAGGTTTGAGGTGCAGGTTCAGGTTTGACGTGCAGGTTTGACGTGCAGGTTTGAGGTGCAGTTTTGACGTGCAGGTTTGAGGTGCAGGTTTGAGGTGCAGGTTTGAGGTGCAGGTTTGAGGTGCAGGTTTGAGGTGCAGGTTTGACGTGTAGGTTTGAGGTGCAGGTTTGAGGTGCAGGTTTGAGGTGCAGGTTTGAGGTGCAGGTTTGAGGTGCAGGTTTGAGGTGCAGGTTTGAGGTGCAGGTTTGAGGTGCAGGTTTGAGGTGCAGGTTTGAGGTGCAGGTTTGAGGTGCAGGTTTGAGGTGCAGGTTTGAGGTGCAGGTTTGAGGTGCAGGTTTGAGGTGCAGGTTTGAGGTGCAGGTCTAAGGTGCAGGTTTGAGGTGCAGGTTTGAGGTGCAGGTTTGAGGTGCAGGTTTGAGGTGCAGGTTTGAGGTGCAGGTTTGAGGTGCAGGTTTGAGGTGCAGGTTTGAGGTGCAGGTTTGAGGTGCAGGTTTGAGGTGCAGGTTTGAGGTGCAGGTTTGAGGTGCAGGTTTGAGGTGCAGGTTTGAGGTGCAGGTTTGAGGTGCAGGTTTGAGGTGCAGGTTTGAGGTGCAGGTTTGAGGTGCAGGTTTGAGGTGCAGGTTTGAGGTGCAGGTTTGAGGTGCAGGTTTGAGGTGCAGGTTTGAGGTGCAGGTTTGAGGTGCAGGTTTGAGGTGCAGGTTTGAGGTGCAGGTTTGAGGTGCAGGTTTGAGGTGCAGGTTTGAGGTGCAGGTTTGACGTGCAGGTTTGACGTGCAGGTTTGAGGTGCAGGTTTGAGGTGCAGGTTTGAGGTGCAGGTTTGAGGTGCAGGTTTGAGGTGCAGGTTTGAGGTGCAGGTTTGAGGTGCAGGTTTGAGGTGCAGGTTTGAGGTGCAGGTTTGAGGTGCAGGTTTGAGGTGCAGGTTTGAGGTGCAGGTTTGAGGTGCAGGTTTGAGGTGCAGGTTTGAGGTGCAGGTTTGAGGTGCAGGTTTGAGGTGCAGGTTTGAGGTGCAGGTTTGAGGTGCAGGTTTGAGGTGCAGGTTTGAGGTGCAGGTTTGAGGTGCAGGTTTGAGGTGCAGGTTTGAGGTGCAGGTTTGAGGTGCAGGTTTGAGGTGCAGGTTTGAGGTGCAGGTTTGAGGTGCAGGTTTGAGGTGCAGGTTTGAGGTGCAGGTTTGAGGTGCAGGTTTGAGGTGCAGGTTTGAGGTGCAGGTTTGAGGTGCAGGTTTGAGGTGCAGGTTTGAGGTGCAGGTTTGAGGTGCAGGTTTGAGGTGCAGGTTTGAGGTGCAGGTTTGAGGTGCAGGTTTGAGGTGCAGGTTTGAGGTGCAGGTTTGAGGTGCAGGTTTGAGGTGCAGGTTTGAGGTGCAGGTTTGAGGTGCAGGTTTGAGGTGCAGGTTTGAGGTGCAGGTTTGAGGTGCAGGTTTGAGGTGCAGGTTTGAGGTGCAGGTTTGAGGTGCAGGTTTGAGGTGCAGGTTTGAGGTGCAGGTTTGAGGTGCAGGTTTGAGGTGCAGGTTTGAGGTGCAGGTTTGAGGTGCAGGTTTGAGGTGCAGGTTTGAGGTGCAGGTTTGAGGTGCAGGTTTGAGGTGCAGGTTTGAGGTGCAGGTTTGAGGTGCAGGTTTGAGGTGCAGGTTTGAGGTGCAGGTTTGAGGTGCAGGTTTGAGGTGCAGGTTTGAGGTGCAGGTTTGAGCGCGGAGCAGACGGAGTGGGCGTAGCGAACGGAAAGGGAAATTCAGAGAGATGGAAGAGATGAGAGAGGTAGGTGCAGAGGCATGTGTGAGAGAGGTATGCAGAGGGCAGGGAGGCGAGCACACCTGGATGAGGAAGGGGTCCTTTGGGTCCAGCGCCAGGTGTGGCTCGTTGTCCGCCACACACGCCACCTTCTCCTGCCATTCCAGGGATGGGAGGGAGGGAGCAACGCATTCAGCAGGGAGCGAGGCAGAGAAATTTCAGTTTGCCTGGACCAGAAGGGGTGGTTGGGGTCGGGGGCAAGGCGCGCGTCATTGTCCGCCACACATGCTACCTTCTCCTGCCATGCCACCTTCTCCTGCCATGCCACCTTCTCCTGCCATGCCACCTTCTCCTGCCATGCCACCTTCTCCTGCCATGCCACCTTCTCCTGCCATGCCACCTTCTCCTGCCATGCCACCTTCTCCTGCCATGCCACCTCTTGCCATGCCACCTTCTCCTGCCATGCCACCTTCTCCTGCCATGCCACCTTCTCCTGCCATGCCACCTTCTCCTGCCATGCCACCTTCTCCTGCCATGCCACCTCTTGCCATGCCACCTTCTCCTGCCATGCCACCTTCTCCTGCCATGCCACCTTCTCCTGCCATGCCACCTTCTCCTGCCATGCCACCTTCTCCTGCCATGCCACCTTCTCCTGCCATGCCACCTCTTGCCATGCCACCTTCTCCTGCCATGCCACCTTCTCCTGCCATGCCACCTCTTGCCATGCCACCTTCTCCTGCCATGCCACCTTCTCTTGCCATGCCACCTTCTCCTGCCATGCCACCTTCTCTTGCCATGCCACCTTCTCCTGCCATGCCACCTTCTCCTGCCATGCCACCTTCTCCTGCCATGCCACCTTCTCCTGCCATGCCACCTTCTCCTGCCATGCCACCTCTTGCCATGCCACCTTCTCCTGCCATGCCACCTTCTCCTGCCATGCCACCTTCTCCTGCCATGCCACCTTCTCCTGCCATGCCACCTTCTCCTGCCATGCCACCTTCTCCTGCCATGCCACCTCTTGCCATGCCACCTTCTCCTGCCATGCCACCTTCTCCTGCCATGCCACCTTCTCCTGCCATGCCACCTTCTCCTGCCATGCCACCTTCTCCTGCCATGCCACCTCTTGCCATGCCACCTTCTCCTGCCATGCCACCTTCTCCTGCCATGCCACCTTCTCCTGCCATGCCACCTTCTCCTGCCATGCCACCTTCTCCTGCCATGCCACCTCTTGCCATGCCACCTTCTCCTGCCATGCCACCTTCTCCTGCCATGCCACCTCTTGCCATGCCACCTTCTCCTGCCATGCCACCTTCTCTTGCCATGCCACCTTCTCCTGCCATGCCACCTTCTCTTGCCATGCCACCTTCTCCTGCCATGCCACCTTCTCCTGCCATGCCACCTTCTCCTGCCATGCCACCTTCTCCTGCCATGCCACCTTCTCCTGCCATGCCACCTCTTGCCATGCCACCTTCTCCTGCCATGCCACCTTCTCCTGCCATGCCACCTTCTCCTGCCATGCCACCTTCTCCTGCCATGCCACCTTCTCCTGCCATGCCACCTCTTGCCATGCCACCTTCTCCTGCCATGCCACCTTCTCCTGCCATGCCACCTTCTCCTGCCATGCCACCTTCTCCTGCCATGCCACCTTCTCCTGCCATGCCACCTTCTCCTGCCATGCCACCTCTTGCCATGCCACCTTCTCCTGCCATGCCACCTTCTCCTGCCATGCCACCTCTTGCCATGCCACCTTCTCCTGCCATGCCACCTTCTCTTGCCATGCCACCTTCTCCTGCCATGCCACCTTCTCTTGCCATGCCACCTTCTCCTGCCATGCCACCTTCTCCTGCCATGCCACCTTCTCCTGCCATGCCACCTTCTCCTGCCATGCCACCTTCTCCTGCCATGCCACCTCTTGCCATGCCACCTTCTCCTGCCATGCCACCTTCTCCTGCCATGCCACCTTCTCCTGCCATGCCACCTTCTCCTGCCATGCCACCTTCTCCTGCCATGCCACCTTCTCCTGCCATGCCACCTCTTGCCATGCCACCTTCTCCTGCCATGCCACCTTCTCCTGCCATGCCACCTCTTGCCATGCCACCTTCTCCTGCCATGCCACCTTCTCTTGCCATGCCACCTTCTCCTGCCATGCCACCTTCTCCTGCCATGCCACCTTCTCCTGCCATGCCACCTTCTCTTGCCATGCCACCTTCTCCTGCCATGCCACCTTCTCTTGCCATGCCACCTTCTCCTGCCATGCCACCTTCTCTTGCCATGCCACCTTCTCCTGCCATGCCACCTTCTCCTGCCATGCCACCTTCTCTTGCCATGCCACCTTCTCCTGCCATGCCACCTTCTCTTGCCATGCCACCTTCTCCTGCCATGCCACCTTCTCCTGCCATGCCACCTTCTCTTGCCATGCCACCTTCTCCTGCCATGCCACCTTCTCTTGCCATGCCACCTTCTCCTGCCATGCCACCTTCTCCTGCCATGCCACCTTCTCCTGCCATGCCACCTTCTCCTGCCATGCCACCTCTTGCCATGCCACCTTCTCCTGCCATGCCACCTTCTCCTGCCATGCCACCTTCTCCTGCCATGCCACCTTCTCCTGCCATGCCACCTTCTCCTGCCATGCCACCTTCTCCTGCCATGCCACCTCTTGCCATGCCACCTTCTCCTGCCATGCCACCTTCTCCTGCCATGCCACCTCTTGCCATGCCACCTTCTCCTGCCATGCCACCTTCTCTTGCCATGCCACCTTCTCCTGCCATGCCACCTTCTCCTGCCATGCCACCTTCTCCTGCCATGCCACCTTCTCTTGCCATGCCACCTTCTCCTGCCATGCCACCTTCTCTTGCCATGCCACCTTCTCCTGCCATGCCACCTTCTCTTGCCATGCCACCTTCTCCTGCCATGCCACCTTCTCCTGCCATGCCACCTTCTCTTGCCATGCCACCTTCTCCTGCCATGCCACCTTCTCTTGCCATGCCACCTTCTCCTGCCATGCCACCTTCTCCTGCCATGCCACCTTCTCTTGCCATGCCACCTTCTCCTGCCATGCCACCTTCTCTTGCCATGCCACCTTCTCCTGCCATGCCACCTTCTCCTGCCATGCCACCTTCTCTTGCCATGCCACCTTCTCCTGCCATGCCACCTTCTCTTGCCATGCCACCTTCTCCTGCCATGCCACCTTCTCCTGCCATGCCACCTTCTCTTGCCATGCCACCTTCTCCTGCCATGCCACCTTCTCCTGCCATGCCACCTTCTCTTGCCATGCCACCTTCTCCTGCCATGCCACCTTCTCCTGCCATGCCACCTTCTCCTGCCATGCCACCTTCTCTTGCCATGCCACCTTCTCCTGCCATGCCACCTTCTCTTGCCATGCCACCTTCTCCTGCCATGCCACCTTCTCTTGCCATGCCACCTTCTCCTGCCATGCCACCTTCTCCTGCCATGCCACCTTCTCTTGCCATGCCACCTTCTCCTGCCATGCCACCTTCTCTTGCCATGCCACCTTCTCCTGCCATGCCACCTTCTCCTGCCATGCCACCTTCTCTTGCCATGCCACCTTCTCCTGCCATGCCACCTTCTCTTGCCATGCCACCTTCTCCTGCCATGCCACCTTCTCCTGCCATGCCACCTTCTCTTGCCATGCCACCTTCTCCTGCCATGCCACCTTCTCTTGCCATGCCACCTTCTCCTGCCATGCCACCTTCTCCTGCCATGCCACCTTCTCTTGCCATGCCACCTTCTCCTGCCATGCCACCTTCTCCTGCCATGCCACCTTCTCTTGCCATGCCACCTTCTCCTGCCATGCCACCTTCTCCTGCCATGCCACCTTCTCTTGCCATGCCACCTTCTCCTGCCATGCCACCTTCTCTTGCCATGCCACCTTCTCCTGCCATGCCACCTTCTCTTGCCATGCCACCTTCTCCTGCCATGCCACCTTCTCCTGCCATGCCACCTTCTCTTGCCATGCCACCTTCTCCTGCCATGCCACCTTCTCTTGCCATGCCACCTTCTCCTGCCATGCCACCTTCTCCTGCCATGCCACCTTCTCTTGCCATGCCACCTTCTCCTGCCATGCCACCTTCTCTTGCCATGCCACCTTCTCCTGCCATGCCACCTTCTCCTGCCATGCCACCTTCTCTTGCCATGCCACCTTCTCCTGCCATGCCACCTTCTCTTGCCATGCCACCTTCTCCTGCCATGCCACCTTCTCCTGCCATGCCACCTTCTCTTGCCATGCCACCTTCTCCTGCCATGCCACCTTCTCCTGCCATGCCACCTTCTCTTGCCATGCCACCTTCTCCTGCCATGCCACCTTCTCCTGCCATGCCACCTTCTCTTGCCATGCCACCTTCTCCTGCCATGCCACCTTCTCTTGCCATGCCACCTTCTCTTGCCATGCCACCTTCTCTTGCCATGCCACCGTTGCAGGGGATGGGAGGGACAGCAGTGCCGCGCTTTATGCAGAGTGTCACGGCCAGTTCTCTCTCGCGCTCAGCAGCGCTGACAGAAGAGAGCAAGGCATGCTCAACCAGAAGCTTCAAATCCCTCACAGCCCCTCACAGCCCCTCACAGCCCCTCACAGCCCCTCACAGCCCCTCACAGCACCTCACATCCCCTCACAGCCCCTCACATCCCCTCACACCTGTGGAGGATGAGGCATGACAGGTGTGCGCACCTGTTTGAGCAGCGTGATCTGGGCGGGGTGCATGCCAAAGTAGCTGTGCGACCGGAGCAGCTCCTGTGTGCGTGCATGGGTGTCGTCCGATGTCATGATGGCCAGCGGGATGCGCCGCGGGGGCTCGCCTGGAGGGGAATGAGAGGAAGCAGCAGAAGAAAAGAAACGGGTTGAGTAGGTGATCCATGTGACTGTGCGTGCATGCGTGTCGTCCGATGTGATGTCCAGGGGGATTAGCCGAGGGGCCTCATCGATTCGGGAAGAGGGGAGCAGCCATGGGATGCAACAATGCGAGTTAAGGAGGTGACCTGTGGGTCCGTGCATGCCAATAGAGTCCCCCCCACCCAGCCCCCCCACCCCCCTTTTTTTTGTTTGTTTGTTTTTTTTTGTTATTATTATTTTTTGTTTGTTTGTTTGTTTGTTTGTTTGTCTGTTTGTTTGTTTGTTTTTTGTTCTCAGAGATTTGGAGGAGAGGTGCAGTGCTGACCTGGCGAGAGGGCATTGGAGGCGTGCTGCAGCGCGAGGATACTCTCAATGTAGAGCTGCAAGAAGCAGTTCTCCGTGGTGCTCTCTGCTGGCAGCCCCACCTGCAGAGGGCTCGGCGCCGCACAGAGGGGGAGGGCAACCAGACGCAGCCAGGGGAGATTCGAGATGTCTCAGACGCTCATTGCCGGCAGCTTCACGCGCAAGGAGCACGGCACCACATTCAGGGGGAGGTGAAACCAGACGCAGCCAGGAAAGGTTGGAGAGGGATTGTGAGAGAGAGGAGCGGAGGAGGGGGGGAGAGTGGGCAATGGGCGAAGGACTGGAGGAGAGTACTGGTTGGTCGGTCTTGTGGATAATCCCTCTCCTCTCCTCTTTCCGCTTCCGCACCTTAATGCCACTATCCCACAGCCTCTCCTCTCTCCTCCTCACCTTAATGCCACTGTAACCGAGCCTCTCCCCCAGGCCGCCAGCCACCAGCACAAACGCAGTGTTCCGAGCCTCCGCCATTCCCCGAGCCTCGAACGCGTCAAACTCGGGGTCGCCGAGCCTGACGCGCACGCCCGAGGGCACGGAAGGGGTGAAGCCACGGAAGGGGTTCACTCCGTCCCGTGAGTCCGCGAGCAGTCGCCTCGCATTGCTGATGTAGCGCGGAAGGCCCCCTGGGTAGCTCGCATCTAGCCGCGCTGCCTGGGGGGAGTGGGGGAGAGGGAAAGAGGCCGGGAGACTTAGAATTTACGCCCGAGGGCACGGAGGGGGTGAAGCCATGGAAGGGGTTCACTCCGTCCCGCGAGTCCGCGAGTAATCGCCTCGCGTTGCTGATGTACCGGGGGAGGCCCCCCGGGTAGCTCGCATCCAGCCGTGCCGCCTGGAGAAGGGGAGAAATGTAGAGTGCTGGGAGGAAACTTGATGCGAGCAAGACTCGCAGCGTGGAGACACATGGGCATGGTGCTAGTGGGATGCTCTAATCGCGCTCCTTCTTTCCCTCACCTGCTCGAAGAACCGCCGCTTGTCGTCATCATTGCTTCCAGGCTCCGGCCAATGGGAGAAGAGATGCGCTTGACCGCATGAGACAAGCTTGCCGGCCAGGTCGATCTGAAGAGCGGCGGGAGAGGGGGGGCGGAGAAGAGGAGCAAGCAGGCACAGCAGGGATAACAAGCCGATGATGATGGCGGGGCGGAGGGCAAGAGAGTCGACTTAACGGATTTTTACATGCCTCTAACGTAGATTCATGGAATCGGTGCTGATTGCTGCGCAGACGCCGGTACCTGGTCAGCGGAAAGGAGGCGCAGATTGCTGCTGAGCCCTTCAACGGCCGATAGCTCGGGCCACTCTGCCGCTCGCGATGCCGTAGCTCGCTCCGCAGCAGGCGGAGCCGCAGCCGCCATGGAATTCGGAGGCAGGGAGTAGGCAGCGCGCCAGAGCAGCGTAAGAGATGGCGGCGCTCAATAGCTAGCGGGAAACGGGATTCAGTGATTTGAAAATGTCATTCCGCGACGTTATGCGAGTGCTGAGCGACAATTGACGAAACGGTAACCACGCCCATCTAGGTTGCAGCACACAATAGTTTTTAAGTTGTTCAACACTGTAGCATTGTTCACACAGGCAAAACAAGTAGCATCAGCTTCCAGAATTCAACATTCTTTCAAGGGGAAGACCCTGATTTCGGCTATAGGTTAATGCAACATAGTACATTAATAAATTAATAGAACATATATGGCTATATACTCTCTCCAAAATACACAATAAGCTGTGTTTTGAACATAATCCGTTAGGGCGATTAGTCAAGTGCAGTGATTAGCCACACATTACGGGGCTGCGAATGGCATGGCAGAAAAACACAGCCAGATGTAAAATCGCCACAGGATTCGGTGCCTGATGGCTGGAATGGATACTCGACCAATGGAGCGTTGAGAAACCAGTTCATTCTTCGACGTCCTATTGGAGCCTCGTTTCGGATTTACATAAACGACTTTTACAACGGTAGCAGCAGCAGCGGGAGATCCGACCCACACAACACCACACAAAGACAGCCAGACTTGCTGCAAGGCCGTGATTGGGCAAGGCCATTGACAAATGCTTTCCCAAGCTGCCCGAACTGAACCACCAAAGTACCAGGGCTGGTCACATTATTATGTTCCTTGTTTCACTCCGAATATTGTCCATGGAATAGGACTGGTTGGTGGCTTACAACACACATGCAGGGGAGGAAATCCATCCATGACCTTTGCAGGTTGTCCAATGTCCATTTCGATGAGTGAGGGCGACAAGAAGAACTTAGATACGAAGCAGAACTTGCTGCAACTTAATTTCTGTGGTCCACCAGAACCTGTGGAAGGGCAGGAAAAGATTTGGCGAAATATTGGGGCCATTTTTGTGGCGCAGACCAAGACAGACTGTCGGCGGGCGGCTTCCCTTGTCGGGGATTTCGAATATCTACAGCGCGTGAACTGTAACGTCCAGCACAAAGCCCTTTCCATCTCAACTCCCCAAGGTTAAAGGTTAAATTTGTTTTTCTGGTCGTAACCAGTTTATAAGGGGTATCCACTCCTAGATGAGCACGTGCTAACCCCTACTTGGGGCTGGCAGAACACGCCTGCACGGGGGTGGGTTCGATCCCAGGACCTCATCTATCGGAAGTGCCTCTTTCTACTGACTAGGCCACTTCGGGATCTCAACTCCCCAAGGACGATTCTTTCACCTGCCCAATCCTGACTTGTTTTGCCATTCCTTCCAAGCAAGTCCCCCCGCGCCAGCTGGCTCTGCCCCACAAATTGCGATTGCGATCGACTTCACCGCCGCACTCGGCAGCGCGCAGCTGTGACTGTGGCGCACCAACTGCTCGGCGATGCTTGGGGGAAGGCGGACAGCACAGCCGAGAAAAACCGAGTCCCGACAAGACTAGAAGCGGTTTTGGGAAGTGGATGAGGTTCACGCGGGGGAGAAGAGGGAGGGCTGTTGGATAGTCACGGGGGCAAAAGGGGAACCAATGAGGGAACCGGCGTACGTCACATTGCTGCGTGGGCAGGGGATCCGCCACCACTCATCTTCAGTGGGTTGCACGCGCGGACTATCTCACACTGCGCACTGCGCACTTCCCCTCCCCATTCTGCCTTCGCTTCCATCCTCCTCTTTCTTTCTCTCATCTCCTTCAAGCCCCAGCTTCCTCAGCTGCCTATGTTTCGACGCTCCTGTTTCTTAGGGCATTCCGTCAAGCTTCGGTTGGGGTTTGAGGGAGGCAACTGGCAGAATTGTTTATCCTCATACCTCAGCTGTACACTCGCGTAAATCCTGAGCGGTTGTTTGTTGTTAACGGATTTTGACTTGTCGTTTAAGCCAGCCTAGCTTCAACGGTAGGTCATTTTTCGACAAATCGAAGCCGGTGGACTAAGGAGAGCTTCCGAGAATGTTTCAGCGTATGTTGAACGGCGGATCCCACCGGCAGCGCCTGGAGCTGCACTCCGCCATGGTCGCAATGGAGGTCTCCTCCACTCCGCCGTCCGCGCACTCCCCGTGCCCCTCCCGCTCCCCCATGTCCACCGCGGTCGAGTCCCCCATCCCCTCCACCCGCCGCATGTCCCTCCAAATCGACGATCTTGAGCGTCCGATGCACCGCAACAGCACCTTCAACGGTCGGGACGTGTTTGGACGGCCGAGCGGAGAGCCCGTCATGCAACCGCAGCCCGAAGCGGGTTTCGACCATTCTGCTTCGGCTGTACCCGCCCAAACAACAGCGCCGGCTCCAGCACCAGCGCCAGCGGCGGCGGCAAGCGCGGCGTTGGGAGCGACGGACTGGGCGTGTCTCTACGCGCCGCATAACGATCCTTCCCGCCGCCGCCGGTCGCTTGACTGCATCCGCTCCGCGCGCAAATCCGACCGCTCCGCTGCTGCTTTCAACGCGGTCAACGACGCTAGTAGCGTGGACGCGCGCAGCCAGGCGCTGCACGCCGCGAACGGCGGGGGGGGCGGGGGATCCGATAGTGAGGATGAGGTCTGCAGCACCCGCGCGGAGCGCCGGGGGACAGCCGCTGCGCAAACATCGCGCCAACCGCGGAACGTTTTTGTAACAAACCCTTGGCAGGCGGGGACGGTCTCCGGGGATATAGCCGCGGGGCTTCAGAGGACGCAGGCGGGAGGCGCGCGGCGGGGAGGAGCTATTAACGACTGCTCGATGGATGTAGATGGGGGGGACGGATGGGGGGGAGTGGAGGCTTGGGGAGGGGTGGAGCAGGCGCTGCATCCGGCGGGGTTGATGCAGGCGCGCGCAGCCATGGTGGCGCAAGGCGGCGGGATTGGCGGCGCACAGCCGCATGCAGTAGCAGGCTCGCACCGGGGGGTGGTGATGTCGAACCCGTGGGCCAGCTGAGAAGTCCGTACCGTACATTTCGGTTTTTTCTTATTTCGTTCTTTTTTTCTTCCTAGCCCGTTACGAGTGATGGTGTACATCCGTGCTTAGCTAAAGGCAGCACGTATGCTTGTCAATAATGGCGTCAGTGTGTGCTGTCTATACAGTTCAAAAACCACATACCCACTATTAGTTGTGCTTGTGATCTTGCTAATTGTAGGACGATCTGAATTTCAGGTTCACATTTCTAAGATTGTGAGACTGTCTTCTTAGGGTGACCGTTCTGTGCTTGGTGGTGGTTGGCACGTCCATAATCAAATCTTTCAAACACTAGCTAAAAACTACGTGTGTGGTGTGCACTGTAACAATTGCTGATGTGATAACGCATCCAACACCTACGCATGCAAAATTTGCATGCAATGCCTTGCCCTGGGTGGGCACCCACCCATGCTGGCATTACATGTGGCATGCAGCATCAAGGTGTGTTATCAGAGTGTTTGAAGGCCCCAGCTGCCACAAGCAGGTTGCGCCGCGTGAACTGCTGAGAGGGGTGTGGTGGAATCGAGGATGCAGTGGGAGAGGTCGAGAGATGGGGGGATTGGGAATTACAGGGTGAGTTGAACGGAGGCACTGGGTGACCGAAAAGGGGGATTGAGCCGGGGACTTGCAAAGGGAGTTGGCAAGGGGGACTAGACGCTTGCACGGGGAGCACAATACAGGTGTTGTGGAAAAGGCATGAGGAAAACAAAGAAGAGCGGTGACAGGGGGGTACCTGCAGCGCGGAGATGGGTGTTGACTTGGTGGGGAAGGTCTTGAGAAGGCGCAACCGCCGGCCCACTGATGTCCTGATGCCCATGCAAGGACAGGCGTGGGGGGAGGAACGAGCAACACAGGAGAGGGACGCGGGGGGACAGGCAAGAAAGAGCTTGAAGAGATGGGCATGGACTCACTTTGACTCCCAACCCCTCACTTGGACTCTCAAGCACCCACTTGCCATTCCCCCCGCTCACTTCGTCATTCCCCCGCTAGCATGTCCTTGCCACTCACTTGGCCTCGTTGGGGGCGAGCTTGCTGGCAGCAGCGACGTCCCACAGCCGCACTGTGTCGTCCGCTGCCCCTGATGCCAGCACTGCTGACTCGCCACTGCTCCACCAGGCAGGCAGGGTGCACAAGAGGGGAGAGACGCATGGGAGGGAGGTGGGTTGAGATTGACGCATACGCAACCGCACCGTACCGTGTCGTCCGCTGCTCCCGACGCCACCACTGCCGCCTCACCACTGCCCGCCCCACACCCACGCAAGCATGGGGCACATGGGAGGAGATGCATGGCAGGCAGGTACGGACGGGGAAGTCGCTTATGGCAGCAGGTTGGGGTGGCGAGTGAGGCCATCAGAGCAGCAGGCATGGATAATCAAAGCCGAGCACCATCTGAGGGTCAGAGCAGACTGCATAACGACTCGTGATGCCGATAGAGAGGGAAGAGCACACGAGCACAGCACGAACAGCACTGCACCACCCACATCCCATCCCACACACCAAAAGGTGAGTGTCCACACGCAGCTGGTGTGGCCGAGCAGCGGCGCAATGCAGCGGCCTCTGCCCAGGTCCCACAGCAGCACAGCGCCGGTCTCATCCCCCGACGCCAGGAAGATGTTGCAAGGACGCACAGGGATGGGAGTATACAGCATGCACTGCACCGGATCCCACCCAGCTGAAAGCTAGTGTCCACACGCAACCAGTGTGGTGGGCAAAGGTGCTTAATCCGGGGGCGAACCTTAATCCGGGGGCGAACCTTAATCCGGGGGCGAACCTTAATCCGGGGGCGAACCTTAATCCGGGGGCGAACCTTAATCCGGGGGCGAACCTTAATCCGGGGGCGAACCTTAATCCGGGGGCGAACCTTAATCCGGGGGCGAACCTTAATCCGGGGGCGAACCTTAATCCGGGGGCGAACCTTACTTCGGGGGCGAACCTTAATCCGGGGGCGAACCTTAATCCGGGGGCGAACCTTAATCCGGGGGCGAACCTTAATCCGGGGGCGAACCTTAATCCGGGGGCGAACCTTAATCCGGGGGCGAACCTTAATCCGGGGCGAACCTTAATCCGGGGACGAACGTTAATCCGGGGGCGAACCTTAATCCGGGGGCGAACCTTAATCCGGGGGCGAACCTTAATCCGGGGGCGAACCTTAATCCGGGGGCGAACCTTAATCCGGGGGCGAACCTTAATCCGGGGGCGAACCTTAATCCGGGGGCGAACCTTAATCCGGGGGCGAACCTTAATCCGGGGGCGAACCTTAATCCGGGGGCGAACCTTAATCCGGGGGCGAACCTTAATCCGGGGGCGAACCTTACTTCGGGGGCGAACCTTACTTCGGGGGCGAACCTTAATCCGGGGGCGAACCTTAATCCGGGGGCGAACCTTAATCCAGGGACGAACCTTAATCCGGGGACGAACGTTAATCCGGGGCCGAACGTTAATCCGGGGGCGAACCTTAATCCGGGGGCGAACCTTAATCCGGGGGCGAACCTTAATCCGGGGGCGAACCTTAATCCGGGGGCGAACCTTAATCCGGGGGCGAACCTTAATCCGGGGGCGAACCTTAATCCGGGGGCGAACCTTAATCCGGGGGCGAACCTTAATCCGGGGGCGAACCTTAATCCGGGGGCGAACCTTAATCCGGGGGCGAACCTTAATCCGGGGGCGAACCTTACTTCGGGGGCGAACCTTACTTCGGGGGCGAACCTTAATCCGGGGGCGAACCTTAATCCGGGGGCGAACCTTAATCCGGGGGCGAACCTTAATCCGGGGGCGAACCTTAATCCGGGGGCGAACCTTAATCCGGGGGCGAACCTTAATCCGGGGGCGAACCTTCCTTCGGGGGCGAACCTTACTTCGGGGGCGAACCTTAATCCGGGGGCGAACCTTAATCCGGGGGCGAACCTTAATCCGGGGGCGAACCTTAATCCGGGGGCGAACCTTAATCCGGGGGCGAACCTTAATCCGGGGGCGAACCTTAATCCGGGGGCGAACCTTAATCCGGGGGCGAACCTTAATCCGGGGGCGAACCTTAATCCGGGGGCGAACCTTAATCCGGGGGCGAACCTTACTTCGGGGGCGAACCTTACTTCGGGGGCGAACCTTAATCCGGGGGCGAACCTTAATCCGGGGGCGAACCTTAATCCGGGGGCGAACCTTAATCCGGGGGCGAACCTTAATCCGGGGGCGAACCTTAATCCGGGGGCGAACCTTAATCCGGGGGCGAACCTTAATCCGGATACGAACGTTAATCCGGGGGCGAACGTTAATCCGGGGACGAACGTTAATCCGGGTACGAACGTTAATCCGGGGGCGAACCTTAATCCGGGGGCGAACCTTAATCCGGGGGCGAACCTTAATCCGGGGGCGAACCTTAATCCGGGGGCGAACCTTAATCCGGGGGCGAACCTTAATCCGGGGGCGAACCTTAATCCGGGGCCGAACCTTAATCCGGGGGCGAACGTTAATCCGGGGCCGAACGTTAATCCGGGGGCGAACCTTAATCCGGGGGCGAACCTTAATCCGGGGGCGAAGGGCGAACCTTAATCCGGGGGCGAACCTTAATCCGGGGGCGAACCTTAATCCGGGGGCGAACCTTAATCCGGGGACGAACGTTTATCCGGGGCCGAACGTTAATCCGGGGGCGAACCTTAATCCGGGGGCGAACCTTAATCCGGGGGCGAACCTTAATCCGGGGGCGAACCTTAATCCGGGGGCGAACCTTAATCCGGGGGCGAACCTTAATCCGGGGGCGAACCTTAATCCGGGGGCGAACCTTAATCCGGGGGCGAACCTTAATCCCGGGACGAACGTTAATCCGGGGGCAAACCTTAATCCGGTGGCGAACCTTAATCCGGGGGCGACCCTTAATCCCGGGAGGAACCTTAATCCGGGGGCGAACCTTAATCCGGGGGCGAACCTTAATCCGGGGGCGAACCTTAATCCGGGGGCGAACCTTAATCCGGGGGCGAACCTTAATCCGGGGGCGAACCTTAATCCGGGGGCGAACCTTAATCCGGGGGCGAACCTTAATCCGGGGCCGAACGTTAATCCGGGGGCGAACCTTAATCCGGGGGCGAACCTTAATCCGGGGGCGAACCTTAATCCGGGGGCGAACCTTAATCCGGGGGCGAATGTTAATCCGGGGGCGAACCTTAATCCGGGGGCGAACCTTAATCCGGGGGCGAACCTTAATCCGGGGGCGAACCTTAATCCGGGGGCGAACCTTAATCCGGGGACGAACCTTAATCCGGGGACGAACGTTAATCCGGGGGCGAACCTTAATCCGGGGGCGAACCTTAATCCGGGGGCGAACCTTAATCCGGGGGCGAACCTTAATCCGGGGGCGAACCTTAATCCGGGGGCGAACCTTAATCCGGGGGCGAACCTTAATCCGGGGGCGAACCTTAATCCGGGGGCGAACCTTAATCCGGGGGCGAACCTTAATCCGGGGCCGAACCTTAATCCGGGGGCGAACGTTAATCCGGGGCCGAACGTTAATCCGGGGGCGAACCTTAATCCGGGGGCGAACCTTAATCCGGGGGCGAAGGGCGAACCTTAATCCGGGGGCGAACCTTAATCCGGGGGCGAACCTTAATTCGGGGGCGAACCTTAATCCGGGGACGAACGTTTATCCGGGGCCGAACGTTAATCCGGGGGCGAACCTTAATCCGGGGGCGAACCTTAATCCGGGGGCGAACCTTAATCCGGGGGCGAACCTTAATCCGGGGGCGAACCTTAATCCGGGGGCGAACCTTAATCCGGGGGCGAACCTTAATCCGGGGGCGAACCTTAATCCCGGGACGAACGTTAATCCGGGGGCAAACCTTAATCCGGTGGCGAACCTTAATCCGGGGGCGACCCTTAATCCCGGGACGAACCTTAATCCGGGGGCGAACCTTAATCCGGGGGCGAACCTTAATCCGGGGGCGAACCTTAATCCGGGGGCGAACCTTAATCCGGGGGCGAACCTTAATCCGGGGGCGAACCTTAATCCGGGGGCGAACCTTAATCCGGGGGCGAACCTTAATCCGGGGCCGAACGTTAATCCGGGGGCGAACCTTAATCCGGGGGCGAACCTTAATCCGGGGGCGAACCTTAATCCGGGGGCGAACCTTAATCCGGGGGCGAATGTTAATCCGGGGGCGAACCTTAATCCGGGGGCGAACCTTAATCCGGGGGCGAACCTTAATCCGGGGGCGAACCTTAATCCGGGGGCGAACCTTAATCCGGGGACGAACCTTAATCCGGGGACGAACGTTAATCCGGGGGCGAACCTTAATCCGGGGGCGAACCTTAATCCGGGGGCGAACCTTAATCCGGGGGCGAACCTTAATCCGGGGGCGAACCTTAATCCGGGGGCGAACCTTAATCCGGGGGCGAACCTTAATCCGGGGGCGAACCTTAATCCGGGGGCGAACCTTAATCCGGGGGCGAACCTTACTTCGGGGGCGAACCTTACTTCGGGGGCGAACCTTAATCCGGGGGCGAACCTTAATCCGGGGGCGAACCTTCATCCGGGGGCGAACCTTCATCCGGGGGCGAACCTTAATCCTGGACGAACTTTAATCCGGGGGCGAACCTTAATCCGGGGGCGAACCTTAATCCGGGGGCGAACCTTAATCCGGGGGCGAACCTTAATCCGGGGGCGAACCTTAATCCGGGGGCGAACCTTAATCCGGGGGCGAACCTTAATCCGGGGGCGAACCTTAATCCGGGGGCGAACCTTAATCCGGGGGCGAACCTTAATCCGGGGGCGAACGTTAATCCGGGGGCGAACGTTAATACGGGGGCGAACCTTAATCCGGGGGCGAACCTTAATCCGGGGGCGAACCTTAATCCGGGGGCGAACCTTAATCCGGGGGCGAACCTTAATCCGGGGGCGAACCTTAATCCGGGGGCGAACCTTAATCCGGGGGCGAACCTTAATCCGGGGGCGAACCTTAATCCGGGGGCGAACCTTAATCCGGGGGCGAACCTTAATCCGGGGGCGAACCTTAATCCGGGGGCGAACCTTAATCCGGGGGCGAACCTTAATCCGGGGGCGAACCTTAATCCGGGGGCGAACCTTAATCCGGGGGCGAACCTTAATCCGGGGGCGAACCTTAATCCGGGGGCGAACCTTAATCCGGGGGCGAACCTTAATCCGGGGGCGAACCTTAATCCGGGGGCGAACCTTAATCCGGGGGCGAACCTTAATCCGGGGGCGAACGTTAATCCGGGGGCGAACGTTAATACGGGGGCGAACCTTAATCCGGGGGCGAACCTTAATCCGGGGGCGAACCTTAATCCGGGGGCGAACCTTAATCCGGGGGCGAACCTTAATCCGGGGGCGAACCTTAATCCGGGGGCGAACCTTAATCCGGGGGCGAACCTTAATCCGGGGGCGAACCTTAATCTGGCGGCGAACCTTAATCCGGGGGCGAACCTTAATCCGGGGGCGAACCTTAATCCGGGGGCGAACCTTAATCCGGGGGCGAACCTTAATCCGGGGGCGAACCTTAATCCGGGGGCGAACCTTAATCCGGGGGCGAACCTTAATCCGGGGGCGAACCTTAATCCGGGGGCGAACCTTAATCCGGGGGCGAACCTTAATCCGGGGGCGAACCTTAATCCGGGGGCGAACCTTAATCCGGGGGCGAACCTTAATCCGGGGGCGAACCTTAATCCGGGGGCGAACCTTAATCCGGGGGCGAACCTTAATCCGGGGGCGAACCTTAATCCGGGGGCGAACCTTAATCCGGGGGCGAACCTTAATCCGGGGGCGAACCTTAATCCGGGGGCGAACCTTAATCCGGGGGCGAACCTTAATCCGGGGGCGAACCTTAATCCGGGGGCGAACCTTAATCCGGGGGCGAACCTTAATCCGGGGGCGAACCTTAATCCGGGGGCGAACCTTAATCCGGGGGCGAACCTTAATCCGGGGGCGAACCTTAATCCGGGGGCGAACCTTAATCCGGGGGCGAACCTTAATCCGGGGGCGAACCTTAATCCGGGGGCGAACTTTTATCCGGGGGCGAACCTTAATCCGGGGACGAACCTTAATCCGGGGGCGCCTTGATCCAGGGGCGAACCTTAATCCAGAGGGGATAGTCCAGGGGGGGCCGTGCCCAGGTCCCACAGCAGCACAGCGCCGGTCTCATCCCCTGACGCCAGGAAGATGTTGCAAGGGCGCACAGGGATGGGAGAACACGAGACCACAACACTCCACCCACCTGAAAGCTAGCGTCCACACGCAACCGGTGTGGCCCAGCAGGGGCGCAATGCAGCGGCCCGTGCCCAGGTCCCACAGCAGCACGGTGCCTCCCTCATCGCCTGATGCCAGGAAGCGGCCGTCCGGGGACGTGGCGAGTGCGTACACGGGCGAGCGGTGGGCGGCAAAGACTCGGCAGCATTCGCCCGTCTGCACGTCCCACAGGCGCAGCGTCTTGTCGCTGGAGCACGTGGCGATGTAGTTGCAGTTGGCGTGCCACCGCACCGCCTGGTGGGGGGAGGGGGTGGAAGAGGTTGGGAGCTTCGGTTGGCGTCCCTGACAGCAATGTTCAGACGAGACAGCAACTGATATGAGCATCAGCAATGCCCGTGATGTGCAGCAGGTTGGAGCGCTTCATGTTCCACACACGTATGAAAATGAGGGCCCTCTCTCATGGGAAAGAGCAGCAAGGCGGACACGACTGCCATGCTCGCACACGTCAGGATTGTCCTAAGGAGGAGGCAGCGAAGCAACATACATGCACATCGGAAAGGTGGCCCGCCATGATGCGCAGCGGGTAGGAGCGCTTCATGCTCCACACATGTGCCGTGCGGTCCCAGGGAACAGAGGAGACACGCATGCACGTCAGAAGGGCACTCAGGAAACAGCCACTCACATGCACATCGGACAGGTGGCCAGCCATGATACGGAGAGGATACGAGCGCTCCATGCTCCACACGCGTGCCGTACGGTCATACGAGGCCGTGGCAAAGTAGTGGCCCACGGGTGAGTGCTGCACGTCCCACACGGGGTAGCAGTGCGCGCGATACGCCACCAGGCACGCGCCCAGCCCCAGATGCCACAGCCGCACCGACGCATCGGAGGACGCGGAGAGGAGAAAGCGGTCGTCTGACGGGCTGAAGGAGGTTGCGTGCACCACGCCGCTGTGACCCCTCAGGGCCATGTAACGTTTGCTGGTGGTGCTGGGGGTGGGGGTGGTGGTGGTGGTGGGGGTGGCTGTGGAGTGTCCACGTGGGGTGTGGTGCATGGCTGGGGCTTCGGCTGCTGCTGAGGTGTCGAGGGATAGGGCGGCTGGTGGGAGGGGGGGAGAAGAGGGGAAGGGGATGGGGGGCAGGAGGGGGGGTAAGACACATGAGGTTTGATGAAGAGAAGATACGAGAGAGGAGAAACGGCAGATGTAAATTACGGCATGCAAGACGAGAGGTGAGAAGAGAGCGTGGAGGGACGTACCTTGTGGGAGGGGGGAGGAGGCGATGGATCGCATGTTTGATAAGTGGAATTTTAAGTTGACTAAAAAAACGTACCTTGCGGCAAGGGGGGGGAGCACGGGGAGGAGAAGCATACCTTGCGGCAGGGGGGAGGAGCCAATGGATCGCATGTCCCACACCTGTGTGGTGAGAGGGGAGGGATGGAGGGGAGGCGGAGGGACGAGAGGGAAAGAGCGAGGAAGAAGGGGGAAGATGAGGTGAGGGAGAGATGGTGGCAACAGAGAATGTGAGAGAGGGGGCATCAGGCAGGCAGTTGTTACCATTAAGGCAGTTGTTACCATTAAGGCAGTTGTTACCATTAAGGCAGTTGTTACCATTAAGGCAGTTGTTACCATTAAGGCAGTTGTTACCATTCAGGCAGTTGTTACCACAAAGGCAGTTGTTACCAATAAGGCAGTTGTTACCATTACAGCAGTTGTTACCATTAAGGCAGTTGTTACCATTACGGCCATTAAGGCATTTGTTAACATATGATGGGATGAACCAAAGGCTGAGTTTTCTATCTGCTCGATGGAGGAGAACTTGATGCACTTGTGTCACCTTGATGGAGGAGTCATTGAAGCCTGCAGCCAGCAGCGCACCATCAGGAGCAACCGACACTGACGTCATGCTGGCGGGGGACGGGGCACAGGGCACATGGCAAATGGAAGGGTGGCGAGGATGTGTGGAGAGGAGGTGAGCGAGGGAAGCGATAGAAGACGAGTAGCACCCGAAAAAAAACCGGCATTGCAGCAGTGTGTGAATGTGGCCTGGATACCTAGTGTGTGCTTGCAGCAGCACAGCACGTCCCAGCCCAGCAGGGAAGAGCAGAGCGCACCGGGAGTGAGCGTGCAGCAGTGCGTAGCAGCAGTGGTTACCTGGAGTGAGCGTGCAGCAGTGCGTAGCAGCACACAGACGGCAGTGCCTGCGCCCCCAGCATCACTATTGAGCCGACTCAGAACGCACCTGGAGTGGGCATGCAGCAGCGTGTAGCAGCACACGGACGGCAGTGCCTGCGCCCCTAGGGCCACTCGCCGCCTCAAGTCGTCAAACACCTGCTTCTCTGCCTCCTCCCTCCTGCCTTGCATAGCCACCCGCAGAAGCAGAGAGGGAAGACGCATAGAAAGGCAAGACATGGATGAGAGGAGCAGCAATGTGTGGTAGAGGGCCTGAGCCATGAATGGAATTGAACCCGAGCAAGGAAACGGGAGGAAAGAGGAAAGACACAGAGCTCACATGTTGGGGAGAGTGGGAAGGGGAGGTCAGCTCACATGTTGGGGAGAGTGGGAAGGGGAGGTCAGCTCACATGTTGGGGAGAGGCAGGTGCGACGCCACGCGCGTGCCTGTCACTGCAGCAGCCCCGCCCGCCCCCTTGCCCTCCCCCGCCTTCCCCCCTTTGCCTCCAGCACCTCCCCCTGCCCCCGCTGCCCCCCCTGCTCCGCCCCCCGCGCCCCCCTTGAGCGCGTCCTTCTCCCCCGCCTTTTCCTTCTTGCCCTTCTTGCCCGGCCCCCCTGCTGCTGCCTTGCCGTCCGCCGCCCGCTTCTGAGGGGAGTGAGGCAACAGGGCAGCAGCACATAGAGAGGCAAAGGATCAGAGACCAGAGATTGAAAAATATGTCTCGAAGAGAGAACCCCCCACGCATCTCACCTCACCATCGCCTCCCTCACCCTCCCGGCCGCCATCCTCCCGCTTGTGCACGCACCATCCACACGCATCTCACCTTGCCGTCCTCCCCGTCGCCCTCGTCGCCCTCCTCCCTCTCAGCCTCCCTCTCCCTCTCCTGCTCCAATCGATGCTCCACCCCGTCCTCCAGCGCGCCCCACAGCACCTCGCGCTGCCCCATGCGCTTCATTGCCTCGTGTGACGCCCCCGTCACCACCCCCGCCAGCATTCCGGCCCCCCCGTCCGCCCCTGCGCTGGAGACCATGCCCGTCGCCTCGTCCTCCTCCTCCTCCTGCGCTGCTGGTTGTCCCGCGTGCACTGCGCGCGCGGGCGGGGGTGGAAAGAGGGCGTGGAAGGGAAAAGTGGGGGGGGAAGAGGGAGAGTTTGAAGGGGGTGGGGGAAGGATATAAAAGGGGAGGAAAGGGCAAGGGAGCGAGGGAGGGAGAATGGGCGGGGAGAAAAGAGAGGGAGGGTCAGGGAGGTGGTGGTGGTGTACGCATGGGTGCAGCGATTGGGCGTGTGGGCCATTAACGGGTGCAACACTGGGAAGAAGCAAAACGGCATGGATGCAAGGTAACGTTGATGTGTGCATGTGAGCGCGGCACAGCGACCCACCGATGATGTGGATGTGGCGGTTGACGAGGGCGAGGATGGCCATGAGGTCAGCGGCGTGCAGGAACTGCAGCAGCAGGTCGAACGAGTACTGCCCTCCCAGCGTGCCGTGCCATGGGGGTGAAGTGCGGTGGGGGTGGGTTGGGGTGGGGTGGCATGGGGCATGGATGGCCGTGAGGTCAGCGGCGTGCAGGAACTGCAGCAGCAGGTCGAACGAGTACTGCCCTCCCAGCGTGCCGTGCCATGGGGGTGAAGTGCGGTGGGGGTGGGTTGGGGTGGGGTGGGGTGGGGTGGCATGGGGCATGGATGGCCGTGAGGTCAGCGGCGTGCAGGAACTGCAACAGCAGGTCGAACGAGTACTGCCCTCCCAGCGTGCCGTGCCATGGGGGTGAAGTGCGGTGGGGGTGGGTTGGGGTGGGGTGGGGTGGGGTGGCATGGGGCATGGATGGCCGTGAGGTCAGCGGCGTGCAGGAACTGCAGCAGCAGGTCGAACGAGTACTGCCCTCCCAGCGTGCCGTGCCATGGGGGTGAAGTGCGGTGGGGGTGGGTTGGGGTGGGGTGGGGTGGGGTGGCATGGGGCATGGATGGCCGTGAGGTCAGCGGCGTGCAGGAACTGCAGCAGCAGGTCGAACGAGTACTGCCCTCCCAGCGTGCCGTGCCATGGGGGTGAAGTGCGGTGGGGGTGGGTTGGGGTGGGGTGGGGTGGGGTGGCATGGGGCATGGATGGCCGTGAGGTCAGCGGCGTGCAGGAACTGCAACAGCAGGTCGAACGAGTACTGCCCTCCCAGCGTGCCGTGCCATGGGGGTGAAGTGCGGTGGGGGTGGGTTGGGGTGGGGTGGGGTGGGGTGGCATGGGGCATGGATGGCCGTGAGGTCAGCGGCGTGCAGGAACTGCAACAGCAGGTCGAACGAGTACTGTGCATAGTGCCATGTGCGCCCAGGGGTGGGATGGGGTGGGGTGGGGTCGAGGGGGAAGGGACACGGCATGTGGCATGAGAGGGCATGTGAGGAGACAAGGTGCCAGGATGGCCACGAGGTCCCGTGCAGGAACTGCAGCAGCAGGTCGAACGAGTACTGCCGTAACGCCGTGGTGTCGCGTGTGGGTTGGGGTGAAGTGGGGTGGGTTGGGGTGGGGTGGGGTGGGGTGGAATGAGGTGGTATAAGGCACGGGAGGGCATGTGAGGAGAGGAGGGGAGAGCACAGCGAGAGGCAGCGAGCTGGATAAGAGCGGAATGAGGAGTGAGCACACACGAGGAGCAACGCAGAGGGGCCAGCCTGCTACCTGCCCATGGGGAACCTAATTTACCTGGCACATGCGGATGACGGCTTTATTATCGCGGAAGGCGCGAGCGAGGGGGCTCTCCTGGGCGTGCTGCGAGGAGCTGATGCCCGCGAGCTGCGCGAGGTCGCTGGCGTGCAGCCGCGCGTGGTCCGCGCCGTGCGCCTCCATCAGCGCGCGCGCCGCCTCGGGGTGGTCCTGCGCGACGAGCTCGAGAAAGGCGTGCACGAACACCGGGTACAGCACGCGCAGTAGCTCGTTCTGACGCGCGGGGGGAGGGGGGGGAAGGAGAAGATGGAGGGAAGGATATTACGGAACCTCAAAGGGTCGCGCACGAACACCGCGTATCGCACGCACAGCAGCTCGCTCTGAGGGGAATGCGATAAGGAGGAGGAGGGGGGAATGAGGGGAAGAGGGGGACGCGAGGCGAGGCGAGGCGAGGCAAGGAGAGGCAAGGAGGAAGTACCTTGTAGAGGTCTAGTGAGGAATGCACCCACGCACGAAGCTTCCGATAGCCTTCCACATAGCATGCTGGCGCCTTCTCAGACCTGGAAGAGACAACCCCGAGAGAGACACGTGACGCTTCAACAACCCGTCAAATCCATGACATTGGAGCCTCTGTAAGGACAAGATGACACTGTTATCGCCGTTAACAAAAACGACGGTTCGAATAATGTCACGGTTAGGGTTACAGTCGACTGTGGCTTCCCACCTGCTGTAAAGCATAATCTGATTGGCTAGATTCTTGTCCAGCTCAGCAGCTGCGGCCTTCCCGCCAACCGTAACTAGCGCATCGAGCGACTGGGTCTTAGAGTCGTCTTTAAACGCGAGCTCAGCATTCTTGTAGCCCTTGCGACGCAGGTACGCCAGCACGGCTCGCTCTATCGCCTCCTCCTCCATGGCGATCGATACGGCGTTAAGAGGCTTGATAGCCTGCGCGAGAGATTATTGGTAGAGTACGAAAGCGGATGATAATGAAGCTGATTTGAGATAACCGACAGCGGAATTGCGCGGAACAGACGAGGCGGCAGCACGAAAGAAGACTAGGAAATATTTATGGTGTGAAGGAAGAACTCGCGAGGGAGTGATCCGAGGCAGCGGTCAAGTCATCAGTTCGTACAAAATTTGCTTACCCACTGCCAATAATTAGAAAAATTCACCACGAATTCATTTATCCGTTTCTTTCTTCTTCCTCCTCTTTTTCAAGCCTTCGATCCAAATCTTCTAGGCATACTTCTAGGTTCTTCCGCGCATCTACAATTGAAGTTCTAACCTTCCTTTCCACCCTCGCAACCGTCCCCTTCGCCGCATCCCACACATTCTCTCGCGCCATTGCCCGCACGTCCGGATGCCACGTCATCACCGCCTCATTTACAACTGCTCCCAAATCCTCAAGAGCCACGTGGGTATCCATCAGCAAGCCTTGCAATTCTGTAAAGACACGAGGGGCAAGAACATGGTATGGAACGGCAACAGCCTCTCCGTCTCTTGCTTCCTCACTTGTGCCCGTGACGTTGCCTGGCTCTGCTTGTGCTGACGTGTCGCAACTGCGCAGTTGCTGACGTGGAACCTCCTTGTGTCGTGGCTGTGGAGTGCTGTTGGGAGGCGGCGAGGGCGGGTCCGCATCAGCAGCAGCACCTGTGACATTCCCATGAGCAGTCGCAGCACGAGGCAGAGACGGATCACCACCACTTCTCTCTGCCTCTGCAACCTGCCCCTGTGGAGAGCAGCCAGGAATATTGCGGCCAACTTCAGCCTGCTGTTCCTGAGGCACAGCAGAGCCACCTTCAGAGCAACGCTCAGAGCGACTGCCAGGGCGGCTCTCAGGTGCAACGGGCAGCTTTGCTGCCTTGTCAGTGCCCTGCACAGCCGCTCCCGCGCATGGCACAGAATCATGGGGTGGGCATGGCATGGGGTTGTGAGGACATTGGCTGCTCCTTGCCCCATCTGCTTCCCTTCCCCCACCACCCCCAGATGCACTGCTCCCTTGCCTCACCTCCTGCCTCTCCCCTCTGTCCCCTCTCTCGCTGCCAAGCTGCAGCAACTCCTCACATGCCCTCGCATCTGATGCCTGCTCTGCTGACGTTTGCTCCCCCCATCTCAGCTTCGCCCCCTCATGGCCCCCCTCATTCCCCCCTTCGCACTCGCCACTGTGCCCTGCCTCCCTTCCTCCACGCGTCTGTCCCTGTGCCACCCCATCGCTGCCATCCCCAGTGTGCGCTGCCCGCGTCCCTGCCAACCCCTCATCCCCTCGCCCCCTGTCCGCGCCATGCTGGCTATCCCTTGCCACATCTGCCCCTCTCAACCGCCTTGCCTCCTCATGCCTCTCCTTGCCATCCTCTGCTACTGCTGCTGCTGCTGCTGCTGCTGCTGCTGCTGCTGCTGCTGCTGCTGCTGCTGCTAATGCTGGTGCTGATGATGTTTCTGCTGTTGTTGTTGTTGGTGCTGGACCTGGCGTTGTTGCTGTTGCTATTGCTGTTGCTCTTCCTGCTGATGTTGCTGCTGCTGTTGCCGGTGGTGCCACTGTTGATGCTTCTGCTGTTGCTGCTGCTGTTGTTGTTACTGGTGCTGGTGCTGGTGCTGGTACTGTTGCTGTTGCTGATGGTGCTGCTATCGATGATGCTTCTGGTACTGTTAATGTTGTTGCTGTTGCTGGTGTTGGTGCTTCTGCTGTCGCTGTTGCCTTTCCTGCTGATGGTGCTACTGCTTTTGCTGCTGTTGCTAGTGTTGATGCTTCTGTTCTTGCTATTGCTGTTGCTGAGGCTATTGGTGGTGGCGGTGCTGGTGCTGATGGTGCTTCGACTGGTGCTGCTGCAGGCGCTCCAGGTGCTGCTGCTGGTACAGGAGATTGTGCTACGGCTGCTGCTGCTGATGGTGCTGCTGCTGGTGTTGTCGATGGTGCCTTTCCTGCTGCTCTTACTACAGTGTGGCGACCAGCTGCAGCTGCTGATGCTGCAGGCGCTGCTAGTGGCGCCAGTGCCGCTGGTGCCGCGGGTACAGCGGGCGGTGCAGGAAGCAGCGGCTCACAGAGAGGGGCTGCGACGGACCCGCGCACGCTGCCACGGAGGTGCGGGGAGGCATGCATGTGCGGAGAGGCATGCATGTGCGGGGAGGCATGCATGTGCGGGGAGGCATGCATGTGCGGAGAGGCATGCATGTGCGGGGAGGCATGCTTGTGCGGAGAGGCATGCATGTGCGGAGAGGCACGCATGTGCGGAGAGGCATGCATGTGCGGAGAGGCACGGAGGTGCGGAGAGGCATGCATGTGCGGAGAGGCACGGGCGTGGGGGGGTGGCTGACAGGGCGCAGGATGAAAAAGTACAGGCGCATGCGTGCGCGGGGGTAAGCGCACAAATGCTTGTGCGCTCTCATACACACCGCCTTGCATCGCCACCTCCACCATCTCTTGCTTCACCTCCTCCCTCGCCCTCTCGTTTCCTCCTCCTTGAGCGTATGTCTCGCGCGAGCCACAGCCATCCCGCTCGCTCCCATCCCCCCGCGCACTCTCCTCGCTCCCCGCCAATCCCCCGCTCGCCTGCCTCTCCGTCGCAGCCTCTGCCTCCCTTCCCCGCTCCTCGCATCCATGTCCGTCTTTCCACGCATCCCCTTGCCCCCTCTTCGCCCCTCCCTCTCCCCCGCCCTCCTCCATAATCGTGCCTGATTCTGCTGCGCCTCGCATCCGTTTCGTCGCGCTCGGCACCGGATACCATATCTGCCTTGCACTACCGACAAAAAACCCCGCAGCGCTTTCATCCTTGGCATTCCCTGAGTCTACACTCGCCTGTCTGCTGCAGTCAACATCCACCCCCTCCGGGAGTCCCCGCTTCCGCGTGTGCGGAAAAGGTTCCCCGCGACCATGATCCAGTTCCTCCGCGGTTGCATCCCCAGGCATCCAGAATAAAAGGCGACGAGACAGTGATATTCCTGGTGACGAACTGTTGTCTAGGGTAGACGGAATGCGTACCTATGATCCTGGGGATCAGCTAATTGAGCAATGAAGGCGGCAATATCGAGAAAATGCTGAAGAGATCGAGAAGATGCACAATGTCTCAAGGGCGTGTCAAAATTGCGGTGGGGTGCGATGCTGTGCGTGGCAGAGTGGCTCCGCATCGGACTTGGGATAGAGTTTTGAGATCTTATCAGCCGCCTTAATCAGGGAAAGGTACACCTCTTTGGCCAGCTCTTACAACAACATAATAAGCAATTGCAGACATATTCCACATTCCAATTCACGTGGACTTGTTGGGAGTGTGCTTCTTTGCTGCTGCTCGCCTCTTGAAATAGCTGGGCACGAGCAGCGGCAGGCACTCATTGCACCCGTGCACGCGAGGAATGCGTCCCGCCAACATTTCCGAACCAGGAGGCAAGGGCGGTCCCACTCCATCGGGTAAAGCCAGGGCTTCCCTTGCATTCTCCTGGTCTAGTTCGATTCCACACCCCAGGCAGCGCAGGGGGTCCGTGGCATCAGGCAGGAAGGGGAGGAGAGAAGGCGTGGCTGCGAAGGGAGGGGGTGGTGCAGACAAGGGCAGGAAGGTTTGGCGTTGGAGAGGTTGGATTGGATTGGAGGGTGGGAAGGGAATGGTGGCAGGGAGAGTGATGGAGGGGAGGGTGGAGGAGGAAAGACTTCGCTTGGAGCCGGCATAGAGCATGCCACCCCATGCTGCCTCGCTGTGGTGAGCTGCGGATAATGGGGGGGGGAATGGTCCCTTGAGAGGGTCGGTTGACCCCTTTGACCCCGTTGACCCCCTTGACCCTCTTGACCGGGCGAAGGGCCCTGCTGCTCCTGCGCTGCTGCTGCTGCTGCTGCTGGCAGCGGGTCCGGCGCTAATGGCTCCTCTGGGCGTCACACAGAGGGGAGGCGACGAGGGCGTTAGGGGAGGCGTGAGGAAGCGGAATGGGATGGCAGGTGATGGGATGGCAGGCGAAGGGAAGGGCGCTGGCATGGTGGCGGGCGGGAAAGGCACGTGGTGCCCTCCCAAGGTGCTGCTGCTGAAGGGCGACATTGCGGGGAAGATGGTGCGAGCAGATGGCGCAGCAGCAGCTGCTGAAGCAGCGGCACTTTCTGCAGCCGCAGTTGTGGGAAAGGAGGCGAGGGAGCGAGGCACGAGGGGGAGAGGGTCTTCCAGGGAGTGGATGGTGGGGAGGGTGAAGGGGAGCGGGTGCAAGGGGCGGGGCAGGCTGGGTTGCAAGGTGAAGTCGCGCAGAGAGGGAGTGCCGGACACGGTGTGACGGCGAGCAAACAGCTGCTGCACCTCTGGCGCCACAGCGGGCGCCACAGCAGGCAGGGCGGAGGGCTCTTGATTCGCTGCAAACCGCCGCGCTAGCAGCTCGTGCACGGCTGGGGCGATGCCTGGCAGGTGGGCGGTGGTGAACGTGGTGGTGCGGGTGGGGGCCCAGGGGTCAAAGATCGCTCCCCCTGCACGCCCTGCACACGCTGCTCCTGCTGCTGCTGTCACCTCGACTGGCTTTCCACCCCCGCCACTAGCAGTGTCCTCCCCGGCTGGCCTCGATGGTTTCCGCAGGCCCCCAGCTCCGCTGCTGATGGGTTCCTCCATCACTGCCTCCCTCCCCCGCTCTTCCACCCCGCCATCCCCGTCTGCCTGCCCCTCCGAGCCTCCGGGCATCTCCGCGTGCACTGCTTCCCCGTCCCCTTCACACGCGCCCCCCTGCGTGCTCGTGTGACAGCTGGAGGCCCCACAAGCCGCGCTTTCTCCCCCTGCTGGCTCGCCTCCTTCTCCGCCCTGCCATGTCTCGTCGCCCTGCCCGCCACTCTCCTGCATCCCTCCCTCCCGCATCTCCCCCTCCCCCTCCCCGTCTTTCTTCCCCCAGCCTGCTCGGAGCGCCTCCATGCGGAAGGCCTCAGCCAATGAGACGGCTGCTGGGCTGGCGGGGGGAGCGCGATCTGCGGGCAGCACGGGCGGGTGGAGCGGCTTGGCGCGCTTGGGGCGCGAGGGGAAGTCGAGGGCGGGCAGGAAGGGAGCATCCATAGCGCCGTCGGCCATGGCGGCGGGCATGGCGGCGGCGGGCGCAGCTGTCATAATGGCGTCAGCAGCGCGCGCAGCGGAAGCCGGTGCCGCGGACAGGCGGGTGCTGCGGGCGGTCGGGGAGGGGAGGGTGGATGCAATTGGCGGGGCGGCAGGCGGGCCGCGATTGGCGGCGTGAGCTGCGGCCATGGCGGTGAGGCGCGCCATGGCGGCGTCGTGCTCGAGGCGGTCCAGCTCCATCGCCTGCATCAGCGCCGCGTCCGCTGACGATGGAAACGGCGCCGCGGACCACGTGTTGCGGCGGGATAAGCGCGCGACTTCTGGCGCGGCACCAGGAGAGGGTGCATCGCCGCCGGATGCGGGCGGTGTTTGCGCTGCAGCGAGAGCAAGAGCGTGCGGTGCGGGATCCGCGATGCTCTCTGCCGGCTCCTCGCCCTCTGTCACCACAGCCATAGCCTCTGCCGGCAGCGCCTCGGCGTCGCGCAGAGCCATGGCCGACCCCTCACCCTCGCCGTCGGGCGCGACGGCCGGCGCCTCGGCGTCGGGCACCATGGCGGTGCGTCTGAGCAGCTCCTCCGCGCATCGCAACTCCATCTCCACCGCCGCCTCTATGTCCATCCCCATCCCCGTGCCCATCCCCGTGCCCATCCCCGTGCCCATCCCCGTGCCCATGCCCGTCCCCATCCCCGTGCCCATCGCCGTCCCCATCGCCGTGCCCATCCCCGTGCCCATCCCCGAGCCCGTGCTCATTCCCGCGCCCACGCCAACACCCATGCCCGTGCTCATGTCAGCGGTCATATCCATGCCCATGCCCAAGTCAGTGCCGGCACTGCTCATCCCCGCGTCCATTCCCATCGTGCCCCACGCCGTGTCCCACGTGCCCCAGGCCCCCACCACGCCCTCCATTCCCCCGCCTCCGCCTGCGCCCTCCAAAACCCCGTCCCCCTCCGCGCCCTCCATCCCCCCCCTGCGAGCTCCAGCGCTCGCGGCAGGCTCTCGTCCGCCGCAGCTACGGGGATACCCTTCGATGCATTCGATGCTACTGCCGCCCCCTCCGCTGCTGCTACCAGCTGTTCCGCTGAGGGGAAGGCCCATGTTGCGCCTGCCTCCGCAGCGTGCGGTGAACCGCCGCTGGCGGCGGCGACGGGCTTGCCGCGCAGCTCCAGTCGCCTCCGCCACCTCGAGGCGCCATCGTCGACGAGGCGATCAGCGCCCGCAAATGTCGCAAACCCCGCCTCCCGCGCCGCGCTCGTCGACGCCGTCAGCGGCGCTGCTAGCGTGGCCGCCGAGTCGCTCTCCCAACGCGCTGCCGCCGAGGTTGCAGCTGACGCGGCTGTGGTTCTGGCTCGTGGCTCCTGAGGCGGCAGCATCAACGACGCGGCGGGTAAGGGTCGGCGAGCGGCAGCACGGGAGGCGGCGTCATGCGCGCTGGGGGGTAACTGGGCGGAAGGGATAAAGTCAGTGGAGGTGAAGAGACCGTGAAGGCGCTCAGGCAACGATACGAGGCCATGCACGGGGCTCGAGCCGCCCGTCACGGCAGCTAGGGCCTCGGGAACGACGGGAAGAAAGCCCGCGGTGGGAACGCGATGCGCGCTCGCGGTGCCCCACACATTCGGAGCCGGCGCAATGGGGAGGGGGCCCGCGGGCCCGCTAGGAGGGTCTCCGCGCAGCGAGCGCGCAGGCAGGCGGCGTTGTGCGGAGTAAAAGGGGGGAAAGCTTCCGCGGACAGGATTCGGTTCCGCGGCGCTCCAGATTTCGTCGAGCGACGAAGCGTCCAATATCCGTTGTAAATGGGCGTCGAATGACGGCCGCGCCGTGGCGATCTCAAGGTGCGCTGCGCTTATCGTGCTCGTGCTGCCACTCGTACTGCTGCTGACGGCACCACTAAGCAAGGACCAGCGTTCAGCGGCGGGAATGGAGCCATGAACGGCCGTCGCTGCGGACACGCTCGTGAGTGGATTCGACGTCTGGTTTCGGAAATCAACGGCCACGAATGACGCGCTGGAACCTGTGGTATCGCCGGAAATCACGGCGCTGCTCGCGTCTTGTGTAGTTCTTACGGCTCCAGGCAGATAGTAGCGGTCCATAGCGAGCACGCCGCGTCGCCCGCCAACGGCTTGGTGGCTGTTTTCTCCTTATTCTGCTGCGCCGTCGGACATTATTAGAGACTGCGTGTCCTGTACGAGGTCAAAACGCTGAAACGAATTATTGTTATCACTCTCACAAAGCACGGCGGCGGATGCGAAGCTCAGCTGAAGGAACGGAAGCGAATCTAACTCTTTGTCCTCGTGCTGTCGAGAAAATGGTTCCTGCAAGACTAACGGTTCCTGCTTCCCTGGGACTGCTACGCTATGATAAAAAACCGTGTCGCCAACGGCTCTGGGGGACCAATGATGAGGATACGACGCGGTATTCCTTCGACATGTGAGAGCAGCATCTTCCGAGCAGCACTCAGCCCATTCGCGAATTTGTCAGTTGTGAACGTTCCTGTTGTCATGCCTAGCGGTGTCCTTTATTAATTCGTTGGCCTCGGAGCTTCTTAGCCCCTCTGCCATCCACCCTGAAGCCCTGCTCCCCCGAGAGGAGCATTCGGGACAGTGGGAATGAGTGAGGACGTATGCTGATTATCCCTCGACTCTCAGATAGCCGCGCGACACTTCTGTGTGGATCAGTCGGGCGGGCTGGACTGCACACTGTACACAACAGGGACGGGGTAAGGAAAACCCTGACAGCTGAGCCGAGGGCCATGGATGGGACTATTGATTGCTGAGGAATGGATAGTAGTGTGGTGTCTTCTTGCTTGTGGGTTCAAGCAGGACATTAGACTTCACCACATAATAACCCTCATTATCTAGCACCGACGTACTGCACCATTTTCTGTGCAATCTTTTCTTCAGTGCCAATTTGAGCATCGCGCTGGGCATGCGGCGACAGTAACGCAGCGCGCCCACACTTAGCGAGGGAATGCGGCGTACACATGCTGCTTCATGCGACCCTTCGGCGGGGAATGGGCTGGCGAGGCGACGATGTGCGCTTGGCTGTGTGTCAAAATTCGAAATGATCAAACCAATATGGAACGCCCTGCAGTATTCCCGCCGAATTCACAGCCTCGAAGTTGCCACAGGTCACGTTTCAAAGTTTAGGATGAATCGAGTCAACGCTTCAACTAATTACCCTCCCATAAATCCATTCGGTGGCAACGATGGCCTGAGCTCAAGTGGCTTTGGACCCTTTCAGACACCACAAGGTGCATCGCATATACGATGTGAGTTTTGTAAGAACAGCCTACAAGAAAACAAGTTCAAGAGAACTACTAGCCTCGATATATTTCGCGGTTGTTTTAATCCCAGAGCTAGGATTTCACACTCGATTCTTGTCACGCGCGTGGAAAGATAGCTGAATGGCTGGGAAAAGCCGAATCATTTCCTCAGCGACTGCAAGACTCGCGTCCACCAATGGTAGTCGTAGGAACCCGGAACGGTTGCGGATTATGATAACGCATGCGTTTTATCACATGGTCCGTTGACCGATTCGATTGAAATTAGGGCGAATCTTGAAGGACAAACACTACCTCTGCCAGAAACGCCAGCATTTGCAAAGGTTGAGGGGGCGGATGAGGTTCTGCCAGCACTATCGCAGTCTGTTTTGCGACTGCCCTACCAGTATCGCCCTGCAAATGGCAGGCACTTAGTCCAGTCTACACTACCGCACACAGTGTGAAAAATTTGAAACCACTGATGGTAGGACAAAACGTTGGGGCACTTGTCATTGTTGCAAGGGCTTGCCCAACTATGCTGCACATGATCCAGCCTGGCGGATCTTTGGGCCTGACAAGATCACTGATTCGTTGGGACCAGCGTGCTAATCACGTGATGGACGCTTCCATACAATCATCCGCAGTAAATGAAGGTTTTCGAGAAGTGAAGTGTGATGGCGCCGATTGCCACTTCGCTGACTCGCTCTCGCTGGCGAGGCGAAGCAAGATATTTCCGCTTGCTTGGCTACCACATGTTTCCATGTACAAAATAACCCGATTTTATTGACAGACAGTGACGAGTGCAATCGTGATTTTGATGGTCTGCTAAACATTGACCACTGGAAACTGATTCGTATCGATCATATAGTTTTCACCAGTTATCATTGAAGAAAGTCAAACACCACTATAACGAAACACGAATGCCGTGTTTATAACGTGTTCATGATGCTGTGTGGACCAATCATCGAGGGATTTCGGGATGCCCCCACTTTTAGGTGTGACCAGCGTTTCCAGCGCCAATCGCGGTGGTTGTAGCGCTTCTCGCGCCATGACGTCATACCTGTTCGCACGATGCATGTCGCGTCGAGTCGGTGACGTTAAGCGGGTTTCCTCTGTACAGGGACCGTTGGCCAGGGCAGCCGTGGAACCCCTAGCTCCGCTAAATGCGGCGGAACCGGGAAATCGTAGATTGCACCACTCAGTGACGCCAGCGACTCCCGTAAACCCCTCCTCCTCCGCGTCGCGCCGTTTCTCATGGTTCCTTCCTGCTCTCGTCGGCGCACTCGCAGGCGGAGCGACGGCGGTAGCTGCGATTCATTCGCCTCATGCGCAAGCGCCCTCCCACCTTCCGCTCCCCGCTGGTCCGTTTTCCGCCATCCCTTTCTACGGGTCGCGTGACTCCGCCCCCCCATATCCCACTCACTCTTCGGCGCGCGCAGGATTTATTCCGCGGCTGGTTCTCACCGCCGATGCTTCCCCATCGGCTTTCCCCTTCCCCGGCCCCGAGTCTCCGCCTCTGCCCGCGCCCTCCCCGCATGGATCCCTTCCCGCGCCGCGCAGCGTGGTTGAGGGGATCAAACGGCTGCTCCCGGGGGAAGGGGAACCTGGGGGGAAGGCGGAGACGCAGGGGGACGGCAGCAAAGGGCTTAAGGATGGGGAAGGAGAGTGGTCGAAGGAGGTTGAACGTGGGAAACAGGGGGGGAGTGGAGACGGGGGGATGGCAGGACCGAATCAAGGGGAGGCGGAAGCGAGGGAGAAGGGGGATGCAGGTAGCAGTGGTGGGACGTGTGGGCGGAATTGCATGTCGCGACATGCCATTGCTGACGCGGCTGCAAGGGTGGCGCCCGCTGTGGTCAATCTGACAGTCAGTGTGGGTGAGTGGGCAGTGTGGGTCTGTGTGAGTGTGTGTGTTGGGGTTGGGGAGGGGAAGGAGGGAAAGAGGTGGGGGATGGGGGTGGGGGGCGAGTGCGTGCATGCGTGTGTGTGTGCGTGCATGCGTGTGGGTGTGCGTGCATGCGTGTGTGTGTGCGTGCGTTCGCGTGTGTGAGTGTGTTCATGCATGTGTGTCCCGCAAGAGTGCGCCGTTACCTATCCATTGCCACTCTCAAGTTCCCTTGCACCCTTATCCTCCCGGCCTCCCCTCTTCCGCCCCTCCCGCCCGCCTCCCCCCTCAGGCCGGGGCATGTTCAGCGGGCGGGCGATGAAGTCGGGGGCCATAATTTGACAAAAATCTCTTCCCCCCCCCCCCCTCCCCTCCCCCCCCCCCCCCTCCCCTCCCCACCAACCCCGCTTCCCCCCTCCCCCGTCAGGGCGGGGCATGTTCAGCGGGCAGGCGATGGGGTCGGGGGCCATAATCCGTGCGGACGGGCTGATTCTGACCAACGCGCACGTGGTGGCGGAGATGGTCGACCCCTCCGCCTCCTCCCAGCCCTACTGGAGCTCCCGCGCCACCGTGAGCCTCACCGCGCTGCCTAGGGAGTCGCTGGGTGGGGGGCGCTGGGTGGGGGGCGCTGGGTGGGGGGCGCTGGGAGCTGGAAGCACATTGGGGGCTCTGGGGCAGATTAAGGGGTTGGGGGACAGGCTAAGGGGGGGAGCTGGGGACAGGGGGAATGTGGCTGGGGTGTGCATTGGGGTGCATGATATGAGGAGGTGTGAGTGTGAGATGAGTGTGCTTGCAGGTGGTGTGCACGATGCACTGGGCAGTGTGTTGACCACGCTTGCCCTCTGGCCCTATTGCAGCGTGATCCTATCTACCTCTGCGAATGGTTGCATGTGAGCTCACGCACGTGCCAACTGCTGCCTGCCCTGCCCCTCCGCTCGCCCTCATGACAACAGCTGCAGGTGACGCTGCAGGACGGGCGCACCTTTGATGGCCACGTGCTCAGCTTTGACTCGCTCTCTGACATCGCCCTCGTCAAGGTGCTGTGCTCCCACACATGCTCTTGCCCTTCACCCTTTCATGCCCTCACCTGCCCTTTTCCCGCGTCCAACCACCTGGGCCTCCCCTTTGAACTCCTCCCGTGCTGCCGCTGTCACTCTCAAATCCACCACCACGCTATCATCCGGAATCCCGGTTTCCCGGTTTCCGGATTTCCCGGTTTACCGGCTTCCCGGTTTACCGGGTTCCCGGTTTCCCGGTTTCCCTGTTTCCAGGTTTCCCGGTTTCCCGGTTTCCCGGTTTCCCGGTTTCCCGGTATCCCGGTTTCCCGGTTTCCTGGTTTCCCGGTTTCCCGGTTTCCCGGTTGCCCGGTTGCCCGGTTGCCCGGTTTCCCGGTTGCCCGGTTTCCCGGTTTCCCGGTTTCCCGGTTTCCCGGTTTCCCTGTTTCCCGGTTTCCCGGTTTCCCGGTTTCCCGGTTGCCCGGTTTCCCGGTTGCCCGGTTGCCCGGTTGCCCGGTTGCCCGGTTTCCCGGTTTCCCGGTTCCCTGGATGCCCGGTTTCCCGGTTTCCCGGTTGAACGGTTTCCCGGTTTCCCGGTTGCCCCGGTTCCCGGTTTCCCGGTTGCCCGGTTGCCCGGTTGCCCGGTTTCCCGGTTTCCCGGTTTCCCGGTTTCCCGGTTTCCGGATTTCCCGGTTTACCGGCTTCCCGGTTTACCGGGTTCCCGGTTTCCCGGTTTCCCTGTTTCCAGGTTTCCCGGTTTCCCGGTTTCCCGGTTTCCCGGTTTCCCGGTATCCCGGTTTCCCGGTTTCCTGGTTTCCCGGTTTCCCGGTTTCCCGGTTGCCCGGTTGCCCGGTTGCCCGGTTTCCCGGTTTCCCGGTTTCCCGGTTTCCCGGTTTCCCGGTTGCCCGGTTGCCCGGTTGCCCGGTTTCCCGGTTTCCCGGTTTCCCGGTTTCCCTGTTTCCCGGTTTCCCGGTTTCCCGGTTTCCCGGTTGCCCGGTTTCCCGGTTGCCCGGTTGCCCGGTTGCCCGGTTGCCCGGTTTCCCGGTTTCCCGGTTCCCTGGATGCCCGGTTTCCCGGTTTCCCGGTTGAACGGTTTCCCGGTTTCCCGGTTGCCCCGGTTCCCGGTTTCCCGGTTGCCCGGTTGCCCGGTTGCCCGGTTTCCCGGTTTCCCGGTTTCCCGGTTTCCCGGTTGCCCGGTTTCCCGGTTGCCCGGTTGCCCGGTTTCCCGGTTTCCCGGTTTCCCGGTTGCCCGGTTGCCCGGTTGCCCGGTTTCCCGGTTGCCCGGTTTCCCGGTTTCCCGGTTTCCCGGTTTCCCTGTTTCCCGGTTTCCCGGTTTCCCGGTTTCCCGGTTGCCCGGTTTCCCGGTTGCCCGGTTGCCCGGTTGCCCGGTTGCCCGGTTTCCCGGTTTCCCGGTTCCCTGGATGCCCGGTTTCCCGGTTTCCCGGTTTCCCGGTTGAACGGTTTCCCGGTTTCCCGGTTGCCCCGGTTCCCGGTTTCCCGGTTGCCCGGTTGCCCGGTTGCCCGGTTGCCCGGTTTCCCGGTTTCCCGGTTTCCCGGTTTCCCGGTTGCCCGGTTTCCCGGTTGCCCGGTTGCCCGGTTTCCCGGTTTCCCGGTTGCCCGGTTTCCCGGATTCCCGGATTCCCGGTTTCCCGGTTTCCCGGTTTCCCGGTTTCCCGGTTGCCCGGTTGCCCGGTTGCCCGGTTGCCCGGTTGCCCGGTTTCCCGGTTGCCCGGTTTCCCGGTTTCCCGGTTTCCCAGTTTCCCGGTTGAACGGTTTCCCGGTTTCCCGGTTGCCCGGTTTCCCGGTTTCCCGGTTTCCCGGTTTCCCGGTTTCCCGGTTGCCCGGTTGCCCGGTTGCCCGGTTGCCCGGTTGCCCGGTTGCCCGGTTTCCCGGTATCCCGGTATCCCGGTTGCCCGGTTTCCCGGTTTCCCGGTTTCCCGGTTTCCCGGTTTCCCGGTTTCCCGGTTTCCCGGTTGCCCGGTTGCCCGGTTTCCCGGTTTCCCCGTTTCCCGGTTTCCCGGTTTCCCGGTTTCCCGGTTTCCCGGTTTCCCGGTTTCCCGGTTTCCCGGTTTCCCGGTTTCCCGGTTGAACGGTTTCCCGGTTTCCCGGTTGCCCGGTTGCCCGGTTTCCCGGTTTCCCGGTTTCCCGGTTGAACGGTTTCCCGGTTGCCCGGTTTCCCGGTTTCCCGGTTTCCCGGTTTCCCGGTTTCCCGGTTGCCCGGTTTCCCGGTTTCCCGGTTTCCCGGTTTCCCGGTTTCCCGGTTTCCCGGTTGCCCGGTTTCCCGGTTTCCCGGTTGCCCGGTTTCCCGGTTTCCCGGTTTCCCGGTTTCCCGGTTGAACGGTTTCCCGGTTTCCCGGTTTCCCGGTTGCCCGGTTGCCCGGTTGCCCGGTTGCCCGGTTGCCCGGTTTCCCGGTATCCCGGTATCCCGGTTGCCCGGTTTCCCGGTTTCCCGGTTTCCCGGTTTCCCGGTTTCCCGGTTGCCCGGTTTCCCGGTTTCCCGGTTTCCCGGTTTCCCGGTTTCCCGGTTTCCCGGTTGCCCGGTTTCCCGGTTTCCCGGTTCCCCGGTTCCCCGGTTTCCCTGTTTCCCGGTTTCCCGGTTTCCCGGTTGAACGGTTTCCCGGTTTCCCGGTTGCCCGGTTGCCCGGTTGCCCGGTTTCCCGGTTTCCCGGTTTCCCGGTTTCCCGGTTTCCCTGTTTCCCGGTTTCCCGGTTTCCCGGTTTCCCGGTTGCCCGGTTGCCCGGTTTCCCGGTTTCCCGGTTTCCCGGTTTCCCGGTTTCCCGGTTGCCCGGTTGCCCGGTTTCCCTGTTTCCCGGTTTCCCGGTTTCCCGGTTGCCCGGTTTCCCGGTTTCCCGGTTTCCCGGTTTCCCGGGTTCCCGGTTGCCCGGGTTCCCGGTTTCCCGGTTACCCGGGTTTCCCGGTTTCCCGGTTGCCCGGTTTCCCGGTTTCCCGGTTTCCCGGTTGCCCGGTTGCCCGGTTTCCCGGTTTCCCGGTTCCCCGGTTTCCTGGTTTCCCGGTTTCCCGGTTTCCCGGTTTCACGGTTTCCCGGTTTCCCGGTTGCCCGGTTTCCCGGTTTCCCGGTTTCCCGGTTTCCCGGTTGCCCGGTTGCCCGGTTGCCCGGTTTCCCGGTTGCCCGGTTGCCCGGTTTCCCGGTTTCCCGGTTTCCCTGTTTCCCGGTTTCCCGGTTTCCCGGTTTCCCGGTTTCCCGGTTTCCCGGTTGCCCGGTTTCCCGGTTGCCCGGTTGCCCGGTTTCCCGGTTTCCCGGTTTCCCGGTTCCACGGATGCCCGGTTTCCCGGTTTCCCGGTTGAACGGTTTCCCGGTTTCCCGGTTGCCCGGTTTCCCGGTTTCCCGGTTGCCCGGTTGCCCGGTTGCCCGGTTGCCCGGTTTCCCGGTTTCCCGGTTTCCCGGTTTCCCGGTTTCCCGGTTTCCCGGTTGCCCGGTTGCCCGGTTGCCCGGTTTCCCGGTATCCCGGTATCCCGGTTTCCCGGTTTCCCGGTTTCCTGGTTTCCCGGTTTCCCGGTTTCCCGGCTTCCTGGTTGCCCGAGTTCCCGGTTTCCCGGTTTCCCGGTTTCCCGGTTTCCCGGTTTCCCGGTTGCCCGGTTTCCCGGTTTCCCTGTTTCCCGGTTTCCCGGTTTCCCGGTTTCCCGGTTTCCCGGTTTCCCGGTTTCCCGGTTGAACGGTTTCCCGGTTTCCCGGTTGCCCGGTTGCCCGGTTTCCCGGTTTCCCGGTTTCCCAGTTGAACGGTTTCCCGGTTGCCCGGTTTCCCGGTTTCCCGGTTTCCCGGTTGCCCGGTTGCCCGGTTGCCCGGTTGCCCGGTTTCCCGGTTTCACGGTTTCCCGGTTTCCCGGTTTCCCGGTTGCCCGGTTGCCCGGTCTCCCGGTCTCCCGGTCTCCCGGTCTCCCGGTCTCCCGGTCTCCCGGTCTCCCGGTCGCCCGGTCGCCTGGTCGCCCGGTTGCCCGGTTTCCCGGTTTCCCGGTTTCCCGGTTTCCCGGTTGCCCGGTTTCCCGGTTTCCCGGTTTCCCGGTTTCCCGGTTTCCCGGTTGAACGGTTTCCCGGTTTCCCGGTTGCCCGGTTGCCCGGTTTCCCGGTTTCCCGGTTTCCCAGTTGAACGGTTTCCCGGTTGCCCGGTTTCCCGGTTTCCCGGTTTCCCGGTTGCCCGGTTTCCCGGTTTTCCGGTTTCCCGGTTTCCCGGTTTCCCGGTTTCCCGGTTTCCCGGTTTCCCTGTTTCCCGGTTTCCCGGTTTCCCGGTTTCCCGGTTGCCCGGTTTCCCGGTTGCCCGGTTTCCCTGTTTCCCGGTTGCCCGGTTTCCTGGTCTCCCGGTCTCCCGGTCTCCCGGTCTCCCGGTCTCCCGGTCTCCCGGTCTCCCGGTCGCCCGGTCGCCTGGTTGCCCGGTTTCCTGGTTTCCCGGTTTCCCGGTTTCCCGGTTGCCCGGTTTCCCAATTTCCTGGTTTCCCGGTTTCCCGGTTTCCCGGTTGCCCGGTTTCCCGGCTTCCCGGTTTCCCGGTTTCCCGGTTGCCCGGTTTCCCGGTTTCCTGGTTTCCCGGTTTCCCGGTTTCCCGGTTTCTCGGTTTCCCGGTTTCCCGGTTGCCCGGTTTCCCGGTTTCCTGGTTTCCCGGTCTACTGTGCCGCCACAAGTGGCCATGCACCCCTGCTGGCTGCCTCTACCCGCCTGCTGCGTGCCCCAACCAGCGCAGGTGTCAGCGCCCTCACCGCTGCCGGTGGTGAAGCTGGGTTCGTCCAAGGCACTGCGCCCGGGGGACTGGGTGGTGGCGCTGGGATCGCCGCTGCACCTCTCCAACACTGTCACTGCCGGCATCGTCAGGTGCGCACTCCTTCACTGCTGCTGTATGTACCTTCATGTATTTTCTTACACACAATGTTATAATCTTCTGTGGAAATCCTTTTGGCTGCCGTTTCTCTTCCGCCCCCCCATGGTGGCGTGCAGTTGTGTGGATCGCAAGGGCACGGAGCTGGGCCTGAGGGGAGGGCGCATGGATTACATCCAGACAGATGCGGCCATCAACGCGGTGTGAACACATGCACAGCAGCAGCAACGCCATGCACAGCATCAACAACGCCATGCACCCATGCACCACACTCGTTCCATGCCATTGCCACCATGTGCCTAGCTTCCCACAGCATGAGCTGCTGTTCCGGGTGATGCGCAAACCGTACATCTGTATCCCTATACACATGCCCTACTGGTGAAGCCCTTTTTCACGAACCTTGAACACGGGGGGGAGCAGGGCAACAGCGGAGGTCCGCTGGTGAATCTGGACGGGGAGGTGGTGGGCATCAACAACATGAAGGCGCTGGCGGCTGATGGGGTCAGCTTCGCCATCCCCATCGACTCCGCCGTTCACATCCTCGACCAGCTCTCCCGCTATGGGTGAGCCGCACTGATGATCAGAGGGGTACAGAGGGGTGGGGAATGGCGTTGGAGAACAGAGGGGGCAAGGAGTCTGTTCCACTGTTCCTGTCGACTCTGCAGTTCTTAACTAGCTTTGGATGCATGAGAGGCAGAGAATGTAGCAAGAAAGAAGAGGCCGCTTGGGGACAGGAGAATTAAAACAGACAGAGTCAGCCTGCCCTCTCTTGTCTCTTGTCCTCCCCTCTTCGCACCCCTCCTCTCGTCTCAACCGCCATGCACAGGAGAGTGGTGAGGCCATTCGTGGGCATCAAGATGTTGGAGCTGAACGCGTCCATTGCAGCACAGCTGAGGGACAGGGATCCCTCCTTCCCCGCGGTCGATGCCGGCCTCCTCGTCCCCCAGGTGACTTGCTGTTCTGGGGCCATGTGCGCTCTCACTTCCTCTTGGGTCCATGTCTGTGATGCCACTCCTTCCCAGTCAGACGCACGCTGCTGGATATCCTTGATATCATAACCCTGCGTTGCTTGTGTCATAACTGTGCTTCCATTTGACCATCTCACTGCGTCTTTTGCTCCTCCCCCCAACCCCCCTCAGGTGATTCCCGGCTCGCCTGCAGCCAGGGGTGGGCTGCAGCCGGGTGATGTGATAGTGGAGTTTGCCGGGCAGCCAGTGACGTCCTCCCGCCATGTGCTGGACTTGCTGGGAGATAAGGTGGGCGTGAAGGTGCCCCTCGTCGTCAAGAGAGCCAACGGGAAGACAGTCACACTCACTATTGTCACAGAAGAGGCCACACCTGACATGTGACATTTCCCACTCCACTCCCGTTCTGCATGCTTCATGCCAAAGACCTGATTTGCTTTGATTATTGATACATTTTAGCTGGATAGATTTGGTGGTCACCTTATCTGTGTTGATAGTGTACAGGCTTGTCAATATAGTGTCTTGAGAGCACCAGATGCTCGATACAACTTTGTCAGACATCACCGCTGACTTCATCTGTCAAGGAAACAAACCAATAAGCTACAAACTACTGACTGGAAACCTTCTAGCGAAATATAGGCAACCAACCTGCACACAGCGTGCGTACAGGGGACAGGCTGTGCAGAGTGCAGAGTGCAGCCCAGAATCACGCAGGAGCTTCAACGACCTTGGTGACAAGGAAACGACTTTGCAGATGAGTTATGTGCGTGAGTGTCCAGAGGGTGTGTCAGATCCTGGAGTCAGAAACAGACTCAGAAGACGCGAACATGTGCTTGACGCGCGAGAGAATGGAGTCCTGGTTGGGGTCGTACGGGTGCTCCTTGCTGGGGATCTCCAACACGGCGGGTATGGGCTTGTTGTAGCTGTCGATGCTGTACCGAATCATGTTGGCGATCTGCACGGCACAGCGACAAGGCTTGAATAACGGGAATGATGCTAAATCGGAACTAAAGCTAGATGATAGTAAATGATACTGCAGCTCCCTGTTGAACGATCATGCAAGGCGACGCACATATTGGCTTATGAGGATGACGGCCACGTCCTCCCTGTTGCTGAACTCTTTAAACGACTCCTCGATCTGTCGCACAGGGGTCTCTGAAAACACACGAGCAGAAAACCTTTTGAGCAGAACTAAATCGAGGACGAACTGACTGATACTGACGCAAGGGCAGTGGCGAAAAGCTCACTGGAGTCGACAACAAGATAGTTCTTCCGCCGCCGCACGTCCATGTGGCCCACTCCCGCCAGCAGAAATCCGGTTATCGTGTCCTGTGCAGGTGGCGGACATAACGCGAGGAGACAATGCCATTTAATGAAGTCTCTTAACAACCTAAGCGAACTCAGTGTGACTAGAAAGACGCGAACATTACTGTGAGGGATCGCTGGTCCAAGTTATCCCTACCTCATCTGCGATCATGGCTATCAAGTAACCATCTGGTCTAGACGCGGCAATCGCTGAGGCGGTGGCAGACATCTTTGAGAGTCGAAGAGCGGAATCGCCTACACACCACCTAGTGCGATAATATAGCTATGGAGGTTACCCAAGCCGCTGTCAGCCAGGCTGCGTGCGTCTGCTATCCAGGAAGAATGGTGCTTGAGCTGCCGACTATTGCGCAAACTCAGAACTAGGGCGGGATTACCTTCGATGTTGCCGAAGTGGGGGGAGAAAGCATGCGGTACGAACTTGATGCAATACTCAACAAGCGACAGGGCAATGCAGCTGTTTCACAAATCATAAGAAATGGGAGCTATAGATGCACACTACTTTGGATAAATGGAAAAGAAAATCTGGAGCCATTTGCTTCACTGAAAAAAGAAATAGCAAAAGGCACTGCACGCCCTGGTACAAGGATGTCAATCAGGTGTAACATACAGGATGTGTAGGAAGAACATTGCATGCACAACCAACTCATCACAATTCAGATCCAGCGCCTGGCTAGATTAGTCTAGCTTCGGCGATGGTGTTAGGACTCGTGTCAAACGTCAGTTCAGATCCCTCATCTCCCAAGCCTCAACCACCGCAGTGACCTGCTTGCACTGCCAACAGGTGACCCTTTTGCCGAACCACTGTCCTCTTCCAGGGCAACTGCACCTGCCTTGGCTCCATCCTTTCCTGCTACAAACACCACATCACTCCCTCCACCATGCTTCCCTCCATCCATCAACTCATCCATTCCATCTCTCCTTTTCTGCTTCCTTCTCCCTATCTCCACCCATTCTGCACACATCTCCCCAATCAGCTCCCCCATCAGCACATCCTCCAATTGAAACACCACATCTGGCACCTCATCATCCACAGCCTTATCCAAGGGATTCCACGTGTCCAGCCCCTTCCACAAATCCCTGCGTGCCAGGTCATCCAGGGTGTCAAACACGTCATCAGACATGGGCACGGCCCACGAATGGATCTCCGCCCACACCTCCTGCAGCAGCCGCCGCCCTGCGGGCCGTTTCCTCAGCGGTGCAGAGCGGGCGGCATGCAGGCGCTGCCAGGGTTGGGAGGGCAGGAGGAAGGGTGCGAGGCGGCGGCCAAGAGCTTCGTTCACGGCGTCAAAGAGGAGGCGGCGCTGCCGCCGCTCGTCGGGGTAATTGGCGGGGAGGGCTGGTGAGGAGAAGGCCGGCGCTGCATCTGATGGCAGGCTCTCACTCTCCGACAACCCATCTGCTGCTGCTGCTGCTGCTGCTGCTGCTGCTGCTTCTGGTGATGATGTACTTGGACCTCCTGCCTTGCCCCCTGCTGCTGCTGGCCCCGTGACGGGCCCCAGGGGGTTGTTGGGGTCAACAATGATGCCATCGAGTGACAGGAACTCCGCCTCCAGCACTTCAAACACCGCCGCACTGATGGGCGCAGCTGGAGAGGCGGCGGGGGGGAGGGAGCGGTTGGCGAAGCCAGCAGCGACGAGCACGTAGCGGATGTACTCCAGGTCCTCCTCCATGCCGGCAGGTGACGGCACAAACGCCAGCGTGCCCAGATCCACCGTGCTTAACGACTCGAGCGGTGGCGGCGGGAGAGCAGGAGGGGGTGCTGGAAGGGACGGTTGGAGTGGTCCTGCTGCGGGGGTGGCGGCGGTGGTGAGAGGAGGGTTTGCTGGTGCGAGCATGGACGAGTCGGGTGCTTTGTCTCCTGTACAGCGAGTGTAGATTGGGAAGAGAGGAGAGATCGGGAAGAGAACGTTATGAGGAGCAAATTCAGGGCACAGCAGGAGGATAGCAAATGGGAAAGGGTTAATCCATGTAATGCTACTAGGCATGTGATGCTAGGAAGCATGACGCTAGGAGGTCCGTCCATCTATGCACGATGCAGTGACACACAGCACAGGCTGACATACAAGAGAGACACATGGCACACGACAGGCATGGTGCAGTGACAGGCCCCCAGCACAGTGAGAGACAGTGAGGCAGGCACCTTGTGTGCACAAGAGGGGCGACGCCTGTTGACCAGGCACGCAAGGCTCATCGCCACACACGTGCTCTGCTTCCCCGCCTGCCTCTACCTCTGCACCGCCACATTCTTCCGCATCCGCTTCGGCCGGCAGGTCGTCCGTTGGGCTGGCATTCGCGGAGAGCCAGTGCGCGTGGGCGTCCGCGAATGCATGCATGCGCGCGTGCAAGGCCACCCCGTCCTCCTCCTCACCTGCATCGGTTGAGGGGGACCCCTTGCTCAGCGCCACATCCAGAGTCGACACTGGGCTGCCACCCGCCGGCCCCTGCTGCTGCCCCTGCTGCTGCTGCTGGAAAAGGCTTGGCTGCGACGGCAGCTTCTGCTGCCTCTGCTGCACCGCCTGCTCCTCTTCTCGAATGCGCACAAGCTGCTCCTCCTCTTCCTCCTGCGAACTCTCTGCTTCCGTCTCCTCCGATCGCTCCTCTTCCTGCTGCTGCAGGTCGGCTTGCTGCTGCAAATTTATTTGCTTTTGCAATTGCTCCTGCAATTCGACTTGCTGCGGCACCTGTTCTAACTGCCGCTCCAGCCTTTCTTCCTCCTGCTGCTCCTGCTGCTCCTCCTGCTGCTGCTGCCGTTCCACCTCCTCCTGCTGCTGCCGTTGCGGCGGCGCGCCATCCGGCTGTGGTCGTCGCAGCGACCACGGCTGTCTCCACGAGGCCGTGTCTTCATGCTGCTCGCCCTCTTGCGCCATCACCATCACGTCATCGTCGAAACTCGCACCGCCCATCACGCCACCGCCCGTCCTCTCAATAGCACCGCTCTGCTTCTCGTTATAAGCACCTCGCTGAGTCATTACCGAGTCAACCTCCCCTGGCTCTGTCTCCCTGGCGATCTCGGCCGTTCGACCTGCGAATGCGCTCGTGACCCCCTCCCCCCTTTGCCGCTGTTCGCTCAAGCCATCCTCACGCATTGCAGCCGACACTCCCGAGGCTACGAAGTCGCGTTGCGCCGCCTCCCCTCCACTCCGATTGCGCACCGCAATCACCTGCGGCGCGCCTCCCCCTTTTTTGCCGCCCGACAGCTGCCGCAGCAGCGAGCGTGCCAGCTCCTTGGCGTCCTTCGTTGGCTGCTGCTGCTGCCGCTCCATGCCCTGCCCCTCATTGCCCGACCCCACTGTAGCCCAGCTCCCACCAACCTCTCCCCCTCCGCCCGCGCTCCCGTACCGCAAGGTGCGCCCCAACCTCGCCCTTACATCAAGTCCCCCCAGCCCCGCATCAGGCGGACGCGCAAGCGCAACGACCATCGGGGGCCACGGGGAGGATGAGACAGGCTGATGCGCGGAGAGACTGTAGGGTGGTATCGGCGAAGGCGAGCCAGGGGGCGCGGGAACAGAGGCGGAGACGTAAGCGGAAGCGGCAGAGAAGAGGCCGTCCGTTGCGGACATAAGCGCCGCTGCGGCGGGGGACGGCGCATACACGTCCGCATCCGTGACGGAATCCGCCAAGGTCGCAAGCTCCGCGGCGACGGCACGCTCCGCGGGGCTGACAATGCGCGCCGGTCCCGCGCCCCCCCGCAACATTTGCCCCAACTGCCGGCCGCTCTCGTGATACCTGTCCACGTCAGCATGCGTGGCTAGTATAGCTGCCTGCCCGCCGTAGCGCGGCTCAAGAGCCAAACGAGTCTGCCTCGCGGCGTCCGCGGTGTGGACGTGACCGTTCCTGGCGGTGGTGGGCGCGGAGCCGCTGTAGCTACCGCTGTCGCTGATCTGGCTGCTGTTGCTCATCGCCTCGAACGCGTCCACTGATCCTTGCCGCGACCCCTCCCCCGTGTCCCCCGCCTGCTCCTCCACCACTCCCAGCACCGACACACTTGAGCTCGAATCCGACAGCCGCCGTCCCTGCATTACCGCTAGCCCCTGCCTCCCCAGTGCCACGTGTCCGTTATCTCGGGCGTTGTCTGTTCGCCGGGACGGCCGACCGGGTCCGAGGCCGGGGGAGGAAGGCGGGGAAGAGGCATCCCTGCGCCGAGTGAACCGCGGAGAGGTAGGGGGAGACGAGGGGGATGGTAAGCGCGCAGGACCGCTCCCCGCAGACCATCTTCGCGCCTCTGCGGGGACCTCAACGCGCTGGCCCATTCCTCCACTCGCCGGATGGCCCTCTCTGCTCCTTGCTCCGACTCGCGCAAGTCCGTTGCCGGCGGGTGCGGCGGTTCTGGTCGGGGGAGAAGATCGCGCGGAACCAGCACGTGGCTCGGAACCCTGCGCTCCATTTCCGTTGCTGCCTGCGGGTGAAAGGCGTCGCTGCGAGGGCGGGCTGACGGCGCGTGCCTTTGCGAGAGAGGACCGCGTTGGCGCGTAGAGACGACTGCTCTCCGCAACCGGCATTGCGATTAGGTCTGAGAAGCGCACAGGTCTGTGCACTGTCACGGTCTACACGATATATTCAACTGTACAGGTGTCTTCAATGGAAAAGAACACGAACGGCCTTGCACGAAGACATGGCGGGGTGCAAGGTGGGCATCTCTATGGTTAGACTAGCAGCAAGTTAGCGATCTGTTCTTCTGACCTCTCCACTGGTCGTCACTTCACGCTCGCCTGAACCGGGATGGAGGGATGTGATATCCCACAGAAGTTCGTTTTGGCAACCTCGAGGTTGTTCGTTGGGGGAGGCGCAGGGAAGAGCAGACCACCACAAGACCGCAAGAGGTCCACCAGCCTTGGGAATACAGGGACGCAGGTTTCGTCAAGTCTATGAAATCGACGGGTGAGGAAGTCTCGAGTTTGGGTTCAGACGGACGGATTACGGCGAAGTACGTTCGGCATTTGGTTAGTGCAGGTTCAATTCCTTGGCGCTGTAAAACCACAGCTGACAACCAGCTTCTGACGTGCGTCAGCTTTCTTGCGAATACAGTACCCTGGCCGCCTTTTTGCCCGCACCATTATAGGCCGCCTCGAAAAACGTACGATACCCAATAGCAGCAAGGATTACGCTTCATGAATCTATTAGATGCTATGTAGCTGGTTAGGATAAATCATCTTACATTCTTGAAATCGAACCTGTATTTTACATCCAGATTCCTTTAAACGAGTCCACGGTCACACCGCCGCATCCAAGGTATCTTGCAGCAGCAATGGGCGCTGCTGTCGGTCGGTGTCGTTTCTTCTACCCAACCCAACAAACACCCCCAACCCAGGGACCAGCGCCCATCACTGCTCCCATCCATTCCGTCAACCCAACCGATTTCTTTCATCTTCAACTCTCCTCTCCTTGATGCCCATTTCCTGATTTTTCGCTCCAATGTTTCGGGATTGCCACCTATTCTAGAGATATGGTCAAAGATCCCACTTTGGCCTAGTCGCTGGCTCTCCATGTTGGTTCGTGTGTTTACTGTGATTCTGGCACCAATCGGTGTCTAAACGCCGTCTACGGGGGTACCGCTTGTTCTCCAGCTATTTATTTTGGATCCAGCAGCTTCTTTCAGCATTTTCTGCGTGACGATGGCGACGCGCCGATGCTTTCTATGGAGCAGACCGGCATATGTTTTAATTGCGTCGATTGCTCTTTGTAGTCTGCCCTGCAATCACGCGCAGGTCACCGCAGATCCGACTCCAGCAGTCCCGCAGCCGCAGGACGGGCGCCCGACGCCATGGCAGCCGGGTCAGCGGCCGCCATGGATGGAGGGGGGGCTGCCGTTCCCGGAGCGGAACGGCAATCACTCGGACCCGCTGGGCGGCAATTTGCCGTGGGAGGAAGGCCGCGGGCAGAATCTCGGGTACCAGCCGGTGCCGGGCGCTTCGCAGGGCGCCGTGCAGCCGAATCCAAGCGCGCCGAGCGAGACGCCGGCGGATCAGCAGTGGGGTGATCCGGAGGTTCCACCGCCGTCTCCTCCGCCGTATCAGCCGGTGCCGTTCGCGGAACCGCCTCCCGCTGCGAACGCGAGTGCGCGCATCGAGGATGTGGGCGTGGTGGGATCGGTGGTCGGCGACGAACTGCCGACGACGTGCGGCCTGACGGATTACGTCAGAGAGTCGAAGCCCTGCCGAGGTGAGACGCCGCGATTTGCGGGGAGGGGCAAGGCGTGGTCTCCGGATGTCTAATTGCGCAAAACAATAGGCGCGCGCCGCATGTGCTTGAAGGACGGACGGTAACTTCGTGTCGCGAATGACGGAGAATCTCGTGTGGCTAGGCGCTGAATGGCTTTTCGTCTTCGCGTTCTGGCGATGACGCGTGCAGCATGTCGCGCAGTTTTTGCGTGGTCCATGCACTCATCAGAGTTAGATGCACCCTTGTCTACGTCACATGTCATATATTCCTTATTCGGGTGTCGTTCCCATCCCGTTTACGTATCCGCATATCCCAATCACATGCGTTTCTCGAACATATGATATTGAAATTTCATCTACATGACAGTCAAAATCCCATGCACATGTCTTTAGAATCCAATGCACATGTTATTTCATTCTCACTCACATGCCATTTGAATTACTTTCACATGCTATTTGGATTATGTTCACTTGCTCCTTGAATTCTATCAACATGTTACTTCAATCTTGATCTGATGTCGCATGGGATGTGTGGCAGACGGCAAGCGCGAAGTGACCTATGTCAAAGTGCGCAACTGCACCGACACGTTCCCTGACATCCCCATGCGAAACGAACCCTGCGGTAAGCACCCATGTTGTGTGGACGGGCCATGTTAGGTGGGCCCATATGGCATGGATGGAAGCACACCATGACGTGAAGCATGTAGCAGTGTCTCTGGAAAGTCCGTTGAATTGAACCATTGAATGCCCATCCGTGCTTTCGCCTTAAGCTCCCAGCGCTTCCCTTGTCTGATCCTCATCCGTTCGGCCGCTCTGGATTCAATTTGGCCGTCCCCCGTCCCTCTCCACCACCCTCCACAACCCTCCCCCAGTGTGCACACCGGAGGACTATGAGCCAAATTACTCGGTGAATAATGGCCAGTGCTACCTCTCATACGTCCCCCAGAGTGAGTGTGTGTGAAAGTGAGTGCACGCGAGAGAGTGTGTGAGAGGGTGAGTGTGCGCTGAGAGTGAGTGTGCGCAAGAGAGTGACTGAGCACGTGAGAGTGAGTGTGTGCATGGCAGTGTGTGTGTGCGTGAGTGTGTGTGCGCGTGAGAGTGAGTGTGCACATGAAAGTGAGTGTGCAATGACTTAGCACGTGAGAGTGAGTGTGCGCATGGCAGTGAGTGTGCGTCCGTGAGAGTGAGTGTCCGGATGAGAGTGAGAGTGTCCATGCATGCAGATATGTGCACATAACCTTTTGAGAATTGTTTGCTTTTCTTCCCTGCCCTTCCTCTTCCCTGCACTTCCTCTCATGCTCCGCCTCTTCCCATAACCAATCACGACCCGCGTTGCATGTGTGCATGGGCATGCATTATCACCATGTGTGCACGGTCACTCACTATCACCATTCGTGCACGGCCATGCACTATCGCCATCATTGCTGCGAGTGCGTGTGCAGACTGTGACTCGGCTCCTGGAGGCAGCCCTTCTATGGTCGCTGTTGACCCTGTCTACTGCAGTAAGCTCCCCCCTCCATGCCATACCCCTCATGGGTCATGTCTCCATCCAACATTCAAGCACATCCCCATTACAGCCATACATAACCATTAAGTATCACATGCTCCATGCCCCTTATCTCCACCTCTTGGCCTCCCCTTTCTCCCCCAACCCTCCCACCTCCTCCCCCCCCTTTCCTCCGATTCTTAACCCCACAAACTCAGCGCGTCTCCCCCCTTGCCCTGACCTCACCAATGCCCCTCACAATATTCTCGCAGCAACACCCACTGGTTCCCCCAACCCCCCCCCTCTCCCCTCTCCCTTTCCCCCCACGCCAGGCATCAGCTCCGCGAGGGCGTGCAGGGAGGTGGACATAAAGTCCATCTACGGGCTGTGCGACTACATCCGTGACTCTGTCACCGGCCAGAAGCTCTCCCAAATGCCTGCTGTCGAGGTGAGCTGTGCTGCACATCCCTGCCGTGCAGGGTGAGTGGGATGGGATGGGATTACACAGGGGACGCTGCTGTAGTCAGGGCAGTGGAAAGATAAGCTGTTTCCTGCTTCCAACCGTTCTCATGCATTCGTGCTTAGTGTGCCGTGCTGTGTGTGTGGTGGTGGGGTGGGGGGATGGGGGTGGTGGTGCTGTGCTGTGCTCACTGCTTATGCAGGTGATCTACTATTTCGACAAGGAGTGCAATCCCTATGCCAGGGGAGCCGTGCCTCTGCCGCCCAACACCTTCATTCCATGCGGTACCCCTCTCCACCCCTCTCTATCCCTCTCTCCCAACTCCGCACCTCCCCGGCCGTCTATCCCCTTCTCTGATGCATCTAATTCACGTCCGGTGCTGGTATTGCATACATTCCCCTCCCCACATGCACCCCGCCGCACCTCACATGCGTGCACCTCCCATGCTGCCTGCATGCACTGCATCCCTGCCCGCCTGTGGGTGCCTGCGTGCATGCCTGCCTTGTGTCTGCGTGTGGGCGTGTGTGCGTGTGTGCTTGTGTGTACGTGTGTGTGCGTGTGTGTGTGCGCGCGCATGTGTGCCTGTGGGGGTGCAGATCACAAGTGCGGGGCGGGGCACATTCTGCACCACGACGACTGCCAGATCTGCCCTGCAGGTGTGCCCCCGTGCTCCTACCACCCTCATTTATCCCTTCATTCATCTTCCCATGCATCGCCCCTCACGTAACCATTTCTTCCACGTGTGCCACGTCTGCTGCTCCATTTGCTGCCAGTCACTGCTTCTCAGCACCAGTCCCTGCTGCTGATATGCCTCCCCTATTGCCCCTCCCGTGAACACCGCGCCCTCCATGGTCTTCATTCTCTGCCCCTGCTCCCCTCTCCCCCCCCAGGCACATACAGCACGGCGGGTGCGCTGGTGTTTAACAAGTTCTACCAAGTCGATCCCAAGTACTTCAAGGTACGCCCTGCTGCCCCTGCCATCCCCCACCTGCTCTTGTCCCGCCTGACCTTGCTCTCAGTCGAGCAAGATGCTTGAATCTTTTTTCAGAACCCCCTTTTCTGCTGCACCACTTTGCACGAACCGTGCTGTGCTGCATGCATGAGAAGGCACAAGATACTGAGCAGCGCGCAACGGGCAGCAGGCCA